GGTAAACTCATGTTGATAATAAATGAAGCACAACCGGTGTTAGCAAAACGATGTAATTTGCCGACGTTTCGAATTTCTATCCAGAAAAACTTCATCAGGGCATGCTATGGAAAGGACACAAGTGGATATATATAGAGTAAGAAAAAGAAAAAAGGAAAAATTACCATGGCGTCAACTCTAATATAAAAGGATGATGATAAGATGATATATATAAATAAACAAATTAGCGCAAGTTTAAACAAAAAGGGGGACTATTTAAACAATGATTTATACACAGGCGGGAAAAGTGTGGTTTCTTTGTCATTCATCGAATTCTTCTCTTTATTTATGTGATAAGATTCGAGAAATAGTCTTCTCCTGTATTGAGTTTCTTTTTCTAGTATCCTGCTGTTTTCCCAGTCGATGGTTATTAGAAAGGGCGTGTTTCGAAAGGGCCGACTTGTCAATTTTCTTTTGTTTAATATCTCGTAAGTGTTCCTTGCTGCGAGTTTCCAGGCTTATTTTGGTTTCTCCAATGTAAACTGAAGAACAGTCGCTGCATGGGATTGCATATACAACTCCGTTTTTTTGTTTAGGGCATGGGCGGTCTTTGACGTTGGAGAGCAATTGGCCGATAGTGTTTTGAGCTTTAAAACTTACTCTGATTTTAACGTCTTCCAAAATTCTGCGAATTTTTTTCACTTAGTCCTTGGACATACGGAATGGTGGTAGATGCGATTGGTTTGGGTTTATCAGGCAAACAGGATGAATTTTTATCATTTCATACAAATGAGCTATATTTAATAAGGTACATATACTATACATACATCTCACCAACATACATTGCGTATATATATATATGCAATCAGTAACTGACAATTTTTTATCTGAGCATGTCGTTTAGCATATTTAATGACATAGTGATAAATAAAACACATTTAATGGTTTTCTACTAATGAAAAACCAAACTTCAAAAGTGAATTATTCCTTTAAAAAAAAAATAGCATAGTATTTCTGTTTTAACAAAAATGTGAGCCGGTAATACTGAGGACGAATGCCTTACAGTACAACCAGTCAGATGGGCAAACACCCGCCACTTGGTTCGGTTCTAAAGTTATCAGGGGATTATGAACAAGTTGTAATTTATATGACAGTGATACAAAATAAGGATATTTATCACACACCACAGTTACTACCAAGTGCATGGTCAAAAAGATTCTGTAAAAGATTCTGCATGAAGTCCTAAGTCTTCAATATTAATTTTCCTTCTTTATTCATCATTTTTACAGTTAGCAAATATGACGCCAATGCTGGAAGAAGTATGTGTTTCTCATTTTGAATTACATTAAAAGTGTTGCCCGATTCTGAATTTTGTTAATTCTTTCGTGCCCTTTTATTATTATTATTTCTTTCTCTCGTAGGTAGCCGCGTACTTTTTAAAATCTATTTTAAGTTATGCTCGACTTTCAGTTTTCTTTGCATTTTTTTTGTATGTTGACTTTTTGTGTTGTTTTATGCCAGAGAACCAAAATAAAATGATGATGATGCTTGCTTACATTTTTCTGCTGTCTGACAAACCGCTGTCATTTTCATCAGCGGCACTTGAGGTAGTTTCAACTAAAGAGTCTGGGGGCAGATCCGGTTGGATTCCTGACAATCCTTTCTCACTTTCGTCAGCTGCGCATGTCTCTGTATCAAATGAGGTATCTGGTGACAGATCCTGTTAACTTATGATCCAAAGTTAAATTATGGTATAAGTAATCCTCACCTCACAATTTGATGGTGTTTTTTGTTGGGCGACAAGAATCTGATATAGGGTCAGGGTATTCATCAGTTGGTCCATCGCCTCCATGAAAATGCATGATGGAACGCATTGCTTGTATGAAAATTTATTTCATATAAGTATTAACATATTGAATATATCATAGGTATTAAAAACAATATTTATGTTGGCCTACCTTGGTACACACGTAGGTATTTCTGGTGATTTATCCTAGGTTGAATTGACTGTGAGGCCTGTTGCATTCCTTTATCCACCTCATTGCTTTTTGGCGGTCAATATGTGGCTTCGGAAAAGGCACAAATCTTACTCCATTTGAACGGCAGGAGTACCGTACAGTTTGTCAGACCGGCAAATACCATATGCGCAGCGTTTACACATAGTTAGTCTACCAAAATAATTCACTAATAGATTCTGTATAATTGTCGGGGAAAGGTCCATCGGTATTGGCTAAATGTAGACCGATATTTCCGATATATTCAATTTTTCAATATGATCCAGAATGTTTTGAAAAAATAAGTTGAAATACTGATCTTGAAGTGATTTTATGCTTGGATAGATCGTAAACTATGAGCCATGCACGTCCCCACCCTCACGAGTAGAAACGGGAATAGGATTCTGACTTGTTTTAACTATTTATCAGGCAGACTAGCTCAACTAATTTGGCTATTTTCGCTGCCAAATTTTTATATTGAAATTTTTAATAGTACATGATAATTATGAAGAAATATATCAATCGATTATTAGTGGATTTTCCGATGAGTAATATACACTATACGACGTTGGCACAAAATACTGCGCACGTACTCAATGTATCAGTTTGATAGGATAAGGAGGCAAAACATTTATTTATTTTACCACCAACAGTAGCCAAACCCTATGAGTTTTCTAATTGAACACCGAGATTATCAACGTCAGTGCTCAATGCATCTGAATCAATTAACGCATTTGGTTCCCAAACATCAATATCTTAATTCTTAATATATGTTGTATATCTCTTTTTCAATCTGAAATAATGTGCACTATTAATAATGCTCGAAGACTATTGTTTAAACTCGTCTGCCCTGCACACTTGAGGTAATATTTACATAGTATCGGAAAATCGGCTTTTTTTCAAATATCGGCATCGGTATCGGTATCGGCGACAAGAGTGGTATCGGTACATCTCTACTTGATACCCGAATTCAAAAAATTAGGAAAAGTAAATTTATATATATATACATCTTTCTACAATGTATAAAAAGCCTTAATTTAATATTTGTTACCGAAGCAAGAGAAACATATACGGTACAAATTTGCGTTTTTAAGCGTAATTGCATATATAATATGTTATTCGTTGTGTAAAAAATGCGACGTCTTCAATAATAAAAAGACGTTTTTATCGGTGTTGCTCGGTGTCGTGTGATAGCCTTCTTGGTGCTGTTTTGTTTATGAGCAATTCGAGCAAAATGTCTATGCCCTACGCCTAGCCCAATACGTTAATTAAACAGATGTTACAGATTTGACTTATATGAGTCGGGAAATTTCGGACATAGCATTGAAACAGCTCGTCGATTGCGGCTTTGCCTTTATATCCACCAGCCATACATATGGGCAATGGGAATATTCATCATTGACGTGGGTAATCCATCCTGGATTGGATGCTTGGTCGGACGGGAATGCATGGGTTGAAGCTCAATCAACGTCAATTGGACAAGATATCAAATTCTCATATTTGTCCCCCGGAACGGGCGGAGTCAATAAACTTATTTCGTCTTTGCTCCGAGCAAGACTCTGTGTAAGCTTTGAAATGTTTCCAGTTACGGATAATCCACATTCTCACTTCGATACGAGACATTCATATTCGGGTTGAAGTGACAGGTAATACGACATAATGGTTAGAGTGGATTTCAAATTCTGCATGTTCAAAGTAGGTAAACGAGGGCGGCGAGGCCATTCTGAATCGTTTGGTTGATGCATAGACGAGAAGCTTCCATGCAAGCATTGTTGTGTGTGTCAATAAGAGTGATCATTTATTGTTCCCACGTTCGTAAAGTAGTTTCGAATTTTTTCTTGTATTTTTCGTATTTGTAATCTGGTCTCCAACCCGCATACTTGTATTAATAAAGACTTTTAATGTGTTTCATTATCTAGTATTGGAACGATTCTATTCGATTGTGTACGAATATATTGACATTCACCAACACAGATATATATTCCGTGGTTGTTGGCATCTGGAGGAGATGTGTTGGTTCATACACATATTCACGCTAAATTAGGCTCTCCGTCAAATACTGAAAAATATAGGGTTGATTTATCCAACGTTCGCCGCGAACTAGAGTTTGTGTCAGATAATACATAAAATAACTTGACGTTGAACAAGAATCTAAGAGAAAATGAGTCTATTCATCCACACATCCGTTTGAGATACGGTAAAGGTTTTGTATATATATGGTCATGAGAAAGTTTGGGAGCGTTCATTCATTTTTTATTTCGAATAAGTCTTTCCGTTCATCCATGCCGTTCGGGATTCTGCAATCATTGGAATTGTATAACCTTTTTAGGTATTCCCGTAGTGTATGTACCAGATTAGGCCACAATTTTATTCCGATTTTCTTTATTTTAGTTCTATTACGAATTCGAGGACTGTCTGTGTTAGCAAAGTGAGTATACCTCCTGCCCATAGCTTTCAGTAACTTTACACAACTCGATGTAAAGCAGGCGAACAAAGTTAGTTACTTCCATATTAGTTAGTACACACACTTCTGGAGAGCCCTTTTTTAATAGGCAAGCATTGATGACCGCCACCTATAATTGATTGTGATAGCGCTAATTCATCTGCGAATCACGGGGAGAAATCAAAAGCGCAATACCGAACACATTCCAACCTTTCGCTTAATTAATAACCGTCGTCGACGTGCGATATGAGACAACACTAACTATACTGATTTGGTGTCCGACATCCAATAGCCTGTTATCTTCTGGTCCAGACTATTGAAGCAATCACACGCTGGAACAGTCTTGTTGGGTATAAGCATTTACATGGCCGTCACTTTGGATACGCCTGAACGTGCCCAATCTGTAGACCCATATATATATATAAATTGTGATATCAAACATTTCACAAAATATATATATCTTTATTGTATGAATTGGCTTAATTGGATTAGAACATTAATCATTGGTAAAGATTTCAACAAGACAATATGCTACATTAACATCAGAACGATAAATAATATAATTTGCTTCTTTTGAATTAAAATAGTCAGTACTATTGCTTTGGATGATATATATAAAATTTATACAGATTTAAACTGAATGTATTATAATCTAAAAATCATTATAGTTCTATAAATAGTATCCATTTATCTATGTCATAAATACGGTAAACAAAAATTGAATTTGGGGTTTGGAATAAAACAAGATATTTTCTAATAAGAAAGGAACACTCTAATATTTACATCTATCTGGAATATTGATATCCACCCTAATAAATAGAAAAAAAAGTCACACAAGTGAAAATTCAAATACGGGTGTTCAACGCCAACTGTCCAAATTTTCAAATCTAATCCTATGCCTAGTTTATCGCTAATTTTTCTGTATTTTTAATTTTTCGCATATGTGATTATTTGTAGAACACTTCTCAAGGAACTTGGAGAGATTCTCAAATTGGGCAGTGAGCGTAGTAAGCACCCTACATTTATCAGATGTCAGGCATACAACAGTGAAAGCAATTATGTACACTAAAAATTTAGAATATAATTTTAAACTTGTAACAACAATGCCACTCCACCAAGAGTCCACTTGGCAGGCTTGTCCCTCGAACGAAGGTTGAATGTCCAAACGAATGTTGCGCCTCTCGCTTTGGTTTTGTACACTGGGCATTCATATATGTTTCTGGTTTCTTGTTTGTCTACTGGAATAGCCTAAAATAAGAAAGAAGAATCTCAAAATCTTAATAGTCAGTAGTATACTATATTGGTATTGATAAAAAGTATTGAAGCTATTTATTCTGGAGGTGTCCGAAGTTGTGAGTTATTGCAACAGCAAAAAGTTTTCAAATCTCTCAGTGTTCTTTGAAATTTCCACTTCTGCCTTCATTTAAAATAATTTACCTTGATGAATATAACCGGCATCTGTGGAGTTAGTTCTTTCAGACGAGCATCAGCAATCAAACCAGTCTGTGTGTCCCATCTAGCCCCTAAAATACATGAAAATGATAGTAAAATTAGAACATGCGATAGTAAGTTCTCTAATATTCTTCTACAGAAGGGTGCTTTTGGTAATTAAAAAGTGGTAAAACAGTAAATTGGGCAGACTCTAAAAGTTTTTATTATAACATGCTTCTTTTGCCATTTAAACAATTAATTCATTGGGATGCCCATAATGAAATGAATAATACTATTCTTGAATAAATTATGTTGATTTGTGTATTGCAAAAACTTCATACCTTCCATGTACATTCCATGAATGTAAGCACCTTCTCTAGGTGAGCTGCTGAAATCTTCTTTCTGTTTTTTAGTGACATCACATTGCAGACACATCTTATCGAGAGGCCACTCATTCTTGCGAGCCATCGACTGAAAACAGGAAAATTTACACTAGAAATTCATACCATGCTGTCACATAAGACATAGTTTAGGGAAGTGAGGTGAAATGAATATACTCTAAAGACTGTGGAGCGGAAAAACTTTCACTCAACTTCAGTTAAAAACCTCTAAATTTCAACATTAATCTGTTTACTGAAAACTACTGACAGTTTGACCTCAGCAAACTTAAATTTTCATTGATCTCCATTTCAATAAAGTTAAATTATTGCAGTCGGCAACTAGTATCCACACATTCACTATGTATTAGAAATCAATCCTACTTCCACGATCCCTAACAATATTGTCACATTGCCAGAAACGCATTAAGACAAACAACTTCACTTGTCTAACGTAGAATCTCTATCTATTCATACCCCTTACTTACGATGTATATGACAATGGTTATGTTTTATTTCATTACCTGCATAATAGCGGTCAAGAAACTCTGTGGATTGAACAAACCACCCAACCAAAAAGCTGCAGGCAGTTGGAAATCAGCCGTCCAATTCTCCAGTTCTTTGATACGAAGCAAGAGATCGGCATACCTGCCATCAAAAATTATATTATTACAAATATATAATTACAAACATGGATCAACTATTTGAATAAAGTGTAAATTTACTTACCGGTATGTATTGTCATTTTAACTCTTATTAATTACTTAAGACTATGAGCAGTCATAATTGTGATTTAAAATTGATTAACTCAATATTTATTTTATGATAAAGTAAAAGTAAATTGAATCCGTCAAATGATTGAGCCGTCTTATCGGCTTTCCTCTTCCCCGGGATAAATATGTAAATCCCTATTCCTACTACCAATGAAAAACTAATAAAAAATATAGAATTCCATTTGTCAAAAAATACTTTAAAAACAAGTCTCTTCCAAACAAAATCAAAAATAAAACCTGGCTTGTGTATCATAACGAGTTTATACAGACTTACCAGATGGAAAGACCAGAAAGTGATGGATATGCTTTCTTTGTCCACGATTCGGGCACTGAGTCCAAGAATAATGAGTTACCGAGGCTCTCCATATCAGCTGTGATTGTTAATTCACCTTTCAATCCAAGATCCAGAGTTTTCAGTGTGGATCTGTAATTAAAACAATATGTAGTTAATGTTCCATACGAAGGTGGTGCTGTATTTTTTTTCTGGTTATTTTCAATCATAAACCGTTTTAAAATAACACTAAAATATGATACCTGATTTCAGTAATCAAGAAATTCATCCTTTCACATTCTTGGAAGGCAACAACAACATATGGAGTACGATCTGCTGGTTCAACCTTACCCATCAATTCAACCATGTTGAATGTTTCCGGTAGTTTTTCAAGAATTTCATCCAAGACTTGTTTCAGCTGGAACAAAATGAATGGAGAAATAAAGAGTTTGTTTGAGACTTCACAGATATCAACATCTATCCATACTTATTTTGTGTTTCATCTCGAACATTAGGCTTATTGGTCAGTGACCAAATAAATAACAAATATAGAACTGACATGGCAAACTACGGCCCGTGGGCCAAATCCGGCCTGTTGGGTGATTCAATTTAACCCGCCTGATGCTGCCAAGAATTTCTGTCTTTAACCAATTTTGCATGCAATACATAGTTGATGTTATTAAAATCTGTATGGTGCAATAGACTTGTTAGATTATGATCGTAGTTTGTGTAAGTTGGATTTCAGGTTGCCACAGACTTTCATGTTCTGGGGACGTTACCAAAGCTTTACGTTTTCTCGTTCACTCGTTTTGGCGGTGTGCTTTTCAAACCTGTTTCTCATGCTCTTGTCAATTTAGTGCCCACAAAGTTTTGTAAATGTCCCCATAACGCTCTCTCAACGTTTTTTTTTGTTCATATCTCACACATTCTTGCCACGCAACCTAATCTATCGTTCCTCGAGGGTTTCTAATAATCTGTTGCTGCATACTTTTCCTGCACCCTGATTCATGAAAATTGATGGCTAAATTATTATGTCACATTTACATGGCCCTCCAGTCTGGATTGGCAAAATTTTTGGCCCCTGGTTCGAAAACGTTGCCCATCCCTGATATAGAAGGTGGTAAAATTCAACACAAACCAGCAGTAACCATCAATTTAATATCGCTAGAATGTTCCTAATCTGATTCTAATCTTGAGAGAGATATGCAAGAGCAAACATATGATATTGTTAGAATACCTTTTCATCTCTGCTTGGTCCAGCACTGGCCCCGCCACCAGTATCACGCGGCATCATTTCAAGAATAGTTCGGAACAGGTTATCAGATGTAGTTGTCAAGAAATCAATTTCTGCATTTGGATGAAGGCCATACAAATATGGACTTTCTGGTGGTAACATGTCATCGATGTATCCATGGTACCCTAAGATACGAATGAAAAATGCTCCATTTAATTGGACTATATAATAAGAGTGTTTATGATATATTAGGATGAACAGGTATTGGTCATGGCATATACGAAACACTCAAAAATTATACAGTAATAGGAAATGACACTGCGATGATTCAATTTTGATTAAAAATGCAATGGCACATCGGTGAGGCGTTAGACTCAATTACGGGTATATGTGCTACTGTTAGATATCAGTGGCTTTGTACAGAGCAAAAGGAGACTAATTTACTGAATACAGATAACAAAAATACAAATTTGTGTGAATGAATTTTAGTTGCAGTCTAAATACCCACACATACCTACGTAATCCAAGTTGAGAGGTAATGGGAAGCCAGGTGCCAAATAAATAGCACTATCAAACATATCTTGGTTCATGTACTCTTTCAAGTATGTTCTGCATAGGCATCTGTCCCAATCATCAGTAATGTGACCTCCGTACATAATTTCACCAAATAGATATCGCAAGTCATCCCAGGGTACCTGAAGTTGAAAATCAAAAAATATTCAGAATACAAACACATAATAAATGTTAAATTGTTTAGTTATTGACAAATTGAAGAAGATTTGGGGGATACAAGCATCAGTCATCATTCTGATAACAATGCATAAATGAAAGAAAGTTTAATATCCTCCAGTTATAACTTGGCTGAAAAGTTAGCTATAACTTGTGAAAAGTTAACTTGGCTCCTCACTAACGTACAGCATATATATGAGAAATTCATACCTAAACCAATACTGGATGGGAGACATACTATATGTCTATATATGACAGAATATGAATATTAAGTCAAACTACTTATTGCTTATGTTACACTCTTGCAATAAATCGATACAATTTGACACTAGGAGCATTCTAAGCTCCATGTTACTTTGTAATAGTTTAATGATTGATTAGTATTTCATGGCTATTTGGTGTTGCAGCTAAATATCTACAGTTAACATACCATTGCCAATCTCCATCACCAATAAGGAACTGAGCTTACTGTGCTAAATTCCAGACTAAAATAAAAATATGAGTGGCCATGTTTATGGCCTTATTCATAGCATAATTGTGTAATCACCACGTAAGATTAATGATATGTTATATGTTTCATTCATCAACAAGAAAAATATATGTTCATGTTACCTTTTGATTTGCTTCAAGATAGTTGTAAAGTACATTGACAGATATCGTGAGATCTCCAGTGTTGAATGGATAAAGTCTGTTCCAACCCTGAGGTCCGAATTTTCTTCTTTCGGATACGACAGCATGGAAGTAACACAGAGCAAATAAAATTGATTTGAATTCAATTTCACGAGCACACATTTCAAGAGTTTCCTGAAAAGAACGATAACTTTGATTTGAGATTAGGATAGGATTTTCATATTTATTCCAGGGGAGAGGAAAGTGGACCAAATGGTGTACCACGATCTCGTCAGGTTACCAGACCATGGTTGGGTATGGTATCAGTTAGCGAATTATTTGTTTTGGATCATGGACTTTTGGATGGTTGAGAAAACTTTAATTGACTAGCGCTTATGTGAATAACGGCATAAAATAATCCAGCCATCCCTCACACATAATTATTCTTTACAGAACTCGAACCTGTAAACCTGTGCAGGGTAATCAGAGATGTGATAGCAAGCATATTCCTGACGTTTATAAATCCATTCTACCTGTAAAATTGACAGCAAAGAAAGTTATATAATATATATATATGTATATATATATATACCTGGGTAAAATTGTCAAATGCTTTGTGCAAATTTGAATGCATTCCAGTTGGTGGTTCATTTGTGATCTTGATTGAATTTTCCAAAATGCCCTGTGTGTTATAAAACAATGGTTTGTACACCTCATTTACATTGAGTGACCAGAAAAGAGGTTTGCTTTATCGAGTAATTCACTTCTGCATACCTGAGGAATGTTATGGCTAGCTGCAGTAGAAGCAGGTTCAGCACTCATGTACACTCTCAAGTCAGGATGACTTCCCTCACTCAGTTGTTCAAGTTTGTTTTGCAGAGTGTTCAACCATTTGGCAACCAAGTGAATATTCTGAATAAAAATAGACTTTAGGTATCATTTCCAAAAGAATAAAAGCTGAATATGGTCAATAAGCAGAGTGAATAGTTTTTACCACAACAATTCATGGTAAAAAATATGGGACAATAGGACAAATGATAAATGTTTTGTAAAACGCCAAAAAACAAAATGACTGCATTATCATCAATTTTTTCTCATTTCTATTGCATGATGCCTTTCGACCATTGTTCAAAAAGATAAAAACTTTAATATTTATTGACAATAGATTCCCCTTCATTGTGATTAATATCATATGAATAATAATATATACCGGAAGTATAAATTCACCAAAGGTTATGAAAGTGTAATATAGACAAAACTCAAAAATTCACATCTAAATAATGCATAAACTTGACAAATGCTTTCTTTTTATATTTAAATAATAATAATACCTGTAGAATAACCCAATGCCCTTCTTTTCCAGCAAGGTTCAGTGCTCTTTCAGCAACAACTTCTTGACCTTGGCCAAGCGAAACGTTGTGGAAATTCTTGTTATCAAAAGTAAATCCAAGTTTCTTTCCTAGAGCTTCTACTTCTTTCAGTGGGTCAACACCTGGATAAAAGCATTTAGGAGTAATTTTAGATAATCAAAACAATGCTCGAAGAATGCTATGTCCAAAGTATCAAAATTATTAAAGTCTGTTGTGTGCATAAAGTAAATATGTAAACTATAGGATAGGACAGAAATTTCTTATTCACCCTAGGCGGTAAGAAAACCAATAAGATGGATTTAAATCATGGCGTATTGTTCAGTTACCAGTCCATAACCAATCAGCGATTACATGAACCACCTTGCAGCGCGAGTAGTCCAGCAATCATTAAACACATAATCATCTCTTATGGGATTCGAACCTGCAAACCCCTGCAGAGTAATCAAAGGTCTGATTGCAAGCATATTCCAAATGCAAAATTTTACCAGGTGAAAGAATGAAGAATGTTGGGGTTTCAGGTCCTGTTTCTTCAAACGATTTTTCAAATGGAATTCCTCTTGTATCAACATATCTGGTGCCAAGTTTCTCTTCAACAAAGTCCCTGAAGTAAAAATCCAATTCATTTAAGTAGTTCATTTAACATGATAAGATGATTTTAATAAAAATGCTTTTTTAAATTTATTACATTGATTTTATTCACTTCTATTTTTACCTTTAAAATCTGTACATCTCTTAATCTTTTTTCAGGGGATGCGAGATAAAGAATGCTTGTGGTAACTATGAATCAATGTTCTATATTTCAGATGGATTGACATGTATGAATCAATACGCCATGTCTGTATTAAAATTGTATTTAACAATATTTTAAACAACATTTAGGTTTCATCAGCCGTATATATTTTCTTAATTCTTGCAGATACTGTCTCTCATGTTAACAGAGGAATTGAAATAAGTCTTTTACCTCACAGCGTAAGTCATTCTATCAGCACGTAGAGCACGCATGATGCATAATTTTTGGAGAGCATTTTTGTTTTTCCATTCTTGCGGCAATTTTTCTTTTTCTGGAGCTTCACTCTCAACCAGTTTCTTCCAACGTTTTGTTGATCCTTCGATGTCTCGATCTAGATTTCTGAATTCTTCCATTTCGGACAATATCTTGATTGCTCCCCATGAAGCATTGGTTAAGAAATCAACAGGACTGGTTGCATTCAATTGTGTGGGGAAACGTAGCAAAAAGTCGAGCTCAACTGGATTGATTTGACGCATCATGAGCATGATCTATCAAGAAGCCAAAATGTAATAATGAAAAAATTTTCAGAAAGACAAAGATATTCTTATTGTAATATCATTAGAGCCTTGTGATAATGCTGGTTATGGATTGAATCCGAGTTTCTTTTTCACTTAAAAACCTGAAATCATTTGATCTCTTTATGAAGATGCATCAAAAATTTATATATTTTTATATTTTCATGAGGTGATTCACACCTACCAGTGTACCAGTGTTGGGTATATGCCGAGTCAATTAGAGTCGCAATTTTGGTTCTTCCTTTGATATAGAGAATTGAAACTTTTTGCAACAAACCGTTTTGCAATAAACTAGCACTAATTTGACAACCAGAACAGGATTTAATCAAGTATTGACAACAGCCTATCGGCTTATCCTATTTTGAATTATCTTTTCTAGATAGATGATTTGTCAATATAAAATTGAGTACCATAGTAAATCATACTTCATCATAAATTTATTCCCATTTCGAATACTTACTAAAAACTTAGGTTTCTCTATCCAACCAAAATCTTTTGTCCAGAAGTTTTGAGTCACTTGAGTTTTTGAAAAATCCTGACTCAAGCCACATCAATCCCTCAAACGTCCCCAATTCTACTTAGATTGTGAGCACAATTTTTGGGTCTATTTAAGTTTACCTGGAATGCAACTTGTGCGGTGTAAATCAGTTTGTCTTTTTCAAACAATCCACGAGTTGTATAGAGGAATACTGAATATGTGATTGAATCTATCAAGTTTTTCACTCTGTTCTTCAGGTTTTCATCTGGCTCTGCTTTCTTCACAGCTTTTTCAAAAACGATGCTGAATGACTAGGATGAAAAATGTGCAAAATAAATCATTTTTTACAAAGTAGGAGTATTAAAATTAAAACTGGCGATGGTTAATATGATAATAGATAAACTGACTTCAGATAATTAATGATTACAATTCATTTGGAACATCAACTGTCATCCAAGTAAGTACATTCACCTAATAAAAAGTAATCAGCACATAATTAATGTTGATTCCTCAGAATATATTTTCAATGATTCAATCATAATTGCATAGTATCAAAAGGCTGCAGCTCACAAGTGAATATACGCAATTTATGTTTGTGGTAAACTTTTAAAAATAACACTGGTCAAACGATTAACAATTTAATTTTGTCTGGTTAATGGTCAAAGTGTTTTCAGTGAAATTATAATTTTATTCAAAAATGAGAATTTTCTTCAGTAAGTTTTGCAAACCTTCAGTGAGAACTGGTACATAGGATGAGTCTTGTACAAATCATTCATGATGAAGTAAAGCAGGGAAGCACGAGCTGCGGCTGGACGATAATGCTCACGAGCTTCATTAATCTTGATTTCAGTCATCTTTGCTTCTTTTACTTTCACTTCAATCTCAGCGGCTAAAAGTTGAATAAATTTTTCAGGTTGTCGAACCAGTCGATAGAAGCATATTGTGCATGGAACAGCCTTTTCTCCTGATTTATTTTCTAATTTGGATCAATCTGTAGCATTTGCTACAAGGATGCTCCAACAAGATATCATCGTGAAGATAGTAATAGAGTGATAAATAGGAATAACATAATCCCTTTGCTCATATTCCTCTTTTCGTTAAATCAAAGTCTAATTTTTTCAGACTCCATTTCACAATTTTTTTAAATTTAGCATAGTAACTTGCTTTCAAAAAATCTTATGATCCTGTTTTATCTGAAGAAGTTGGACTATGATTCAATAAAAACTGACAATTATACTCGCTAATGCTTGCTTGCGTGAAAACAATATGTTATTCTATTTATCTTCTCTTCATTTCAAACTTCGAATTCAAACTAAAATTAGTCTAACATCTAGTCGTGGTCAGTTACATACCTGTGCGTTTTGTGTTCTCAAGATTCTCAACTAGTGCAGTGTCACTGAGGAAATTTCCAGAAGCAGATGACAGACGAGCAAGCAAGTCATCTTCTAGTCTCTTCAATGTAATCTTAAAATCATTCTGCTGCTTGGTCAGATCCAACTGTAAATGACAAACAAGAATATTTTAAATGAATGTGAAATGTTTAACTGAGTCTTTGGGTGATGGCTTGAATCTTCAATTAGTAAGAATATTTAATATGAAACAAACTTTTAATCTCCTTAAGGAATATTAGCAATTCTGCAACGTATATTTGCATTCCAAGTTTCTTGCACTAGAATATTCGGTAGATTCACTGTCAAGCTATCATTAGCATGTTTAGCAGTACAAAACAATCAGCTTCTTTTCTATCTTACCAATTTGAACTATTTAATTATTTTTAGAGTGAATTGCACACTTGTGAGGACAGGATTTCTATATTTATTCTATATCTAGGAGGGAAAAGTTACAAAGACGGCTTAAGTTGGATGGTGAACTACAGCCTTCCATCCTAAATCTACTATCTGCAATGCCATCATGTTCAGTGCAACAATAGGCCCAAATATAATATGCAACAATACTTGACAATAGTTCAATTTTCTCAGTTAACCAATCAAAAAATACAATCACAAATTGGTCACCTTCAATGCTTCCAAATCAGGTCTTTCCATACCAACCACAGCAGCTAACAACTGATCTTCAAGACCATCTCTTGTTACAGTGAAATTGATGAGAGTACACTGTGCCTGCATCTCAGGTTGATAATGAGGATTGGCAAGTTTTGTGTGCAGAATAAGTCTGAAGTTGGGATGATATTCACATTCCTTGTCACCAATCTTGATATACCTGGTTCAGTAATAAATAGCAGTAAGTAATATGCCAAAGACAATGGGCAATATGGGAGAGCAATTAAATTACCTTCATTTCTGAACAGGTTTGACCATCGGTGGTTGGCAATTGTGCAAAGTGTTAGTAATATGCTTGCCATCGTACCTATGATTACCCTGCATGTGTTTTCAGTTTAGAATCTAATGGGGGATAATTATGTGCAAAAAGATTGCTGGACTCCTCACTACCATAGAGTAATTCATGCAATCGCTAGCTGGCTACGCTTCCTCCACTATGAAGTCCATGCATCTGAAACGAATAAATGGAAAAACTATTCCTAACATGATAGCAGACGAGAAGTCATAATTTGCCATATGCTTCGGCTGTTTAATTGACTTTCCAATCCCCAGGATAAACATAAAAATACTATCCTATCTTAAGAAAATAGGAAATGAATAGAATACACAGCAATGTTTTGTGCACAGCGTTGTAGAGAGTGAAAAAGAGGTAACACTCCAAATAGCACCTCAAAATAAGATACATTATGAAGGAGACGTTACCTTCCTTTTTTGATGGTTTCACGTCCAAGTAAAGGTCCAAGAACTGGATCAACAGATTCCTCAATGTTTTCAATCAATACTGGATCTCCCACACCCAAAGCATTTTCAATCACATCAAGGTATCTAAAAATATAATAAAATGTAAAAATAAGTATAAAATTTGAAGGAAAATATATGATGAAAAATATCAATAATCGAAGAGCATAGATAAATGCATAGCATATAATGAAGATAAATTTTCCCAATATCAATGAAATGGCCCATTACATTTTAGAGCGAGCTATGTCATATTAAATAATTAAATTTGAATTTTGATCAAAATTACTTTTCATGTGAACTGGTTGCAAGACATAAATATACATCATATGAACCTTTCAATAAATGGATAATTTCAATAAATATATTATGATCTTGTAAGAAAAAACTGCTCTATTTTCATAAACACAAACATGCTGAAATATTTAGGTAATGGCAACTTTATAAAAATGTTGATAAAGAATTTTCTGACGTTGATACCAGTTTTAAATTCCTTGCTTATCACATAGCAACAAATCTTTTTCACTAATTTGTTAACAACGTCATACGAGCACTAGTTCAAGTTGGTTATAAAAAATTATCTTGGTTTTCTGGGAGATTTATATCTCGGCTAATTGAGTGCTATTCACATTGTTATCATATTTGCACAATGCGAAGATAAAATAAGATGGTAAATCTACTGACCCTCTCTGTCCCATACGCAGTGTTTTCAAATCACTTCCATATTTATTTTTGATCCATTTAACACCTTGAAGTTGTGGATCCACCATCAATGGCCATCTCTGACAATTTACCTAAAAATATAACACATTACATGTAAATAATACAGAATATTGTTACAATAGACAGATTGGGTCAGAATTGGCTTTTTTCAAACTTGCCTGAGGAGAATCGAATAGGATTTCACGATACACTGCTCATTTGACTGATTATCAGTCGTACCCAAATATGTTTCCTAATGCAAATGCTTGCTGTATTACTCAACTTTGCAGCTTGTTACACATAACTGATGGTCAGTTACAGTTTTCTCTATCTTTTGATTTTATGCACCTTGTACAAGGTGACACATAAAGATAACCTAGGCCATTTGTAACATATGCTATAGAGAATATGACTTCTACGGAAATCATCCTAGATCACCTAAACTTTTACACATAAAGATAGAAGGTAAAGTGATAAATAAATTTTTACATTTTCGCAGGGGTGATTAGGAATTTATGTGTTCTGCTAGTTCACCTCATATAGTGACTAATAAATTACCCATCCCCATACCAGGTCTGAGTTGGTAACATGACAAGAGGCCATGGTTTGACATGTGAATACGCTATCCTATCAGCATTCCTCTCTACTAAAATCAATATAAAAAATTCTAGTCCTAATTGAAAGAATTGGAATTTGGGTCTTCACTTTTAAAACTGAAATGTATATTTTCTAACAAAACATTTAAAGAACAAACCAGAATTGTTGCATTTTCTGTTGACATTCTGTCAGTAGGAAGGCCTTCATTATTCCATCCTGCAATGTCAGCTTCATCACTCAACATTTTAATGAAGTCAAGATCATCCGTGATTGGAATAGATTGCTACAATAAATAATAATGTTTAATCGACCTAATAGTTATTTATTTACAACACAGTCAGTGAATGATTTAAATATTCAAATTGATTCGAAATGATTCCTATAAAATATTTTAAGTTCTTAATTTGAAAAATTAACACTTTGAGTAAACAAAATCTTACAATATAACAAAAATCAATTTTTGAAATCGTGAAAAATGAGAATCAATCAAAACATATATTCAATTATTCATCTCAATTTTTTTCCATTTTTAAATTCCAACTCATTGAACAAACATTCTATGCTCTCTGTGTTTTCGTTAAATATAAACCAATTTGGAATATATTTGATATTTCATATGCAAAAATATTATTTTATAATGTATTTGGAATATTAAGGTACACTGTTTAAATTTGGCCGTTCTTGCACGAGTTCTTTCCAACATTTTTCTTGTTGCATATGATACTGCTTGATACTTTATATTTATTTTAGCCACGATAATTCTCGATCATAACATGAAGAATGAAATTAAATAGAAACATAAAATTCACTACCGGAAGGGACTTGAGGAATGGCATCCATTTTTCTTCCAACATCTGGAGACGATATGGTTTTGTGAAATATCCAACATACGAAACATAGGCTGAAATTAGAAAATTCAATTAATCCATGAAGCATGTAATTCAAATATGAATTCATGAACTATTCATTCATATTCACAAAATTTCACTAAAGAAAATACACTTCAATATGAGCACTTATCTACATACATGAGAACAGTTAAATGTATCATCAGAAACCAACCTGTAATCATGAGAACATCTCCAACCAACTTTGTCTCTTGTTCCTTGAAATCTTTGACTGAATCAGCCCAACGTACATTTTCACTTGCAAGTCCACCGACCAATCTAAACACAAATTGTAGTTGATGATTAAAAGAAAATGAAGAAATTTCATAAACCCCCCTTTGAAATTGTTTGCTACAACCCAGATCCAAATTATTAATAGCACAGAACCATATCTAAATTCACGAGACAAAAGATATTTGTTATATCAGCAAATTGTTACACTGATTATTGCCATTTGCTCCTTATTTTAAATTTAATTCTTTATTGATATACCTGTTGGCAAGTGATATAGTCAACTGTGTTGCTTCAGCTTCTTGTTGACATTTGAGTTTTGCAGCAGTTGCTTCTTCAAATTGGCTTGTAAGGTTCGCTAAATTCTCATTCAGCAACTGTAATATAATAGGAAAAATGAATAAAAAACTGATCTATCACCAAAATATATCATTTTGAAAGTCTATAAAATCTAAAATCTAAAACTCGAACTTTCTCCAAAATTTTGGTGCTCCAGAAATATGCGCACCAAGATGTCACACAACCTGAATCCGAACCGAAATTTTTTTTACTATGAAATTACTATTCTGATTTTACATTCCATTTCCATTTTTAAATTCGATGTATTGACTGTGTGAACAAAAAAAATATAACGGAAAAGGAGCAATGCAATAAATGTGATGAATTGAATATCCTAATCTTATATGCATGCACTTGAACATAAGCTAAGTTTTTGGAGGGATTCTAATTTTGTTCTTTAAAACTGAAAATTTCACATGAAGATTCTGAATTCATAATTATTTCGAAAAACCAAAAATTCAATTCAATCACAGAGCTGAATATACTGAATTTTATGTAAGTTTGAATATTTTATCCTGAACATACTCTCTGAACATAAATCATGAGAATATAGCTAACTTCTATAGTCTCAAGTTCTTACCGAAATTTTTGACTGGATCACAGCAAGTTTTTCTTGTGCAGCTGCTAAGTCAGAATTTGCTTTTGCCAAAGCCAATCTCTTGGGTTCAACATCACAGAAAATCTCGTAGAATCTAACAATGTTGATTGCCCATGCACAAAGACCTGCTGCTGCGAGAGACTGTAGAAAGAATACATGAAGAAATGATCATTGAAAACGATCTTTATATGACATAGTGTAATTTTCATTTATTCTACAATAAATATTAGTGTTTTACAAACAATTACATGTTCTCCAGACATATGCGCCCCAAGATGTCGCACAACCTGAATCCTGACCGGTACACTCATACTATGTTAGGTTGTGCGCCATCTTGGTGCGCATACTTCAGCAGGTCCCAATTATTAATATCTCAATTTGCGATGGAAAATGTCAGAACAATTGACCTTATTTTTTGGAAAATTGAATGATCTTTGAGTTCTTAAAAAAATGCGATTGGCGCAGTTTGTTTATGTATTTTTAAAAAGTAGCAGAAAGTAAAAAATAAATAGAATAAATTTTGTCGGTTAAAGATTTATAACCCCCAAATTAAGTTATCGGTACAATATTACATGTTACAAAAAATTAGCTTATCCATGAAATTTATTGCGTCAAATGTCAAAAAAGTTTGAAGGTTATTCATAGGTATATGATTTAGGCAATAATACTTCTGAACAATGTAAAATAATTTTTTTTTACTTTTCCTCGAATGAACTCTGCTTCAAATTCAGGGTTGTCAAGATATGGTTGAATTGCTTTCAAACAACTTTCATGAATATTTTCTTTGTCATAATTTATAAGAGCATCCAGGAAAGCGTCAACTTTACCCATCATAACTTTGCCAGCTTTCCAGCTGCGATCTTTGGGAACTTTGCCTGAGTACAAAAAATACAAAAAACTTGAATACATAACACTTCTTACACCTATCTAAAATTGAACAAACTATGATTAAATGAAGTAGTATGTGCAGAAATTATCTTGTTTCTCTATGCCTCTGTGCTAGTGCATCCACAAGGACACTGACTGCAAGAATTCAAGATGCTCGTATGTAAACCAAGATGGCGGACACCTGAACATAGTATGTATACCAACCAAGTTAGGGTTAGACCATAATTTTATTCCAATTTTTCTTATTTTAGTTCTATTACGAGTTCGGGGACTAGCCAAGTGACCCCCGTAGTATTTGTGCCTGAAATTATGGCCTAACCCTAACCTGGTACACATACTACATTCCGGTGTCCGCCATCTTGGTTCACATACTACGGGAGTACCAAATTCAATGGCAAGAACCAAAGTGGCTGAATTGAGTGGTCCAATTGTGTTGCATCATGTATCATTGCCTGGGAAAGTATGGCTTTGGTTATTTGACAAAATAAAAATTTCAAAATTATGACATTTGAACCTCTCAATACATGCAAATATTACAAAAAAAGAATAAGAAATGTTCAAGAATAGCAAGTTCTTCTAGATTTAAAAATTTGTTACATTCTAGAAACCAATTTCAAAAATTAAAAATAAAGTTTAATTGGAGCTAAAATGGCAATTTAAGTCCTCATTGCATCGAAAATTTGTTGAAAAATATATCATTCTGGAGAAAAGACAGACTTGAAAAGCAAAAAGACGTTCTTTAGATCATAGTTTACCGCTAAAATACAATTAAATAATCAAGTCACCTCCAGGAGCCATAAGCACCATAACAGCTGCAATAACATTGACCACAGCATTTGGAGGTGAACCGAATGACTTCAACTCTGTCAAGTTGCTCTGAAATAATATAAGACATTATTAAAAAATAAGTATTGACTGGGTTTCTGTGTGACTAATTATTTCCTCTTCTTCTTTTATGTATTACACACTGGTGAATATGTATGCCCAAAATTCATATGTCAAAAAAAATATCAAAATTATATGTCTCAGAATTTAAAATTTATGGCTTCTTCCACCACCAAGTTCATGCATCTGAAACAAATGACTGTTAACTAATTCCATACGCGAAATAGACTGGTAATCGAATGAGAGGCCGTGGTATTCCATAAGTCGACTGTTCAGTTTCTTCTTCCCCGGGATAAATATTTGTTGTGATAGGTGCATACAACGAGTTATGATTTGTAGGCTCATATGCGAAATTTTATAAATTCACCGTTTTCAGTGGAATCGGCTTATATGCCAGAATATAAGATAATTTGTTTTTAAATTTTATGGTAGATTCTGTAAAAAAAATCTCAACATAATAAAAAACCTTGTTCAATGTGTTCAAAGCCTCTTGTGCAGCAAGTAATGCAGGTTCAGCTTTGGCTAAATCAGTTTCACAATCTCTTTGTTTCTTGGTGACTTCAATTTCAATGATAGTAACTTTTTCTTCTTCAACATCTGCAATTGCTTTTTCTTTGCTGACTTTCTCAGTTTCAACACCAACAACCTGACAAGATGTGAATGATACAGTCAGTGGTCAGATTCAAAATTTTAAGAACATGTTCTTTTTTGTATCAATCTCACTAGCAATAGGTTAAAGTCGAACTTTGGCTACTCTGGGTTGTGAATTCGTTTTCTAACTGTCGACAAACAGACAGACAGATCTGAACAGGCAGATAGACCTCCAGCCAGTCTTACTACAGGCAAATTTTTGAAACCACCCTTCTCTATGAATTGTTGGGTTAATACTGGAAGCCTCAAAAGATGTCGTGATAAGTCGGCTGTGCAAGTTGATACAGGAAGTGAATACCTAATTTTTTATTATCAATTCTACCTTCTAATTTCTTGGTGTTCCGTCAAACAAGATAAAAATCGTAGGTGTTCCAAGATAAAAAAAATTAAAAAATGCTGGTCTAGATTAATGGCATGTATTGAAACTTGACAAAAATCATCAAATTTACACCTGCTATCAGCAATCTAAGCCAAATATGGCGATTATGACATCTATTTTAAATTTACTTTTCTATTCTTATAAATATGGAAAGTTACATACCTGAATAAGTTTATCAGCATCTTCATTTTTCTGTTTCAGTTCAACTTCCTGTGCTGCAAGCTTGTTCTTCAAATCATCGACCTATTCAAGCAAATTATTGTTTGTTTATATCACTGGTATATTTCAGAGAATGGAATACCAATTTTTCTACAGTTTAATTTGTTATACACTCTACCCCATTGCATAAAATAATTGACTTGATTTTTCAATATTATTCAATAGATGGTGAGTTCCAGATGTAGGGCTCAAATTGTATTCAATAGTTGTGTTCTGAAAATTATTATCAACTCCATATTCCACCTTAATGATATCAAGAAATAATAAGAACAAAATTATATCATTATTGAGAAAATTTTCCTAGAGCAAGGTCAAAAATCACGGTTTTGTATCACATACCAGTAAATTGAGATCGACACAAAACTAAAAAAAAAATAACCAGAATACTATTAAATCACAAACCTGTGATGCTGTACTTCTGAGTTTTTCCAAACCGTTTTCCAGACGTTCAACAGCCATTTGCAATTCTTTGTTTTTCTTTCCCAACAAAGTCTCATAAAGTTTGATTTGTTCCAAGAAACTTTTTGGCGTTGTGTAATTATATCGTCTATTTGATTAAATAGAAAATCATTCGATCAATATTCTTATTTATCACATGATCAATAGCAGAACAATATTATTTGAAAAGAAATCTGATAAGATAACACACTGAAAAAAAAATTGCAGATGATGGCCAACTCAATTTTTTATTTTAATCCATTTGTTATATATATTTTTTCATATGCATACGAAAGATATTGGTACAACACTGGATATTATTTTTTGGACAAAGCCTTGAACACAGAGATAAATACATACCTGTCATTCAGCAAATAGTCTTTGCTCAATTCATTGACACTGATATGAACATATGACATGAATTTGCACAGTGACACCCTCACATTCTCCTAAATAAAATAATATTAAACATAATTTTGCGAGAATCCTCAAATTGGTACAAAAGCCGAACCAATATATAGTGACTCTTTCATCCTGATCTCAACAGAGTTACAACTTATTAATAAAGCAGGAGCCAGGATTTGATGGCAAGTGGGAAAGAACAGACAAGTGGATCCATCGGTAGTCAAAAATAGGTGCTCCCGAAGTATGCGAACCAAGATGGCGGACATCGGAACGTAACAAGGGTAACAGGTTAGGGTTAGGCGATAATTTTTTTTCCAATTTTCCTTATTTTAGTCCTATTATCAGTTCGAAGACTAGCCAAGAGCCTCCCGTAATAATTATACCTAAAATTATGGCCTAACCCTAACCTAGTACACATATTACATTCCGATGTCCGCCATCTTGGTTCGCATACTTCGGGAGCCCCCAAAAATATATTCAAAGAGTTGATTTAGATATACATGAATGTATGATCGAAAGGCAATTAAGACCACATAGCCAACTCAACCCTTAACAGTATAGAATCTTTATTTATGGCAGTGGCTCCAAAATCAATTTCTAAAAAATTTCTTCTTAACTAACCATGCTCAGAGATTAAACATAAACTGATCAATATTACCCAAGATTGATGAATAGGACTGGCTATATCGAACATTCAGACACATTATTATGGCTTCGCGATTTGTATTGCAAAAAATGTATGCAAAAAGTTTAGCTATTATAGTGCATAAAAAATTACACAATTACCTCAATTCCATCAATTTCACCAATAAACCTTGAGCTGACAGATTCCAACGCATCTTGTGGCCATTCATGGAACCAATCAATCGCAGTACAGTTGACAACGCCCGGGAACTTACGTGCACGAACTCTCAAAGTGCTGCCAACAGGAGAGAAACAAAGAGCAACCTGGCAATAGGTACCAACATAAAAATGCGATCAAATATTAAAACAAAAGAGATTACTAATTAGCAGGACCTTCACACAGTTTTACATACCTGAATTCCTCATTATTAGGAAATATTTCAGATTTTAGTCAATTATGAGCAAGGCAAGAAGAAAGTAAGTATTCATTAGTCCAAAAGTCAATTTGCCCCACAGGATTCAAATGCGTAGGGTAATAATAATAAAAGATATAACCTTCAAATTTCTGCGAACTCTTTCAATGAAAAATTTCCAGCAAGTTTCACGGGTGTCTACCAGGCCCGCTCCCTTTACTTCATTCCGTACACCACTAATTATATTTTCGATTTCATCATCAGGGAAGAGATCAGAAATTTCACCAGTAGATAACAGATCGTTAACAAGTACAAGGAAACGTTCATCTGCCACCTGTGATCACAATTTAAAATTTTTATTCAAAATAGCGGAAAACATAGAGAAAGTTATCGAAGTAAATAATGAGTATATTGCAATCATGATTGGAAGGATGTACAATAATAATAATGGGTGCTCCCAGAAGTTTTATCTCTCATTTACCCCATTTGTAACAATACTAAAGATAAATATATTCTGGAAAAAATGAAATGTAAATTATGAAATCTTCACCTGTGCATCAGTGAGCAAGAATAACACGCCAAGATTTTTCACTCCAGCTTTCACATATAATGCTCCAAGGTCAATCTGAACAAAAACAAAAAACAAAATTTCAGAAAGCAAAGCGAACAAATGTAAATAATCCTAAGTAAGTTTGTTCAAATATTTTTAAACAGTCCAAGGTTCACAAATCTTGATTGAATTTGATAGTAAGTAATAGGCCTTTTCTGTAATAATAGGTAAATATAATATAATTCAAACCTTCAAATCAGGGATTCCATATCCTTTCCTCAATGTAATCTGGAATACATCTAATCCACTGATGAAGGCTGCAAGTCTTGATAAACTTTGTTTACCAGAACCACCGACACCAACAAGGAGAGCATTTCCTCGAGGACTCTCAAAAATCCGGTTGATACGACATCTATAAAAAGCATGATATTGTAGCTTAAAATCAGTTAAATAAAATAGGATTCTTCAGAGTAAATTGCATCTTCAAGTGCAACCAGAAAAAGCTGAATAGCTGAGTATTCTAGAATTTTATTTTTGACTTATTTTGATTTTGAATATTTTATCTACACATCTATTTTACATCCCAATCATGTCATATATCGAATTTTAGTCCATGGAATTTTATATAAATTGTAATTTCACTATTCCAGTTTTAAAAGTAAAACAGTCATTCAAGATATCTGAATTGTAAATATGAATTTTTTTGAATTGCATCAATTTTCAATGAACCTCTGGATATCCTTAGTATCAACAACCAAACATGCGAATAAGTGACGCTTTTGTGATTGTTTCCAACTTCTCAAGGAATCTCAACACTGTAAAAACAGGCATCTATGGACATTATATTTGAAAGACTATAATTTTTTTATTTTCAACCTATCCTATCCTGTGTGAACAGGCTAAAGCTAGATAAGCCGATTAGCTTTGATTAAATAATAGACAGAAAAGGAGTCAAACACAACTCTAGCTTGCAATGACAACAAAGATTTGATTGAGTGAACACAATAACATATAAGTGAATACATGCAACACCACAAAGCGATTTTTAAATCCAACTTTTTTAAAGACTCACATGTGTGACATGGCATCTTCAAACAACACTAGATTCATCACTGCATTCAGTTCATTGTAATTATCCAAAGCTTCTGTGAGAATGTTGTTCAAATGTTCCCATGTTGGCACAGAATTATATTTTGGTTCTCCAATTCCAGTTGCAAAATGAGCAAATATGTGGGGATTTGGTTGAATCGATGTTTCAGGGCAGTCCTGAATGAATCGTTTACATTTAATTATATTCAAGGATACCAAATATATAAATAAGGTAAAAATACTGTTACGGCACAAAACTGATTATACTTTTTGTTACATACATGTTGAACAAATAAGATAGATAAACAGAGTGTCCATAAAGTCCCTTTACAATTTCAATTTTGTTATGAAGCCAGTACTCAATACATCTTAACCAGGTTTGTTGTTTTTAAACAGTAATTGTTCAAGTATTTTTACTTCATTTAATACATCACTGATGGCAAAAATAATATATAGTATTGATAAATTCCCCTTGTGATGTTGAAATATTTGAAATTTTATGGACGCCCTATACTTTCTCATGTTATTAAATACTACCTAGAACATTTAGAATATTCATTATTTCAGTGGTTGAAGTATGTAAAGTGGGAATAGATGTTAGAAACATAATCATTAATGCATTGTTCATTATCACACATAGAAATTTTTAATTTTCTAAATTAGAGTTACTGTGAACTTCACCATCCACAATGTTATATATTATTGCTCAAGCTTTCTTTTCTATTTCTTGTCTGTGCCTGCAACTATCTATTGCGATACTAAACAAAAATGTGACCGAACAAAAAGCTGCAGTTTGCAGTATAATTGAGCATGGTTACAGGTGTCGCTGCTCGATAACCAACTTTGGTTCTTCACGTCACCTTTCACCATTAAATGTCATTTTTAACTTTTTTTTAAGTTTATGTTCACTGTGAGTGCATTTTCATTTTGGTGACAAATAAACTACTGACTGACTGACTGACTGTTTATCTCTTTCCTCTCCACTATGATAAAGATCAATTTCTACCTCGAAAAATTTTTTGGCCATCTCCACATAAATTGCATCGTAATTTGCCATATCTTTGTCATCTATGAGTTTATCACGATACACACGACATGCTTCATGAAGACACAAAGCCACAAGATCATTCACATTTTTCACTGCATCTGGCATTGCAAACAGAATTCCCTGAAAAGTAATGGAAGTTATGTTAAGCTGTATACATTCTGGCATTAAGAAAAGCAATTAAAGATTGTTAAATTAAAGATTGATAGTTTTTAATGCACAATGCAAAACGGTGATGTTTAGAATTGAACAGGACAACCTGAATGTAGTATATACTGCTCGATGACTTAAATTATTTAATCCATTTTGGTGGGTGTTTTTAAGAAGCATATTACAAGTTTTCTTTTATTTCCGGGGACAATTGGATCAATATATACCGGACCAAATTCTACTAAATACTGTTTTAAAAGTCCTAATATTCACATGAAAAAAATAAATTCTTTTAAACCTGGAAGATGTTGGACAAATCACGAAGATTGAAAACATAGTGAAACTTGATGGCAGTGGGCAAGAAACTCTGGCTGATTTTTTGATGGAGAGCAAGTGCCATGTCAACTAGATTAGAGGCTGCTTTCTGTACATTCATTGAAAACTTATTGATCTTAAGATGTTGAGACAAAATACTGTTGTAAATTGTCTTGAGAGATTCTTTACTTGGAAAACTGAGGGCAAAGACACAGAAGTGACGCTGTAAAACACAAAAGATAAAATTAATATATTAAATTGCGATTCATATTATAAACTGGATGCATGATTCGAATACTTTTATTTGAGGAACATCAAAAATATATACTTGTGAAATGTTTACATTATTGACAACATTTCTAACTAACATTGAATAATAAATACGACAACATTATGTTATATAAGACCTGACAAGGCAATCGTTGAGAACCATAATTTTCAAATAAAACTAAAGTAAATATTAGTATTATTATAAATTGAGTGATTGCACCTGACAAGTTAAAACATAAAGTCAATACAATTTGGTTGCATTTCATCTAGATTTAAATTTGCCTGATTGTGAAATATCGTAGAGCAATTCATTTTGCCTATTTTACGCTTTTCATTCAATTTATATTTAAAGCAAAGTTCCGGTAAATCCAATTCTCATTAAGGGGTTTAAAGAAAGTGGAACAAATAACAGGTGGGTGCAGTACTATAATAGATTGGAACTAATATTCTATTGTGCTCATTTTTACAATGTAATTATGTTACCTGCAATCTTGAACTGATGGTGAATGAACCTGCAGTTGGATTCATGCAAGTTATGTATTGTACATTGCGGATTTCTTTCAATGTTAGTTTTTGTCTATCGTACCTGAAATAGGTAAAAAATAAAAATTGTTTTATACATGACACAGGTTTCTGATATAATCGTTTAATACTATATATCAGTGGTTCTCAAACGGTGGTGTGCGCCCCACAAGGGAAGCGTAGACAATTTTTGAGGAGATTTAAAGCTAACTAAAAATGCAAATATTGATTAGATTTGATCTTGCTTGGCTTATTTTGGATATTTACATTTATTTATTGTTTAGAGATTGCGATTCCATCCACTTATTTTTAACGTGTTTTTGAATAAAATATAATTTTGTCTTACTATATGTTATTGGTAGATTATTGTTAGCTAGTTTTTTTTGAGGTGAGACACGAGACTTGACAAATTGCGGTGCGGCTCAAAAGTTTGAGAACCAGTGCTATATACTGAAAAATAAAGCTGAAATCAGATGCACAACAATATTCTTACCAATGGTGATAGTCCATATGTTGTCGAATGAGAGTGTGTGGTTGTACAGTTCCATACAAATCGACTTCTGGCATGTTGATGTCATCAATAAAGTAGACAAGTCTCTTTGATCCAGGTGGACCATAGTTTCTACCTGCCTTCTTTTCAAGAGGTTTCTCCAGAACAGCTGTAAAAAGTTGCAATACAAAAGTGAGCAATATTATTCTCTACTAGTTTTGAGATGATTCAAATCTTTATAGTATTAAGTTTCCATGATTTCACATTGTACATGGCTATGTACAAGGAGTTGATTATATTTAAAGAATGACTATTTTTAAGCAGAATGGAATATTTTCAGTTCGAAATTTCCTATACACTTTATTACACCTTGTGTGGGCATGGAAGACTCGTATTTAGAAGAAACGGAATCTTTCTGATTTGACAAAACCTTCAAAATTCTGTCACCCTGAATAAGGTGGTGGATATGGTTTATAATCAGGGAAACAAAAATTTCAACTTGCAAATTTAACAATGTTCAACAAGCTCAACGCTATGTTACTAAGCATCTCAAAGAATAATTCAAAACCAGTTGAAGTGCTGGATACCGTCAAATATTTTGACGCAAAAATTGTAAAAAATACACTACTAATCTACCTATATATTTATAATAGTAATTACTGAAATAATTTACTTTGTAACATCTGAGAAGTTGTGTAATAATTGAAAGGCACATTTGCAACAACATATTCTTCTTCATCAAGGTTGCTCAACTTGTTGTTGACAAGAACAGATTTTCCTGTTCCTGCATTTCCAACCAACATGACAGGTCTCATCTCAGCCATCAGAAGATCCATGAAGTATTTGACACGAATTGTATCAGGATTGTGAACCATGACAGCCTAATAAAATTTATGCAAAAGTTATTTTGAGTGAAAATATTCATGATCAATTTTAAGAATATTAATATAAGCAAGTCGTTTATATGTGATCATTGGATCAGATTAAAAATGAACAGACAAAAATTAGAAATCAATAAAAGACCAAACTAATAAACAACTCAATCAGGGTATAGTCAACCAGTTATTTGATGCAGTTTATGGGAGGTTGAGGTAGATGTGAACCAACCAACAATTGCAAGGGGTCGAGCAATCCTCTCTGCACACAGGGATTCAACCCTGCTAACTTGTGTAAGATAATCAACAGATTCAGATATAGATTTTTGTCATGCAAAACCAATATATTATATGAAATAAATAAAAGGCAATATCAAATTATTCAAATTACAAAATCGGATATCGGCTTGTTGCAGTGGACGAGGGGTTGCGAAAGACTCAAAGAATCATCCAGTCAGCGACACCTTGTAGCTGCATTGAAGTAGCAAATATAGCGACCGAACGACTCAATATTAAACATTTACTAAATTCGACACAATCACATAAAAGAGGACAAAAAAAAGAATGCCACAATGACAATGGAAGTGCCCTGACAAGCATGTTCTTTACACTTAGCACGATGCACTTACTGCCAAGCCAGGTTGTATACAGCAAAAGTTTGAAATACTGGTAATTCAAATTGCTACTTTCATCATGACAATCCTAATAAAAAGTCAAATGGAAATTGAACAAATCATGGTATTTTCAGTAATCGGAATGCCCAAAGACAGTTACTAAATATAATTTATTGTATTACGGTACTTACCTGTAAAGGCATTTCAGGGTCGAGCTCAAATTTTGGCACCATTTCTGACCATGGAGTAAATTTTTTGGAGTTCGGTTCAATATAATACTCAAAGACTGTACCATGACTTGGAAATTTAATTGTTTTGAATTCTGTTGTCCACCACTTGCTGAATTCAACACGATGATCAACCAACTATAAAAATAATATTACCGTATATAAAATTAAAGATTCATTAGTGATAAAGATAAACTGAAAAATTTACATTTTAATAAATACTTCATATCACAGTTAACAAATTCATTCTATTTGTTATGCTAAAATAAACCTAAAACCATCACTTAGCTCTGTATAAAGCCTTATTCCAAGATGTGATAATAGCAAAGAAGCCTTTCAGAGCAATTTGAAAGAACTCTTTTGGAGTTTAATTACAACCAAAATTGATCACTAAATTTTGCATATTATATCCTCAATAAAACAAATTTGCAAAAATGCATATTTACCTGATCTTGAAACATCGCACCACCAAATGCCCAGATGCATGCAAACACAAAATACAATTCATACAAATCCTTGGGACAATCAGGAGGAGTGTTTTCTGGTGTCAGAAGAACTTCGAGCAGATAGCATAACATCTGAAGCATGCTCTGCTCAGGAATTGGAATGATAGTCTTGAATCTAATAGGAAATTTTAAAATATACTGTGCTGTAAATTTATATTATATTAGTCTATGTGATGAAAGTTAAAACGTACTTGACATAATTTAAGTATTTCTTACAAATACGATATTTATAATGTAATATTTAAAAGAATTCTAGAATGAATTCTAAATTTTCTAGACTCTAAAGCATGGTTCAAATTATTATTTATTTATAATAGACGCCTATTTGGTTTTACTTTTTAAACAAGACCCTGTACAACAGCCCCTGATAAGTAACGACATTTTGTTTGGACGAACTGGCATCTTTCGAATTTGGCATTGCCTATTCCATTTATCACTGTGTAATCTGTGATGCCAACACAGTCTAGTCGAACACTTCCACCGACCATAAGTATCTGGAATCTTATTCGCTTTGTGTGAATGCTATTTTTACTGATTTCATCGACTTCGAAATGAAAACAAAGCACATATCGAAAAACAAAGCGGAGAAGACTAATCAGCGATAAAAGTTTCAAAAAATTTACAATTTCCGTATTAAAAATACAGTTGCTCATAGAAAAAGTGTTACCTGAAACGTAATGCGTCCAATATTGGTGGAACGTATTTGTCAAATAAAATTGTCAAGTTTGCTCTTTCTGATTGAACCTCACGTCCATCAATCCAACTTGATACTGGTGGATTCCAACCCAAGTCAGCGGGATTGACGAACAAGATACCAGCTCTGAGATATAGAAAAGTGAAATTCAAGATGGGCTTAACTGTGAACCAACTTTGTGATAAGTTGCAAGTATTTGCCATTCCTCATTTTCAAAGGTAAAAATCTTAAAAAAAAAACATTTTTCATTTTTCAAAATCTGTGATTGATAGTTATGACTAGATAAAACCTAAATGGAGAGATTCAAATTGTAATATAAAAACTAAACCGAATACCTGGATACTGTTGATGGGTTTGCAGTTTTCAGATGATTGATCTCAAACAACAACCGCATGCTTGGTGTCAGTGGAATACGTTCATTACTGGCAAGTGTCAGAACCTAAAAGTAAACAGGGTTTAAACATAAAAAATACAAATATGTTTCTAAATGTTTTTAATAACCTTGTTGGGGATACTTTATGTGAACTTGTTGAAAATATTATTATTTATACCTCCCATATATTTATTCTTTTTTCATTAAAACCATAGTGCGCTGATCAAAGTCAATTTGTTAAAATTGATATGAATTTTGAAACACACACAGGAATAGTCAAAACCGAATCAAACTGAAGCCAAACAATTAACTTTTTCAAACAAATTCTGAAATGATATTTTCAGATACAGAATAATGAAAAAATTCAAAATTGTATCAAATGTTCAAGGTACCATAAACCATAAACAGACCTTGTTGTCATCCATGACCGTGTTAAGTGACTCAATCCACATAGGATCAATGTCACCATCGAGTACAATCCATTTAGGTCCATCATGGGAAATGTTGGATAAATCACGCATAATAGTAGAGAATAGACCGTCTTTCCATTCACGAGTTGATGGATTGACGACGCCTGTTTTTATGAAAAATATTCATAAAATAGTGTTTCTAATACTATATTATTAAAGTTTTTGATCAATTGATTGTATTCATCTTACCAAATAATTCATCATTGGTGACGGCTTTTGGATTCAGATCAACCCATATTGGTTTTCTTTTTTGAATTTGATATGTTTTGTTGAGTGATTTGAGAATCTATCAAAAAATTGACATAAACACATTCAACACACCAAAAATAGTTGATATGATATAGAACAGTATTATTCTACTAAATATAAAAATATAAAACAAAAACACCAACCTGAGTTTTTCCAGTTCCAGCATTTCCAATGACGAATACAGAATGTCTGACAGCAAGCAATTCTTCTAGTTGTACAACTTTCAAAATGAAATTGTCTTCTGCTTGTAGATGTAACTGAAGGACTGATTCCTGAAAATTGTGCATCAATGAATAATATTACTTACTTTTTTACTAACCAGATCAGTTTCCACTGCCATTGAAAAATGCTTAATTTCAATTAGGCCTATATATATCCTCCATTAATGGGTTCATTCGAGTATAGGATTCTAGTTAAATATATAGCCTGCTTATTTAAATACCTTGATCTGTTTCTCGAATTCAGGATCCCTTTTCCTTGGGACTTCAAGAGCTGGGAATAAGTCACCGATCAGACCCATGAATACAGGCATATCATCTGTCACAATCTTTGGAATGTTGAAATCACGCAACGCTCTCATGAGCACCTGATTGATATTTGTAACAAAAAGAAATTAGATTGGTTTTTCTTGATATATATTACCACCTGCCAAAATATTGTTTTTTGGTTTTAAAAACGAAGCAACTTGTGTTTTAACTACCGGTAATCGCCAATATGCATTTATTACTCAAAGGGGAAATTAATTCTAATGATTTAATGGCACAAGACTTTCTCCAACAAAAATATACAACTGACGTAATTAATTAGGCAACTCACTAGCAAATAGTCAACTACTGGCAACTTGTGTTTTAATTAATCGCTACTATACCTTTATTACTGAAAGGGGAATTATTTTGAACAATTAATGACACACAACCTGTCTCTCCACAAATCCTGACATATTCAGTTAATAAACTGGCAATCCTATAGTCTACTAAAGGCAATAAATTTTATATCAAAAACAAAGTGACTGAATTAAATAGTAATAAAACTCATGTTCTTCCATTTATGATTTCACCTGATCTTCTGGACGTCCTGGGTCACCTCTTTTGAGTGTACCTGCTACCACAAGTACAGATTTGATGGCACGAAGACCCCAATCATAATGATCTTGCTTGGACAAAAGTTCTCGGCAGAGTGAATAGAGAGTGATGAATTTTCTGGCAAGAAGTCGAGCTTCAAGGAAACCTTCAGCGACTAACATAATCTCACAAATCATGGCAAAATCTGGAACCACCATAGCACAAGGTCTGTTTGAAATAAAATCAATAGGCTTTGTAAGTTATGTTTGCATTCCAAAGTATGTATATAATCAAATTGCTAATTAACCAGGTTTCATTTCAAAACACAGTTACAAAAGAAAGAGACCATTACTACTTTATAGCAAATTCCAACGATTTCAATATGTCTGTCCAAATTCATATAAATGAGTAAATAAGTAAATTTTTATAAGGCGTTTTCATACCTTTATGTTGAATAATTCTATGTACAAGCAGACACTGATATGTAAGTAGCAACTATTTTGGGAACAACCGTTAAGGTCTATAAACTGTTGATGCTGACTTAGTTAGGTCCAGCACTCCAACAACTAGGCCATTGTACCCACAAATAAAATAAAATAGGTTTACAACTTAATATGAATCAAAACTCAAAACAAGATCCCATTTGAAAAAAATGAGTGCAACTAATTTTAGCGGATAGTGGGGTGACGCAATTGGAAGCAAATTTCTGTGCACATATAAAGTTTGATATGTCTAAAATACATGATCTGTGATCCAACACTGACCTGAACAGTGCTTTCAAATTTTCAGGAAGTTCAGTCCTTCCTGCATAACCTGGATTCATGGTGATGAAGAGTCCAACAGAATGAACAATTTGAATATATTCACCGAGGAAGTCAAACATACTTTTGTTCTCTTTGATTGCATCTTGAATAGTTTTCACCTAAGATAAATATGATAGGATTTTATTATTTATCCTCGGCAGAGGAAAGACGATAAGATGGCTTAATAATATGCCAACAACTCACCTGTTACCAACCCATGTCTGGTGTGGGAATAGTTAATCAGTTATTAGTTTCAGATGTATGAATTTGAAATGATAATGTTTAAAGTCATACCCCGATTATCCCATTCAAAATTGATGTTGACAATGCCACATTATAATTACGGTATACACCATGCACTATTGTGTAAAATATATTCAAAAGCAGTATTTAACAAACTTATAACATAAAAAGTATATCCTGATAATTTGATATTATAATAATGTTTGTTACCTGGACAGCTACAACAGATAACACTTCAACTGCAATTCTGTTGAATTCATCAAAACAACCCCAGGCACCAGTTTGTGCCAAACCCTGAAAAAATAAAACAAAATAATATATTAGATAATTCTAACATGGAAACTTGAGTTAATAAACAGTCTATGCAACAGAAAATTCAATAACAATAGGTTGCTCAAATAAAATAAAAAGAGGAAAATTCTAAAATAATAGACGGTACAAATAAAATGAAAAAACGTAATCTTGAGATCAAGCAATTTGTTTATGACAAGCCTTTTAGCAAGAGTGCAGAGATATGATAGTAATGGTTCTTTATGCTATCTAGATGTTGTTAGCCTACAGAAAGCTGATGAAATGTGTCATGAAGTACAATACCTTGAAAATATTGCCAACAGACTTGTAGTCCATCTGTTCAGAACAATTGAACACATATACCATCACACCAAGAGCACGACCCAAATCCTTTGTAGTTTCTGTCTTTCCTGTTCCTGCAGGTCCAGCTGGTGCTCCACTCATTGTGAGATGAAGAGATTGAGTAAGAGTGATGTAGCATCTGAGAATAAATGAATATTGTAAATATATAAAAAACATAAAACATGAGTATGAACTTCTGGAAATTGGCCGCAATATGGCAAACATACAAACATTAGTAATTTGGATTGTTTCAAACAAAAGTAATACATAACTAAAACAAAATGTAATAATCACTTAAATCATATTAATATTCATCAGAAAAGGATAAAAATGTATAGCTTACAAATTTTGAAAATAGCACACAAATACATTTTATAAAATACACACCATATGTTGCTTAATTTCAGAGTGTTATTGTTTTGCATCAATAATGGAAAAAGATAAATTTTCCTTAATAACAGATACTGACAACTCATTCAGTATCTGGATATAGCAGAGTGTTTGTATACTGATGATTACCTACCTGTCTGTCAAGGGTGTGATGACAAGTCTAGGTGTGTTGCCCAAATATTCATAACAATATCGAAGTTGTGCATCACAAATGTTTCCAAAACAATGATTCAGCTTTTCATCCCATCTATGACGAAGTTGAGATAACCAAGCAAATGCTTGAGAAGAATCAACCTATGAATAAAGACAATTTTTGCAATTAAAGTTGAGTTGACCACAAAATCTACTGTGGTTGCTGCAGAATGCTATAGCACTATGCTCAATGACTAAGCTATGGAAAACTTGTATTAAGTGGGATGAGATTCAGTTTTTTGTTGTTATAAATGTATGACATCGTCTCATTCAAGCATCCTTGTGGCATAGGTCACAGAATGATCCAATATTACAACATTTGCTGAACAAAGAATAAGCAGTCTGTCAAATGACCTTGTAAGCACATCGAAATATTACCGTAAGCATTTTTCCAGCAAATTTATATTTTCAACCAACATAAACATAAAAAGAATTGAAGTACCGTAACCTCTATTTAAGAAGGCAAACTTTTCCCTACTAATTTTTGTTTCCTAACCAGTGAATAAAACAGAAGATTCAATGTACCTTCTGTGCAATCAGCTTTCCAACGACATCACGAGCATGTACATCAATTGTACAGATTGTCATAATCTTCTGCCGATCACCAGGTGATAACTTTCCAATTAACATTCCAATCAATGTGTTCAGTTGGTTGACCTGTGTATCAATGATTAGTGTTTAATATAATCAATTACAACTTTTTGAAATATACATGGCACATAATCCAAATGTTTCCATTTGTCAATAATATTAAAGATTTGGTTATTTATAATTTATTTATACCTTACTTTTTTAATGAAAATAAATAATTGTACTAAAACAAGTCTTCATTCTAATATCATTTTTCATTCTTTAGCTTGAATGATGGCAAAAATTAGTATTAGATATCATGTTAATATTACCTGTTTCTTGTAAAAATCTTTTAGTGCATTCTCATATCCTTCTTCCAGTCTTGAGAATGAAATATTGACTTCGGTTGTCCACCAAATCTGAGTCCCTGTCAGTGCAACCTGAAAAATAAGCTTTGAGTAGAGACGCTCTATCTGGGAAAACATAAGTTCTAATGAGAATGCTGAACCAGATGGCCTTTATCAAACTTAGGATAAATGTCCAATAGATGTTCGTATAAGTTCTTTAAGTTTTGATTCGAAACTAAGTGTCTAATAGCAAAATTGCGGTATTGTGTTTATCTGTATCAAGGTTGTATATTTACATTTGTGGAATAATATCAAATTTTATTTGTATATTATTGAATCATATATACCTGGGCTGGATAATCAAAAATCCATTGTTCGCGGGGTTTTTCTTCATATGTCACAACACTTTCAGTCATCTGATGACGAACAGTTGCTCTCATGCTATCTAGAAGTCTGTTCAACCATGTCTCTACAGCACCAGCACATTCACAAGATTCAAAGAAATCCACATATCTGGAAATATTTATTCATTTGAAAGATTATAGTTTGTGTTCAATACGCTTAGTTTTGTAAGTTAAATTGTTTACCGATATACTCTAAGCCTATAGCATATTATTATAAGATAGTGCTTTCAACAAATACTCAAAGGTAAGTTTTTTGCGGCTTCCAACAAGCCCATGGTAACATGCAGTTTTTGAATGACTATCTCCAATTGAAATTTCAGTAAAAATAATCTAAAATCACATATTGATACATTTGAATCAAGCACATACTCGCTCTCTTTACTGTACATTCCCAGGGCTAATTTTGTTGGGTTTCCTTCAGAATCTGGTTCAAACTTCAATCTTGCCGTGTTATCGAATAGTTTTGCCAAGTGACGAGAAACAGCAACAGGGTTGGTACCTGAATTGTTCACAAAAACATTAAAATCCGTTCAAGAGAAGATTTTACCCAACAAAATAGAAAACATTGAATTTTACAGAAAATTTTAGTAAAAAATATGATTTAAAGTTTCTTTCAATAATATGGAATCACAAAATCTTTTATTTTTGTCTGTCTTTAAAACAACCTTTTTTATTTACAAAAACAAGCACGGAGCATAAATGACAATTTTTTTTTATAAATTTAATTGTAAATTTGCACCAACCTACTAGTAATTCATTACTCTACTGCAGATTGAGAATTATTGTATAATTTATATAATATAATATATAATATAATTATATAATTTACCATTTGACAAAATATCGAGTAAATCGGCAGATGATACAAAGTAGAATCTTGGGAAAGCAAGTCGCTTTGTGTCAAGATATTCTGCAAGAGCTTTTTCACAAAGTGACAATCTGTTCTGAATGTCTTCCAAATTTTCATATAAATTGGGTCTGTTTGTTGCTTCTACAACATTTGGAGTAACTTCCAAGAACGCAGCGAGTTCCTAAATACATATATTTCAAAATTTAAATTTTGAAAAAAAAATTGGAAGTAACAAATTAACGTATTCCAAGTCAGAACTGTGAATTCCTTTTTGGAATAAGCATCAAAATCTTAAATATCCCCTATTTCAAACACCTTTACAAGTAAAAATATTTAAAACTTCATTTTTTAAAAACTTTCACATTTCGCTAATAAATCACACAGCCTGAACAGAGTATGCGTACCAGGATAGGGGTCATGTTGTGCGCCATCTTGGTGCACATACTTAGAGAGCGCCAAGATATAAACAGCAAAACACATACTTTGAAATCTGTATCAATTCCTTCAAACCGTTTTGAATCTTCAGGAAGTTGTGAACGAATGTCTTCAGATCCGATAAAAATGGCTTCTAGGTATGACCATGTTCTTTGCACTTCAAACCAGATGTTAATCACAGAATCAGCAGTGGAAAGTTTCTTTTGCCAGCCAGACACTTGTTCCAGAAAATATGCGATGTATTTTGATGTCATCAGATTTTGTAGTTGAACCTATTGAACAGAAAACAATATTACTGTACTGTTACCTCCTCAAATAACAATTTATGATACGGTAGTAGAATAAAACATTTACATTGAGATAAACTAAACTGTAAAACCAAATTATCTAGACAGTATATGCTTAAATGGGATGGTATTGAAAGTGCAAAATTGTATTACTTGGAAGATTCAATTGGAAATTTACTCAAAGATCAATTTGGGTAAGATTTGGTATTATAACATGCCAATGGACATGACTGACTTGGATTTCTTGTCATAGTTGAAATATGCTTATCTGAAAAAGTTTTACCCATGTCTGATGAAATGTTACATAAATACATTTGTGTTATTGTGCAGCAGTACTTTGAATTAACTTCAATCCTTTTTTTGTAAAAAGAGATTTTCTTATCTTCAAACAACGGAATGTATTTATTATCTGGATATAATTTAAAAAAAATAATTTCAACACAACCAACCTGGTTTTCTTCAAGTGTTTCAATCAATTCTTCATCAGACTTAAGAAGTGATTTTCCAGTGCGAGTATGTTTTTCATAATCAAATTTCATTGCTCCCCATATCACATCCAACTCTTTCAGAATCTATAGAACAAGAAATGAAGAATAGAAAGAAAAGATTTTTTGCTTCACCAAACAAAAAAAACACAGTAAAAATATATAAATGTACACAAAATAAAGATTGAAAGTTTTTTGTAAATGACTGGGTGGTAACAAAATGGTGGCCCAGGCTAGAGTAAATTCGTACATACCAACGGCTCACTTGCATATACATGATAAATAACAATAAATCAAAACTAAATTACCTTTTCCATTCCCATTTCTTTGACAGCTTTGTCAACAATACCTCTGACTTCATCTTCAAAGTTATGAAGGTTGAGTTGTAATAAATCAGCAAGTGTTGTATTTTCATTCATTGCGAATTTCACCTAGATGTATATAATGTATAACTACATGGGGCAAAGTAGTGTAATATTTAAAAATTTAATCCTTTAAGGGACGAAAGTCGACAATACGACAACTCGTACGGCAAACCTCGGCCTCTCGCCCAATTACAATTCATGCCGGGTATCAGAATAATTAATCAAATAAATTTTCGGATGCATCGATTCAATGATAGAGGAAGACGTAACTGATCAGAGGCTACAAGAACCACCCTACAAAAGTAAAGAGTCCAGTAATCCTCTCACTCATTACCCTCCATGCGATTCAAACTGGCGAACTCGTGCATGGCCATTAAAGTTGCAATGGCTACTATGTTCCTAGCGCCTAGAATGATGATGGGCCAATCGCCAAGTCTGGAAGTTATGTTGGGAAAATAAACCAAAAGTTGCCAAAGTTACATACTTATTAAATATGCACATTTTACTGAACAAAATCCAAAGAAACCCTATTTAGTATTTTTATCAGAAAGATGTTATAGGGCTAATTATATACTTTACCTGTGTTGCTTGCATAAGCTGTTGCCAATGTCTGTCCCGAATAGCTGGATTCTGTAATTCACCAACAGATCTTAATGATGTCAGCATGTTCTTTACACCAGAGTCCAAACCACCAAACGCATCCCATGCTCTCATCTAAAATGTGAAGTAATGAAAAATGATTAACTGATGATTATCAGGTTAATATCAGTAATAACAATTGCTTTTCACAGCATGTTGATACAAAATAATCTAAAAAATTAGGAAAGTTGAGGAGATGAATTCGTCCAAAGTTAACTTCTGAAGGCAACAACAATTTTTCAAAAAAGCAATGAATTAGGAGAAGTGTAAATTCAACAAATAAAAATAAGTTGATGTTGAGTAGTTTTTAGCTCAAAAAATTTGTCATTATTGCGAAACCAGTTTAAATTTGCCAATATCTGCCAAGTTTAATTAAAAAATGATATTACTGTAATATACATCATTTTACATGCATTACAAATCATAAAGTATCATGAAATATGGAATACCCAAAATCTTAATTACAGTAGATACAACTCACTGCATGTGCGAATTATAGGTGAATTCTGTTGAATATTCCTATTGCAATACGGTTGCCTTAAACCTATATGTTCTGATACTTTTTAGCATCTCTAAACATCCTATTTCCAGATAGTGTCTACTCGTTATCCAGCTTTGAACAGTAAATCTTAAAAAGTACAAATAACTTCAACCATACATACCTCTTTGTCAAGTGATCGAATATCTTTGGCAAACTTTCTGCAATCAATTTCCATCTGTTCAACATCAATTTGTTGCCATTTTGTTTTCTTCCAATCTTCTATGCTTGTGCTAACCAGAGTAATCATGTCCCACAATGCTTTCAGCAGAATAACCTTAAACAAAAACATAAAATGTATCATTTTCAAAAAAGCAAATTTGAAAACAATCAATGTTCCAAATATACCGGTACTCATTCCTAAAGAATGATGCTTGAAATTCTCACATTTCTCCTTATACAATACACATTTTTATGTACAAATTTCAAGGGCTGGCAATTAGGTGTACATTATCGTAGTATATTGTAGATTATCGAATGATGTAACTGAACATCAATGCGAAAACAAGAGGGGAATTCGTAGAGATGGTTTGACGAAAATCGAAATTTATAATGCAATAATAATCAAATCGTATAATGCATGATCTCGTCTTTTTAGCTATATATAAAGAGCCAAAACTGGTATGCATATTATATATCTTGTGGGAAAATACCTCTTTTCTACATTGTTTCATCTGTTTGAATTCTGGAGCATTGATTTCAAATATTGCTGCTGATTCATGTAACCTCTCCATGACGTCTTCCATTTCCAAGATTTCGAGATGACATTTGTCCAATAGAGAATAAGGATTGGCTGCATTGTATCTGAATGGAGCATCTTTTCGGAAACGTTCACGGAATTCGTGTTGTTTCACCTATTTTAAAGCAAAATTCAGAATAAATGATAACATTTTGATATACTCATTTCAACAATATGTTGACTGGATAATTGTTCTACATTGTGCTTTATACTTTAGCTACGAAAATTGCAAAACTAATATTATTAATGATGCATACTGATGACTAGAAACGTTTTTCAAATACTGGTAAGACTGTTTATATTTTTCTGTACAGCATCATTTGTTTCATCGAGATTCATCGATTATGTCCTCGTTTACATCTGATATATGGTAGCAGAATAGTGGCTGTCTCTGGTATATTTTCCAATATATAATCTGGCTGATTGTGTGTAATTAGGTATATTTAGGGGCATAAGGCCCACATCAACATTTTCGACCTTAAATGCTCGATTTGTCAATAACATACTTACATCAAATGAGCTGCATTTCCGTCTCAAGACAGCAACTTCGTCTGATTGCAATGGTGCTACGGCTTGTTTGACAGTAGCTGCAGTTTTCTTTGTGTTGTTCCATTTCTCTGGTAATTCCTACAAAATTGAACAAAACAGTTATAAAATCACCATTAAAGAAACTCAACTTTTCCCTCAGCTGATTTATTTTTTCTTGAAATAAAAATAAATAAGACTTAATGTAATTGAATACTATGTACTCAAATCTACCTCAAGTTGTTTATGCGTTTCTTCTGGAAGTTCTTGATCATAAGTTTTCAGAAGTTCAATCGTTTGTTTCAATGGTTCAAACATCTCATCTGTTGTACTTTGTCGAGTTTTGACATCCTAGAATAAATTTTATTTAAAAAATCATATTTGAACATAACTTTGTGGGCAATTAAAAAAGAAAGAAAAATTCGAAACTAAAAATCTTGGTACAACAATGCTATAAATTGGTGATAGTTTTTATGATGTGTTCATACTTTTTTTAAACAAAGCTTGGTATAAGCATTCTATACATAAAAAGCTACCAAGTGTGTAATGTTTTAAGCTTCTATGATCAAATTCTAGATTTTTGAACTGTGATGCAAACTTAAAATAGTAGGCCAACACAAGCTTTTAGTTCAAAAATCAAACGAACCATATTAATATTGCATCATGCAGATATTGAATAAGCTGAAAAAATTTCAATGAGAATTAAGTATAACCATAAGATAAAGAAAAACTGTAATGGTATTCTATATGATAAATGAGCTTGCAAGTTACTAACATAATTGTCTGCATTGAATTAATGTTAGCAGAATTTTCAGCAATGCACTGAGCACAATTCAAGAAAAACTAAACTGAAATAAAGTTGATAAAACATTCACCAACCTTGAGTTGTTCAATAACAGAAACAAGAGCATCATAATCTCCTTCTTTAACTTCTTCCTGCATTCCAGAATCAACAACTTTGATGAAATTCTCAAGATCTGACAAACTGTAATCAAAATAAATATTTTAATTCGAGTAAACTATAACAAAATTTCAAAACTAACATCTTCACAAACAATGGCAATAAAATTGGTACAAAATTGGGCGCTGCAGGAGTGTGTGTACCAATATGAACTTATAATAGAACTAAAAGAAGAAGAATCGGAATAAATTTATGGCCTTATGGCCTAGGCTAAGAAGGTCATATTTGAAAGAAAAGTGAGAATTCCAAAATGTTAAAAACCAGTTTCTTTATTGTAAAAAATGTATGTATTTCCTTATATAAGTTACATAAGCATGACACGCTTACTACAAATTTAATACATGAATTTGAAAATCCAAAATATAATTCTAGTAGTAAGCTGGGGTGCATATTACCCATTTGCTGCGGTCGCCTAACCTCTAAAACAAAAACGGGTTCGCTGATTATTACGACATTCCAAGAACTGGTTAGCACAAACCCTCTAAATTCTATAGCTGGATTCCGTTAACTTCTGACAACAACAAGCAAAAGAACAAATTTTGTTTTCTTGCTAATTAAATAATCATAGTATCTTAAAAATTTGCATGTTCCAATGACAATTCTCAAACAGACCGCGCATTTATGCCGTCATGAAAAATCATTGTAATAGTGATATGTTATCTTCAACTGTAAATAAGCTGCTCTACTACTCATTTACCCAATTCACATACCTGTTTGTGACATGATCAATGAGATGTTGCTTGAACATGAAACTCCATCTTTTAATGATGTTCAATAAAGCCTGCTTGAATGGCTTTGCATCAACTCTAAACCAAGAATCAAAAACAGCAACCGGGTTGACTTCTTCAACTTCGCAATAGATTTTCTCGTATTGGTCAACCTGAAATAATGAAATATAACAGATTGAGTATGAAACAAGCAGATAAGATGTGTAGATATCAGTTTTTCATACAATATATTTAATACCTTCTGCTCTGAATAAGGCTCTACTAAGGCAGCCACTAACATTCAAGTGGCTACTCTATTTTGGAAGGGACGTAATCTTTCCGGTTCAGCTTGCCTACCCAATTTATTACACTCTGGATGAGGAGGTCGGCATGGGATTTAAAATCAAGATTTTAACCTGCATTGCCATCATAGTCAAGTCTTGTGGTATATTTCTGGTTTAGCATCGCCTACTCAATTTATTATTCTCTGAATGAGGTGGTTGGCGCGACAATTGAACCCAAGATTCTAACCTTCAATGGCATCATAGTTAAGTCTTACCCTTTCATCGCTAAACTACCAGACGCAGTAATTTACAAAGTTATTACCTGTTCTTTAAACATGTCAAGTGTTGGTGGATTTTCAGGAACACCTTCCTCAGCATGAGCTTCAATTTCTTCGGTTGTCAACACATGGCCATATGTTAAAAATTGTTTCATGAACTCATTACGATCATCAACCCATAAGTATGCATAGTTGTCAAAACTAAAACAAAAGTGTTTATATACCTAAACCACGTAAACTTTTTTATATGTGACAATTCAAAAGCAGTGACCTAAAGATGGCTTTGAAAAAATGATGAGATATAGGTATAGAAACGTTTTTTATTAAAAATCCTGGCATCGTATTCGACTTTCCGATATTCTGAATGTCGCATGATAACTTGGACATTTCTATGATGCGTATCAACACCTTCAGGTAAACATGTAACCAGTAAGTCAACATTCATTTATTGGAAAACTACCGTAAGTCATGGACCTTATATTTCACAAATATGCTTTCATATTTCTAGGTATCAAAATGTTTCGTTCATTTCCAACTTATAAAATCATTTATCAATGTTAAAGTAATAGTGCTTCTAATATCCTAGGATATTCAATTTACACACAATCAAACGAATAATTGATTGAAAATTAAGGAAATCAAGAATTACCCATTTCTGTATTCACAAGCTTTATCCATCACCATCTGACATCTTTCCATCATCTCATTTCTCATGTCAGATAAATCAGCCATGTCATCCATGTCAGCCTAGTTTAAATTCAAAGATAAAGTTATGAATAGTTACTGAGGTCCATGAAGTCTCTTACTGATATTTGAAAAAAAATTCTTTTGAAGTCAGATGATGAGATGCAGTAAAGAGAATTGTTTTTCTTCTGTAATTGGTATTTAGTAAAAAAAATTATTAACATTTACGTTGCAAGCAACTGTACGCCTTCAACAGGGTGACTACTTATTCGAAGAGGTAAATGATGGATTTATGGGTACTGTTTTTAGGGGTCACTTTGCACAATTTATCAAGAGATTTTTCATTTTTTATAACTTCATAGCGCTCTTTTTCATGTCTAGTTCATAGCAAAAATGAATATATGAATCCGAAATACCTGATAATGTTCCATTCCAGTTTGTTCCTTTGCAAGCCTTGGTACAAGTGATGACATGGTATAAACATCATTGAGCAAACCTTCAACAAGATCGTAAAATCCATCTTGTGCATTGTTGAAATCGAGTGATGGTCTAGTATAATGAAAAAATACAGAATGACATAAATAAAGTATGCAGATCGTAAAAAGGTAATGCATTCAATATCGGTCAATGCTAATTCAACTAATTAGACTAATGGATTGTTTTGCTAAGATGTTATTGTTGTCGGCTCTGTTCATTTTTACTGTTGTGTTATTAGGTCAAAAACTGCCTTTTTCTTTAGCTAATTTACCAAATTTTCAGTCTTTGCAGGGAGTTATTACTTCAACAGTTTTTCAATATCTTTTAAGCTCCCGAAAGACAATTTCAATATTTCAAACTATATAGGTTTTAAAAAAAAGTGCTGCCCTTTTCATATGCATGCGGCAACAGCCAACAAGGGCTGATACATATCTGGAAAAAAACAATAACTTCATGTATATTTATTTGTATTTCGCTTTCTCATTGTTTTAAGCATGATTTTTAGCCCTAAGCAATCTCACTTGAAAACCATATCTGGAGCATTCAATTCGAGATGAGCTTGGAAAACAGGAGTGAGATGCAATTTCATATTTGTTTGATGAAGGAAAAACTTGAGAGAACACTCGATGGCAACAAAGAAACCTTCCACAACCATGTCATCAATGTACAATACATATGCTTTCCAAGTTTCAGAATCAGCAGATGCTTTGAACAGATTCATGTTGGTCTGGAACAAGAAAAACAGTTGCAATATAACTACAGTCAAAATTAATTGCTTGTGCGAAATTCGAATACTACAACTCAAATTGGCCTTATTGATTTTTTCTTTAAGACAATTTCTTAAAAGAGAAATATCTGTTTTCAAAAACGAGGCTGGTAATGTAAATGAAGCATTGGAAAATGTCTTTTGAGATTTTCAACATGGTTAAAGTTATAAAAAAAAATCAAAAAGTAATTTCGAAAGCATAGATTACAAATATAGCAATTTGTCAATGAAAAAAATCATCTGAAAGAAAATTAACTTGGTTTAAAATTCTACTCACAGTAACTAATTCATGAATCTCTTCTCCACTCTTTTTGATGAAAGCATACCATTTGTTTAAACGATCAGTCCGATCATCCAGATTCAACAAAGCATCCTAAAAAGTAATTAGTTTGTTAATTATATTCTGTTAATTAGCTTTATTTTTCCAATCATTATTTTTTTACTTTTTCCTTCTTTCTTTCAAATATTGGTACAACCCATCCTTCCATTATTTTCTTGATTTTGTCAACATTGTCTTTTGCTTGTTGAACTCTTTTTTCCAAATCACTGACTTGATCTCTTGTCTCTTGAATATATTCCCAAATTCCTAAATTTACAAACAAGCATGTTTTGAAAATGTTTCATTTCTTTAAGCAGTTGCAGATATTAAAAACATAGTAACACATAGTAAAAATTTGTAACTCAATGTGATGGATGTGAACGAAATATCATAATTCCACCCGCAACCTGCTTCCATATCATCTCATTTCGCTTTGCGCTTTCGTTTGCGCACATCATTCTAAGATTTAGGAATTCATTAGCCATCGCTCCTCTGATAACCCTACGTAGCTTTACAGCAGTGGTTCTCAACCTGTGGTACGCGTACCACTAGAAAGGGATTTTCAAGTGGTACGCGAGCAACTCTGAAATAATACAACAATCCAGTTGGCTTGAGTTGAGTTTGAGTTGGGTAAAATGTGCCGGCAACATTCTTTCTTTGTTTTCCATAATGCATGTATTTGCTGAACAGCGTCTATAGCGCTACTAGTCTGTCCACTACTGCCGACCTAGAGCAAAATGAGGCAACGAACAGAGCTTTCGGTGAAAGTGATCGATGTATGTCGTGGAACCCTGGTAGTGCCTTGATACATCATACGGATGTTATTATTATTTCCATTTGCTGTATGTGTTGCCTGATACTCATAATCTTAGGTTTTAAGGCTAATTTATCAGTCATTTATTGACTAAATTTGTATGCATGTCGGAGCGAAAGTATACCTCCCCCGAGGTTTGCGATAATTCAGTGGCAGCGATAATTGAAGCCTTTCAGCTCTGACGGTAGACAACGCAAATTCTCACAAGATTTTGCATGCAACTAATACGTTGTTACTGCATATAATTGATACATTAAAACATTGCACAAAGCTCAGAGCGCGTTTCTTATGCCATTGTTCGGTGGTACGCGGCCAAAGTAAAAAGCAGTAAAGTGGTATGCAGCCAGTTAAAGGTTGAAAACCACTGATTTACAGGATTGAATCCTGGGAGATAAATATGTGCGAAAGGATTGAGTCATGATGAGGATCAAGGATCGCTGATAGGTTTTGGCCTACTCTACCAGTACATCCGTGCACTCTTGCTAACTAATTCCATACCCCACATGGATTGGTAATCGGATGAAAGTCTGTGGTTCGCCATATGATTAAGCTGTCTTATCAATTTTTCTGACAACGAGTAAGTATTAAAATCCTATTTTCAAAAAATTGCAATACACAGTCTTACCATCTTGTTTCCATGACAGATCTGTCTCAGCTTTGGCAATTTGTTTATCAATTCCTTCCAATTGTCCTTCAATCAAAGGATATTCAACATCAAGAATGGTAGTTTTAACCTGAAATTAAATATGTAGCTGTGTAGCCTAGCAATATTACCAGATGCCAACTGCCCAAATCAAACTGCGCAGTAGAACCAGTGATCATTGTAGTTGCTGGTATAAATTAAACACAATAAAAAATTAAAAGTCAAAAAATAGTACAAAGGGATGACATAGGAAAAATGTAACATAAGTAACTATGGTTTGCTGAGTCGACATAATCCAGTCAGAATATAAATATATTGTTCGAAATGCATTGCCGGTACCTACAATTAACCATGATTACAACAATTCGCAAATTAATGAAAAATGAATAAAATGTGACTTTTATATAATAACTAACCACTTGTGAAAAATGAGAGTCAAAACTAAAGAAGATTCGTGAAACGTTAGGTATCAGTAACTCAACACTATAATATATTACCTTGTTATACCACTGCTCAGTGAGATCCAAGTTTGCAACATATTGCCTGAAAGATTCTTTTTGTGCAAATATTTTTGATGCCACATCTGGAATTTCTTCAGAATCTCTCAGTTCAAGATATTTAACCTCACGAAGCACTGAAACAAGCTGAATGAAACAGATGTGTTAAAATAATGTGACAACATTTAAATGACTTGACATTATTTACTTTACTTTGAAGAGGTCTATATTTTTCATGAAAGAAATATTTACCGGTACTTTGAATCATATTTTAGGAAATAGAGAGACTCAATTTTAAATAATTGAATGGACGATCATTTGTCAAACTAACTGCTGTCACATGATTTCTATTCAGTGTGTATGAAATCAGAGAGGCGGTTCCAGAAAAACATAAGTTCCTTCAAACTTAAAATTTTCTCACATTCTTTTGAAAGGTAGGGAAGAAAGAGTATCTTTATTCATCATTTTTTTTAGTCATAAGACATGCTGATTATGACATAGAGAAAAAACACTAAGCTTCGATAAGGAAAATACCAATTATCTGAAATTTCAATGAATAATATAAATGTACCTGTGGATCAAAATTGATTGTAATAAGTTTTGTTTCTTCATTTCTACTGATGAGAGGTTGGTTGAGATTAAACTCAGATTTTTGATCTACTTGTTTGGACCAGTCATCATATATGCTCTCTTCATATCTAACAAGAAAAGAGAAGCTCATTAGTCCGTGTTAAACAGAATCTTTTGGATTTTACATAGGAAAGAATAATGGGAACTGAGGATTTACCTATTCATACCGGGGGAGAGGAAAGCGACAAGAAGGCTTAATCATATGGCAAACCACGGCCTCTTGCCCGGTTACCAGTCCATGTCGCGTATGGGATTAGTTAGCCAATTATTTGTTTTCAAAAGCATAGACTTGAACTTGTGCAAAATAAACTATAAGTAACATCAATTTGTAACAGTAGTAATGAGCTTACTTCTTCAGCAGTTGCATCATTTGTGAATACTTCATTTCCATTTCTTTGCCTTCACCTGAATCCATGACTCTAAATAGTGAATTCAACATGAGTATAAATCAATAGAATTGTTTAATACTATCTTAGAATAATTGAGTGGGTATTCACAATTCATTAGCAATTAGAAAAGTACATAATTTTGTATTGAGTGATTCTAGAAAAAAAGAATAAAAATTAAAAATAGCAAGGTTTTGAAAACCTGCTATACATACGGATGCTGAACAAGTTTGAAATTATTGTAAGGAAGCTGAATTCTGAGTTTCAATTCTTGAGCCCATCTTATAGCACCGGCAACATGTGGCATATTTTTGTTGAGTGAGTAGTAACCTAAAACAGAGAATAAATTAATACCAGTTCCTTTCTCTTCCACAGAGTGACTCCAAAAAACAGAAAATATTCTAAGGAGAACATAACATTCATGCGAAGCGTTCAAAAGTTACCAAAACTTTGGGCACAATCATACACAAACAGAAGTTCAAGTGTTGAATAAATTTTCTTTATTCCGTAGAAGTAATGAAGCAGTTTTTTAGCTGTGTTTTTTTTGTGTCAACTTTTTCAGAATATGCAGAATTTGATTTTATCTCAATCCACGCATTCAATACGAAATAAATTTGAAAATTTCAATTCAACAACATAACTCAGTTTATTTTGATGGAAAGTTTGGGCGTAATTACCATATTTTTTATGATGCTCCATCTGTTTATCATAAATGATCTTGGCGTCATCCAATTCCTTGTGAAACATTCCCAGAAGTATTGGATATTTGGACCACACGTCTTGCTTGATAAGTGGTCTGAAATCAACAAGAAATAAAATTGAAAATCTTTTTTACAAGATGGCAATTCTGAAATTGAAAATCTACATAAACATGTTTAATGAACATTTATTGAATAACTGATTAATCTCATAAAGGCTAAAACACAATTACAGTCAACATATTTTTACCTTTGTAACAAAGATCCAAACATATGGAGAAGCTTAAAAGCTGTTTCAGTTCCAGGACAATCATCAAAAGCTTGATATACAATGGCACCAAGACGTCGATCCATGTCATCAATCCGCTTCTTAAAATTCTGTAGGTCTGTCTTGAACGTCTGGAAGAATAAATAGTTCGAATTGTAATTTTGATTTTGTTTATTATGAACAAATGCTGAAAGATATATTTTCATCAAACAAAAGATGTTTTAAATCCTGAAACCTTATTCCATGATTTTTTGATCCTAGCTTGATGTGTTCAGATTTGTACTCTGCAAACAGAATACTGTACCAAATATTAATTCATCAATTTTTCTTTATCCATATTTTTCTGAACCCCAAGACCGAATCATAGTAGTCACCCTGAACAATCTATCAAATCAACCTTCTAATATTATAAAAATCCTGTAATTATTGGGTGACAAAAACATGGCCTCTATATATCCAGGTTCAAGATTAAAATTGATTAAAAAAGAAAACTATTTACATTGTCTGTAGGATCCAGTGGATCATATTTCATTTCAGAAATATTTTTAAACAATGCATTGAACTCTTCAAATATGTTGACAACTTGATCGCTGAATGCTTTTCCTTTGATTCCACCAAATTCAATCTTTTCCAGTTTCAACATGTCTTTCGCATCAGCTAACAAACTCTGAATAAGGGAAAGCTGCTGTCACAGGGTTGTTGATATCTGGTGAATCATCAAATCAAATCATGTCACATTTTTGCTCCATAACACAAATTTTTTTTACAAATTTCAATGGTCCAAAGCAGTGCTTCCCAAGGTTTTTTTCGAGCAAATCAAATTTTTAAAAAATAAATTTTGTAAAATCTTGCCAATTATCACCAGTTTTGGGTCACGACCCATAGGACGAGGAACACTGATCTATGTGATTGAGTCCTAATGCAACTATAGCTTCCTCAAAAAGAGAATATTGCCTTTCTTATGTAATAAACCAAATATGAAGGGTGCAAGTCGTGATGCAGCTAGTCTCATTTAATAAAGATATATCCACAAATGGTTGAAAGTTGTAAATTTCAGATATATTTCAATCCTAATCTACCACTATATGAATCAAGAACATCAATCTAAAACAAACATTCTGTTAAAACTTGAGTGGCTGGTCAAGAAGAAAGTACTTCCAATAGAAGTGCTAATACCTCAATGGCATGGACTCTGTCAATGAAGGTATCCATTCTTGCAAACACAAGACTGTTATCAAAATCCCAAAGAACTGGTTCATTTCCCGATTGCTCGAAATAAGTTGGAAGTTTGTCTTTATGTATTTGGTATGCAGACCTATAAATAAAGTCAAAATTACATACCAGAAACTAAATGAGATTTAAAAAAAAGTCTTTCAAGATTTACCTGAATGTTACCAACACCTTGACAGCATTCTTGATTTTATCCAGTGCTTCTTCAACTTCCGATTTGAACAATTCTTCTGGATTAAGATACACACGACACTGCAGAAAAAAAATTCCATGTTACACTCAAATGCCAGGTGATTGATGCTTTGAAAATATTTATAGAAATTCCATGGTAGCAAATACTACCATGTACCATTCATTCCTAACTCTAGATATACACCTGAAGACATAAATTAGTACTCATAATAAAAAAAAATGCCAGACTGCAATCACTTCTTTTTTGTATCAGGTTCTGTTTCGTGTCTTTAAGGGTTTTGTTGAGTACCTAATGTCACATAACCATCATTTTAAGATATAGCATGTTTCAAAACAACAAAATTTTCTACTAGAGTATAATAAACCTTGGCAATTTGGAATTTAGTATCTTGTTAGGACAATAATAGTTAGAGATGTATAGCCAAGATAGACAATGTATTTTGATTTGTTGACATGATGAGTTTACCGCCGGAAATTGAAAATTACTTTGCTAACCTGGTTGATCATAAGGTTGCACACTTCTTGTAAAAGAACAATAAGTCTGGTTGGTGTGCAATAATGTTTGCTGTGAGCCCAGACTTTGCAAACAGTGTCAAACAATGGCTTAATATAGATGCTACTTTCTCCAAAATCTCTCTCTTCAAGATCCTCAAAAATCCACTTGAGTGGTTTCAAGTGTGCGTGAATATCTCTGGCTTCATTGAGACCTGTTATAAAATTATTTAAAATACGACAGTAAAGTTTGAATGGGCAATTCATGAGGTAAACCAAATATTGATCTTGTCAGTTTAATGCTGTACTCACCTGCAACAACATCTCTAAACATTTCTCTGAAAGCAGGAGCGTAACTGCTCTGAACTCGATCTAATACTTTTGCCATTGTTTTGACTTTGTGTGTGTTCAGCTGGTAAAAGAAAAAGTAGAATATTATGAGGACAATCGAAAGAAAATAATCGAAAAACAAAATTCACAAGCCAAACTAAGTTCGATCAGTGTTCAAAATTTTCAAATTGTCCACATCTAGCAATAAAAATGGTTTCGTTTGATAAACGTTTGATATCTCAGTAAATTTGGACATAAATTATGGTAGTAATTTCTTGTGTTCTGATGAGTTACACATATTCAAAGACAAAAATTTCCTCATATGTTTGATGAACTAAACATAAAATAGATAACTTAAATGAAATTATTAAGCATTACTATTATCATAAATAGATAATTATACAATTGATTTAGCAATTGATTGCTAAATTCACTGATGAAGCTGTAGAATTATTCAGTCTCTACGCAATATATCGTATTCATACAATTTATTCAATACCTGATCATATATGCATTGCAGATTTTCGAATCTGTCTTTCCAGAAAGATATTTCTGTAGTTGGTAATGGATTTGTTCCTTGCAGGAGGAGTTCGGATGAGTCTCGCATAAGAACATCTCGAATTTGATGGCTCCACTCAATGACAACTGATTCCAACGCATGCAGTATTTGTCGATCAATCAAATCTTCCCTGTTTGATATCAATATAAATCATTACAATGACATGTTGTCAATAACAATTATGTTGCTATCAAAATGAATATGTCTTATATATCCTTCATATCCATAATATCCATTCCAAATTGTTATCAAATGACTATGACACTTTTAGCTGGTGTTATTTAATAGATTTGTATCTTGTATCTTTAATAGATTTTCATAGACATTGTAACAGTCTGTATACTTCTCATGTTTGAACTACTTTTCCCAAAGACCTTGTTATTAAGTATATATTTCCAATAGTTAGTTTACCTTTTTGTAGCACTAGATAACACAAAATCATAATAAAGTTGCACAGTGCGTAAAACTAAATATAAATACTTGTAGGAACTGAAGGTGCATAGAGGCTTAAATATTGATAGTTTCCAACAATAGAAAGAATTATAACAAACAGTTAAGACATAATAGGAACTATACGCGACATAGATCAATTCCAATCTCTAAAGCAACAAAAAAAATATGTCGCAATAACTATTTTTACAGTATCTAATATAACAGTGGTTAGATGAAAAATCATACTTGACATCTTCTTCAACAGGTGGTGCCTCTTGTTCCGGAATTTTTTCCGTGCCAGGAGGAAGAGGAAGAAGAGTTTTACCCTTCACCTGAATAGAAAAAAATATATTGTTTCGTGTTAACGAATATTTCAAGTTTTTAATATTTGATAAAATTTCATAGTTTTAGTCGAGTTTCCTTCAATATTTCCCTCAAATTTAAAATTTTGAAGAGGTAATATTCAACTCATAACTTACTTGTCCTGATACAACAAACACGCTGCTCTTCAATTTGTGAACATGTCGAAGTACATCACCTGAAACCACATGAGGCCATGTTTCATGATTTCTGTCATTGGACAACAATGGAACAATCACCTGAAAAACAAAGATGTTTATTGCAAATATTTTCATTTTCATTTAGTAAACCTGACAATTCATTTTTCCGATCTTTTTTTTCAGACCATGAAAAATCTTTACTCAGGCCAGAGGTCTAGACTAATTTTATATTGCCCCTGGGGAGTCGAGAGAGAGAAAAGAAACTTTAGCTCGGTAAAAGGTCATTTGGTTGCTATCAGTTGATGCCCGGATCCTGAACAGATATACTGGCATATGTGCTCAGAAATATTGCTGGACATGTCTGTCCCATCCAAGTTTGTGTATCTGGGATTATTAACTAAATACCAGTTCTTCTCCATGCTATCAGTTTATGAATATGAATTTGAAATTTATGAATATTGAAATACCCATTCCATTGCATGATTTACTTCACTGCTGACTCCTGTACTTATGATTATATTGGACCCAAATATTGAGCTGCTAGTAAGCCTTGTGACAGGCGCTTGAATGGTCTGGGGTATTTCCCAGTATATTTTTTAAAACTGGCGGGGATTCCCCCACTAAAATACTAGTTCACTGTTTTGGCAGTTGCAGACAATGCAGTTTGCAGATGCAGAGAAAACATTTCACAGCTTTTCGTTTTGTATACTATATTGAACGATAAAAAATTAAACTAATAGGCATGATAGGAAACTATTTGTTGTAATTTTTGCTAAAACAAACAGCAGCAGTTTAAATTGGGGAAAAACATTCCTTTTTCACAGAACTTTTCATTAATTATGATGTATGACTTTTAAATGCAATCAAAGTGAAGTGTAGATTTGAGAAGAGCATAAAAATGTAGAAAAATAAAGGCTTGTGTCTTTGTTTGTCTTATCTGACAAGTTCAGCTCTGTGCGTTCACTGGATTATAATGCCTTGCAGCAAGAAAACGTGCACAACAGATAGGATAGATCAGAATTACATATTTATCATGGGGAGATCAAAGTCGATAAGACGGCTTAATTAATCATATGGACAATTTCGACCTATCGGGATCAGTTAGTGTTAGACAGTTATTTGTTTCAGATGCATGGACCAGAATAGATGGAGAAAGTGTAACCAGCCAACAGTTACGTGAATCCCCCAACACTGCAGGGGTCGGCAACCTTTTGTCGCTGGCGGGCCAAAAATAAAGGTTGCGAGTCATTGGCGAGCCGCACATATTTTTGGAAAGTGGAAAACCGAGCGAATGCTACTTTTTATAATGAAAATCAAGCATTGATACATCTCACGAATAGAATATTGATTTGTTTCCTCATTGCATTGCATTGCATTGCCATTTTTTTCATTTATAATTTAATTATAAGTTTACTCGAGTAAAATTGTGTATTATATACTTGTCGGGTTATAATATAATTTAGTTTACACGTGTCTTACAATAAATTAAGAAAATAGTCGTCGAAACAGCTGTATTGTCACTATATATAGTTCAGCGAAGCGTCGCGGACCGGATTACATTACCTCGCGGGCCGGATCCTGCCCGCGGGCCGGATCCTGCCCGCGGGCCGTAGGTTGTCGACCCCTGCTCTACAGCTGCAATTGCAGCAAGATTGTAGACACTAGTCGTTGTATTGTTAATTATATATATTACAGAAATAGACAGAGATCACGACCTATGAATTGAAATCACCGCACGCGATGGAATACGATATTGGAGAATACAACAGGCAGTCGCCGTTAATGTAGACATCTCTCAAATAAATTCAAAATCTAAAAATATTACATCGGCGATAGCAGAATGGTCTCGGTGTAATGAGAGATATAACAATTGAGCATGTCTTCAATATTCGGTGTTGTGTAATCTTTTGTTGTCAGAATCTGCATAGTCATTCCAATACATTTCGAAAGTCATAAAAAAAATCCTACAAATTTTACATCAGGATAATAACCCGATTCCAAGAATCGATCATCTGATAGTATGGTATAAACATGCTTGCGGATTCTACTTTTATTTATTCTTTCACTCTACCATGGAAGAAGGGCAACTCTTTATAATAGCCACGGATCGTCAATATTTTTTATATACTTGGACGAAAGTACGTGTTTAAATGTTGACATTTTCACACATTTTTAAATATACTAAAGGTCCAAAAATACAATTTACGCGAATTATGTGCTTAAAAGTAAACTCCATCAAAGTGACATCATTATTTCACTAAATGAAGTTTTGATTAATAAAGGTTTTTTTATCTTGAAGTATAAATTGTGAAAACTGCCATACCAAAGTGTTTTACCGATTAAATCGTGTGTATAAAACTGTACTAGTGCTAGCGGGAGGTAAAAGCGCATTAATCGCGTCGTATCACAATTGTGCCGTTATGAAACGAGTAAAATTAGATTTCGACAGAATTAAACCGAGATATAATTTCAGTAAATTATGGTTATAGTACAATTGGTTAAACTTTCATATATTTCGAGGAAGTCATTATAATTTTAAATATATAACTTTTTTGATCAAACAGGCTATGTTGCCATTATGGAATTGCACTTACTTACCGAAATAAATATAAACCGTTCAACTTTTGGCCGCAATCCACTTATATCATCCACTTGGAATTGAAGTATCGTGGGTGGGGGGTAGAAAAGAACAACGAGAGTCATTGAAAATAAATTCAAGTTGTTTATCTTCTGATAAATATCCTGACGCAAAATATATTTACGCTATACCACGTGAACAAAATGTCGAGTGTGGGCCATTGATCGAGTGTGCGATTTTGTCACCTAAGTGAGAATACGCTTTTCTGGTAATATCTCATTCTAAATGTTTGTACCAACCAAGTTTGGTCGACACTATTCGTGTACGTCCAGTTGGCTTTCGTCAATATTTGGTTACATATTGAAACTCTACAATCTGTATTTCACGTTTTCAATTAATATTTACTGTCTCAGAACGACCTAATAAAATACCAAAGTCGGGAATTCATATTTCGGTTTCAATATATATTTGAACATACGACTGGGTAAACTTATCGCCATATGAATACACATAAAATTTAAAGGCGCTGTCACCTTATGTTGTCTGTAGATATTATAGCATACGGTTGCTAAGCGCCATCTATGAAAAATGCGGTTGACTTCATTTGGATTATTTCAAAGATGTCAGTAATTTAGCTGTTATTTTCAGGTTAATAGCATAAGAGCAAGTACGAGTTTTTTTATATCACGACGTAGTTAATTACAGATTTAAACTCAACGATGGAGGCGACACATGAGTGCGTGATACATAGAACTGTATTGTAAATTTACATGATTCAATATATGTGTCAATCAACTTACAATTTTATGCCTTTTACATTCGTGCCATAAAAATTTAGATATTGATATTGCGGATACATTAAAAGCACAGAACTGCAAATACTGCAATAAAATGAAGACGTCCTTTGGGAAGTAAATCCATAAAATATATAAACAAAATTTGTAGCTTCCGACTTTACAAGTATCGTTACAGAACATACCTCATCCACGAGTGACGATAGTTGATCCAAGGGTGCATATGAAAGATCGCCATAAAGCAGTTGATTTTTGATGTTATCGGGTGTAATATTTTCTTTCGCTCGTTTGATGAAATATACAGCTTTCGTTTTGCTTGACGTTGGAAATTCGTACGATGGAGATAGCAAACCTGCGGATGAGGTACTCACAACTAAAACTCCAATATCACTTTTGTCAAAAAACTCTTGCATGAGTATTTTGTTGTCTTCGACAGATATGCATTTTAGCCATTTGTCGTTTTTCAGTTTCAAAGTTTGCAGGATATATTCACTCAGAAAATCGTACCGTTTGTCTTCACCTGCGTCGCCCATGACTACTACAATGCGGTAACAAATTCGCAGTAAAGATTGAACAAATTGCTACCTACAATATAATTTATAAATTAAATGATAAATAACTGAAAATATTTGAATAAATCATAGACAAAAAATTAACGATATATTCGAATCATACGGACCGAGGGGGTGATTTTACGTACTCACGCGACAATAAAGTAAATGGTGTTTTAAGCTCTAACCAAGTATCGGATTGAAATTTAGAAATGTTAACCCGTCATCGCAACCAGAGTTATGGTAATATAGTTATTTATATTTTTGTTGAAGCTGACCTTCTAGGGCAGTTTTCGGCAAGTGTGGGGTCGCGATCGTCGATATGACTATACGAAAAAATTGTAAAAGCGAGTTTAAAATTAGAGCTATATGATCAAAAAGCATTATTAATTCAGAGCGCAAATATTTTTCAGTATAAAATGATAAATAAGTATGACCCACTAACTAAAACCATGCTGATAATCAAAACTAAAACTACTCATGGCCACTACATTATTTATTACAGTTATTATTTCGCCAAATCCAAGTTAAATTCATATACGGCGCCTATACTTGTTCATCTTACAATACGCTCATTTATATCCTAGCTAAACAAATATGTTTTAACTTGAGTAGATTTCGCCGAACTTCCTCTGTTTTATGGATTACATAAGAACGATAACGCCAGCTACGTGTGCCAACAGAAAATCCAACCAATCTTAGATAGGAAGCTGCGGAAACAAGGCAGCGGTCCGCTTATTTCACAAAAGGTAATCGGTCGTATTCGCCAATACACAATAGTGATGTATTTAGAAAAGCTCATTGTGTATCAGAATTCCAGCTGGGATAAGATAAAAGACTCCGCGTTGGCATGTAACTTTACCTCGTTGTTGTTATCCCGAGAATAATACAGTCAGCATTTTCATGTTTGAAAACTAACAAAAGAATATTCTTAATCCCAGGCAATCCCTAAGTCGTTTTAAACTTTTTCTAGATTATTGTAAGGTTCAACTTACAATTTAAAATAAATATTTAAAATCACCGAAACTCATGACAGTATAATACTTATATTATGTTAAAACATTGTCATATCGCAAGGGAATCCAACTTGTCACGACTGGTTTGCCTTAAATAAAGTTGCATCTCTCCCTTGGCATTAAACTTCAGTTTAAGAACTGTGCTAACCTTTACTTCTCGGCATATTTTCTAACTAGATTTCGGATTTATTCATTTCATCTCGCGATAATAAGAAAATAGGAATAACGGTCTAAATTGTGTTGATATTAATATTGAATAAATCTGGTGACTCGACTCGTTGTCGGTTCTTTTGGCGGATAACTCGATATGTATGATAATATTGCTACATTCCCTTGCATTCAAACTTCGTCTGCGCTTAAATAAACATTTTGACAAGGTTTTGGCTAGACTACACTTGACTATATTTTCATATCAGATAATACATGCGTGGCAATAGGCAAGTCTAACGTATTATCGTTATTCTGTTATTATATTAGATTACTCTGGCAACCAATTGTAAGTCTCACAATAGACAAACCAATATGACGATTTGTGGGTTTGTTGAGCCAATCAGGCCCATGCGTGGGAGTATTGATATAACTAAACCCCGATTGTAGTTCTGTCGTGGCCGATGAATTGGAAATGCTTGTCTGACAGACAGGCGAATAAAAAAACAATAGTACCGCCTTTCACCACGCATCGCACAGTAAAAGTATGCGGTAGGAAGAGAGACTATTGTACTGGATAACGTAGCCATGGTGACGACAAACACTCAGGCAAAGAAAAATATTAACATAAAGATGCCGAATAACGAAACGAATGACGGTATCTTGTTGCTAGTTTATCCGAAATGTCAATCTATACAAAGACTGTCTCAAGTACAAAACGCACTAAAAATGGAATTTTGTATATCAAGCTGTTGGTATACCAAGGTGACTTTCATGAATGAAAACATAATGATCCAAATCTGGACAAGCCCGACAGGGTAACGAAGTAGAGCCATTTGTGAGCAATTCTCCGTTAATTTTATGAATATTCGGACCCATGTTATTTAATTTAGTATTCGGTCGAGGTTTGAAAATGGCATATTATAGTACTAATTTGTTGAAGATTCTCTACTATATATAGCGACGATCGACAACCTGTGGCTCCATTGGTACGTACAGTTCTTGAGCGCCGTAAGTCTTGTACGATCAGCTCTGATTTGTCGAATACACAAAAATACGAATCGAAACAAAATATAATCAAGCACTTTACCTTGCGTTTTTGTGCCCACGGATTGTCATGATATTTTCTGAGTAGTATTTCTTTTATTTCGTCTACACAACCGCAGATTAAAATGATCACCATTAAATTAATAATAATGAGGCAATGCGATGAATATGTATTTTTGATTTACTAATATGCTTTACAATTTTTTTCTAAAAGGTGCTAAATCAAGTTGTACTTTATGGAAATTTATAGCAGATAGTACGATTTTTCTAACGGCGATAACAAATTCGCAAGATCGCAAAAAATATGTATTAAAACTAAATATAATCGGGAAATATATTCACACATTATTATGATCGTAGATTGCTGTGGCATTTCGAAGAAGTCATGCTTTCATCTTGTCGCAAGTCGACGCAAGCCCGAGTTACCACGAACACAATTAAATTAAAAGAGAAAGACATTTTAAATTCTCGTCGTTGTCATGGATTGAATGTTGTGCGACAGAAAATGCCATTATACACTAAAAAGCCGGCTCTTTTAGCGAACGCGTCATTGCTCAAATTTGCGATTTTGGAATTCGTTAAAATTCTGTTGTATTTGGTTTTATTTCTTCTTCACGCAGAGTTGCGTGAAGTTCCTTGAGTCCGCAAAGGCTATCGCCGGTGAGAAAATAGTCCACGACCAAAAAAGGTTGGGAAACGCTGATTAAACCAAACGTCCAAATTCTCGCCATGTAAAGATTATTGCACATATTCAATTCGATTTACTATTGTGCTGATCTCGTACAATAATTCAGTACAAATGTACCTTTTTATGCCTCCTATCATTAGGCCTAATTGCTGTGAAGATTCTAACTTTTCAAGTATTGAGTGATTATCTTTGATTTGAGTGAATCTTATAGCTTTTAGTAAAACTGTGCTTTACTTTTATTGAGAGGTACATTGCACAAAATCATTTTGATTTGAACGAGGCATTGGTAAAATGGACAGTATATATATGAAATGACAATGTCTGTCTATATTTGTGCTAAACGAATTGCTTAAAAAATAGGAATAGCTGAGTTTAGTCTCCCTAGGTGCCAAAGGTTAATTCCAAACAAAAGGTGAACCGCAATGTAACAATCCACAAACGAGAATATCGGCCGGAGACCGAAAACTTATCGATCGAAACTGCGGTTTCGATTCATGACTCTATAGTGACACCGCGTGTCCCATCACTAATTAATCAATATGGCTTCTGGTCCGGGATATGATGAATGCACATGCAAATTTGGAGCAGATTCAACCTCGCCTTCGTGAGATATCGCATTCATCTAACAGACAAATACCTATCAACATACTTACCGATCTTAAGATCGATAAGTAATCAGTTAAACCAGTTGGTCAAACCGTAAATATATACTACCGTTCAATTTAGATTTTCACCAGTCGTTGATTTGCCCTGAGCAATGAGATATATATTCTCATTGCACCGTGACGGTCATTCAACAGCGGTTTCGGGCATTAAATTGAGTCTGTAAACTGGGTTTCATCATTGAGTTCTTAGCTGTGAAACGTCGTTTTAGTAGGTAGCAGAAAGCAGTGGCGGCGCGTGGTCATTTTGACAACCGGGGCAAGCTACTGCGGGACCAAGTCACCCCCATCTACGGGGACAGAATGAGCGCTGTAAGTTCTCCCATCATTTTATGAGTATAAAAACCATTCCATCGGTAACAACCAATCGGCAAAAGCGACAATTTTTAACGATAAGAAAGTGTCTTTAAAACCGGTCCAAGTCAAGGGATTAATAAATATAGACATAGTTTATTTTGAAACCTCTTTCAAAAGGAAAGGCAATATTTACCCAGATAAATACAATGACATATTAACAGAAACTTCGGGAAAGCAGACAAAACCTAAAATAAGGTTCAAAACGTTACTATGAAGAAAGGAAAGGTAATGCAAAGATAAGGACATGCGTCGCTCACTCATAGATATATATGCTGCTAGACTTCTACTGCTTGAACATATATGCAACACGCCGCGGTTTCTTGGAAGCAAAATGCTCAATAACGCGCTGATTAAAGTCATGCATCCCAGAAATAACGTCTCTGTGAATGAATAAAACAGCCAAGGAATTTAATCTATCTTGCTTCATTGTGTTTCTGAGATACGTTTTAATACGCTTCAGCGTGCTGAATGTTCGCTCTGCGTCGGCGGAAGAAATAGGCGTCGTCAAAATGATGTCCAGAAATTTTGCAGACGCCGCAAAGGTAGTTACTAGAGTGTTATCTATGAGGAACCCATAGAGCGCGCAAGTTGATGTGATGTTCAAAAAAGTTTGATTGGTGTATATACATCGCAATTCATTTTCCAATTTACCCACGTTTATCATGGGGTAAAATTTGGAGACAGTAGCCAACAAATGGATGGGAAATTGACGTGCAAATTTTGAAACATTTTTGGGGTTCATCAAAGAGAACGCGGCAAGGTGTTCAGTGCGCAGACGATCGCCTATTTGATTCACCAGAATGTCACAGCATTCCTTTGCAGACAAAATCAAACGCTGCGTTGTTTGCCCACGGCGTAAAGAAGCACTCCATGTGTCGTCGTATTTTATTGTTTGCCGGATACGAGATACAGCATCGCAGAAGTCTGAAATACACGACTGCACAGACGCTCCATCGATTAGCCTTAACTGCAATGCGCCGTATAATACATCCACGTGATAGAATATTGTGGAGAAAAAAGCGAGAAAAAATGAAAACTCACCATCTTCTAGCAGACGCTTTAGACCTGCCGCCTCCCTCACAAAGCGTTCGTCCCAAACCGGAGAGCTCCGAATGCCATTGAAACACTCAATGAGCTCAGACCTAATTTCGGACACGCCCTGCACCACGCGTGATTGGAAGTTCCAACGTGTTGGTGCACAAGCTGGGAGACGGCAGCTACATATCTGGCGAAGGAGGTCAGAGCGCTTCGGCGAAACGGAAAAAAATGAAGAAAACCCCGAAACATTTGCAAAAAATATACGGACGAGAGGGGTATCAAGACACATATTTTTAATAACGAGATTAAATTGGTGTGCATAACAATGTAAAAAATGCGCATGAGGAAAATCTTCTTTTATATAAACTTGAACACCATGTTTCGACCCACTCATGACTGCCGCGCCGTCATAAGTTTGAGCTATTAATTTTGACTTCGCGTTGTAAGGCTGTAACACTTCTTTCAGTACAGCCGATATCCCGCAAGCCGTGCGATCAACGATTGGTACAAAGCTGTGAAATCTCTCGGTAGGTTTACCATCTTTCACAAACCGAAAAATCACAGCCAGTTGGGAAACGCACGTGATGTCAGTTGTCTCGTCAGACTGAATCGAAAGGAACTGGCAATTCTCAATTTCCAGAGCCAAATGTTGTAAATAAATTTTATACATTGAGTCGAGCAAATCATTTTGGATATCCTTAGATGTCCCTTTCGAAACAGTTGCGGCATCAAGATGATCTCTCAATACTGTATCTAGGGATGCGGTGTATTCCACCATATCCAAAAATACCCCTCTATTAGAAGAGCCAGCCCGTTCATCGTGCCCACGGAGGGACAGCTCGTGACAACCAATGAACTTCAAAACATCTATCAATCGACCGAGAACATGGCGGTTTTTCTCGACGTTTTGGTTGTGCCGACGATTAGAAACCGCGCGTCCTTCATCCAACTGTGCTGCAATATTAACATTTCCGAATGTTCGGTATTTTACTGCATTGTCCAAATGCTCCATAGAAGATTGATGATCCCTGGCACGCTCGGAAAGATGTTTAAGATCTCTAAAACCAAATTTACACCAACGGTGAGTCACGGGCGGTAGCAAAAAGTAGGCAATAAAAACAAAAAATTGCATTTTTGTCCTCGCTGTAACACGACCATTCGTGTTTTTTATACCAAGTTTATGCGCAGAATGTACGCCGACGCTTTCCTCCGTCATGGGATTGTTCCAGTGAACAATTTTTTGGTTGATAAGGCCCAAGACGTTGTACCTCTAATTTTTGTTCCAGCGGCAGCTGCGAAAACGGAGTGCGAAGTAGTGCATCAACCTTATTCATTATGAGGTCTAAGGCTAAGAAATGCGAAGCCGGAAAGAAGTGAGGAGCTCAAAAGGAATGTGGAAAATCGAAAGCAAATGGACTAAAGGTCTCTAACTGATTCAAATAGCGAAACAAGCGACAAAAACGAAGGCGAGGAAACTATCAACTCTTCAAGCAACCAACGAACGAGAAGGAATGCGTGAATAAGTCAACACGTTGTTGTAAGAAACGTTGGCATTGTGTCGTCATAATTTCGGGGCTAGCCCCGATCGGCCCCGATGATTTAGTAAAAGAAACAGAAAAAAAACAAGACAAACGCGGCGAGTGGAAGATAAAAGAGAGAATACGATATACAATGAGCAACCGGGGCAAAGGCGCGGCGGTGTGGCTCAACGGGCTAAGCGTTGGGAATACGCTCGCCACCGCACCTCTAATTACTCTGCGTGGGTTTGCAGGTTCGAATCCCATGCAGAGATGGTTATGTGCGAGAGGATTGCTGGACTCCTCGCCGTCGTTGGGTGGTTCACGTAACCGCTGGTCGGTTACGGCTTCCTCCACCACCAAGTCCATGCTTCCGAAAACAAAACAATACAGTAAAACTAATCCCATACCCGACTTGGAATGGTAACCGGACGAGAGGCCGTGATTCGCCATATGGATAAGCCGTCTTATCGGCTTTCCTCTCCCCCGGGATAAATATGTAAATCCTATCCTATCCTATCCTAATCGGCGTCGCCCCGTCGACGTTCGGCGAAGGCTTTGCGAGCGAAAAATGAACCATGTCGGGAGAATATGGCTAGTGTAGACAGTCTGTGCAACCGATATTGAGGTATTTTTCGAATATTTTTTATTATACCGAAAAAACAACCGGGGCGTTGCCCCGGTTGGCCCTATTGACGCGCCGCCACTGGCAGAAAGGCAAAAAGAGTCGAGCAAAAATGTTGTTCGTTGGGTCAAAGGTTAAATAAAACATCAAATAGAATCTCAGGTTAGTTCTCAGCTTTATTCATGCATGAGTTGGTGCTCGGCGACGGGACGCTTCGTGTTGTCAGTTTTTTCAAATTCTTTTAACCAATTGTTTAAAGGAATTAACAGTTTTCTTTTGGAAAATTTAATTTGACATGTAAATTTGGTATGCAAAGATGGATGGTTATAAGTTATAACTATAAGTGTAACTTAGAACACAAAGACAGATAGTTCATTTCGAAAACTCCATGTTACACATAGCTCTGTAGCTTGGAAATGGAGACCTCTGGAGAGCGAACAGAACTTTAAAACATGAGAAATATTATGTGCATGCTCACCAGCACACACGCAAAAAGATTACAAAAACACAAACTTACAAGGATTAGGCCAGAAATAAATAAACAATCTATTTCAATGTATATCTATATACAATCAATGAAGTTATACCTCATTCCCTAATTAAAGCCAGTTATTACTAAATTATAGTTGAGGAACCGCCGCAGTTTATAGATAATTTTTAAAACTCCAGAATACATACACACAAATTAAATTGGAGAATTCTGGGAAGCTACGAAAAATTCTAACGTTATATTCTGATATATTATTCTATATTAAGTTTAAAACATAAGAAATATCATGTGCCTGTTCATTAACATATAAGTTTACAATGAATCAAGAAAAGGTACTCGCTATATACTCGAATAATTGAAAGCCTATTTTATATCCGTGTATAGAAATATTGAAATTTTCAACTTCCCAAAAATAAATTGTCAGCTTGACTTTGTGTCCAATAGAAGAATACAGTACAATATATAGTCGAATTAGTAAACTTGATTTTTTTGTTATTCAAATAATTATCTCTTCATTCGATTCAACCACAAGAAATTAAATACCCGTAACCAATGTTCCCTCTAGTTTTTGTAGTATGTGTGCGCAGAAATTTTGGTGTGTGCGCACTTTTTTGGAAATGACTAATATTTGTGCAAAAACCAATGAAGAAATTTTGACGTTCTAACCGGGTAATAAGTGGGCTTATTAAGAAAATTTTGGTTATTCAATAGGTTTTTCTATAGATTTTAAATGCTTTAGTGAAGGCTATATGTTATCATTAGATAACAACGAACATACATGGAAAATAGTAAATGAAATTGATTGTAACAGATGGTTTTATTTGAATTCAAATAAAGCGTGAAAATATAACAAAAGAACATTGTTACATTACATCGAAATACGTCTGTGCGCAGTAAATGTATGCGTGTGCGCAGCCTCTGAAAGCTGTGTGCGCGCGCACACGCGCACACCTTAGAGGGAACACTGCCCGTAACTAATCATTCTTTACTTTTTAAATGAAGGAAAAGTGCATACTCCTCACATAAATATTTCCTGGAGGATTTAAAACCCCTTATTTTCCAGTCATCTGAATGTGGAAGATTTTGACCAATTGACAAGTAGAATTTTTTAAAACTTGGATTTTTAATAATGTCACTCAGTGAACCCCGTTCGCTTCCCCCTCGAGCATTGCCTCCACTAACCGCTGGTGCTTCACATGTTGGTGATGGATCACAAGTGCCGACCCCTAGAAAGAAAACCAGACCACCTACCAGCGGAGCAGACAATTCACCCGGTACAGGTCCGAAACGACCTGTGACGAAAACGAGACGTCGAAGAAGTCCTAGACAACAGGATGGAATCGAAACAGGATCTCTACAACCATCTTCAGCAGCGGCAAGTGTAGCTGATGAAATTCAAATGAGTGAAGGAAGGTTAGTGTGAATCATGTACAGACTAATAGATAAGATTAAGAATTTTCTTTCTTGACAGAATGTTTTATACCTTTGGATCACATTAATTAAAGGCAAAATTAATGCTGTCCACAATGGTCATTTGTATACAGGATGTTTAAGACCTCTGACAGAATAATGGTTTTCAGATGAACAGAAATCTTTCACTAGGGTCTGTTTATTTTAGTGCTGTAACATGTTAAACTGTTGTATTTGAATAATACAGTTTTGTCTAGTGAGCTACGAGCATGTATACTCCAAGTATTAGAGTTCTGGGTCTGATCTGCAAGCTAAAGTACACTTTCTGTTTGGCACTGTCTACTCTACAACAACTTATTACATTCTCGGTGAGGTTTGAGCCAAGGATCTATAACCTGTGATGCCTACGTAGTCATGTTCTCACCACTAGTATTCTCATCCAATAGTAAATTTAGTTCTATGAAGTGAAAGGAACACCTCGTTTAAAAATTATGATTTCTTTTATGTTCAGTGGACCTTCTTCCACTGCAAAACCTAGGACAAAGAGGAGAAGAAAACCAGCTGGTGCTAATCAGAGTCCTGGTGGAACAGGAGAGGTATCCACTGGAAATACAGTTTCAGCATTGCTACAAGATGAAGATGTAGTAAATGTTGAGAAAATTGAAGATGCTATAGTAATGACAAATCTTCCTGGTGTTGCTGGTAAGTATATGCAGTTTGAATATCTTTCATAACCGTCATAGATATTCATCTAATTCAATCAAATGTAAACAGATTGTAAGAAAACCTCATTTTTTCTGCATAAACAAGATTAGTTTATCACACAAGCATTTACTCTATCTTTGTGGTATTTGAACTTACAAAATCTTGTATAAAAACCTGTTGAAGCCAGTGGAAACCGTCCTTGGTAATTTTTCCAGTGTTAAAAATGCTGATTTTTTTAATAGCTGGATCAGGTGGCAGTGCGGCAACTGACAAAGTCTATGTACAAACTACCAATGGATTTGCAACACACAATCAAGATTGGGTGAATGACCGTTTTATGAAAAGTATGGGAAGCGAAGCACAAATGACATATGGAGAGGCAACAATGAAACCGTCCAATGTGAGGATTGATAGGATAGGATTTACATATTTATCTCGGGGCGATTATGTGAACCGCCCTATGGCGGCGAGTAGTCCAGCAGTCTTCTCGCACATAACTGTCACTGCATGGGATTCGAACCCACGTAGGATAATCAGAGGTGCGGTGGCGAGCGTATTCTGAACGCTTAGCACGATGCGCCACACTGCCGAGCCTATCCTGCCACCGCTGATCTTGTGGAGTAGAAGTTTTTAGTCTGAACCACTTAAAGTTTAGATTTTTTTCAGTGGCTTGCCTAGAATCCCAATGGGGGGGTGTTTAATAGTTAAGAAATTATGACATCATAATATGACCCACTTGGTTTGCTTTTCTAATTCTCTTCAGTATAATTTCCAATCAGAAATAATGATTGTATCTGGACTACTTTGGTAACAAATTAGCTACCGGAAGTAGAAAGAAGCCTTAAAAGCACTGATAAACATCATAAATTCATTTCCAGATTGCCGAGCAAAATGAGAAAGCATTTATGTTCATTACATTATTACTGCATGGTGCACTAGCTGGATTCTCAATATGGCAGATTGTCATCAGCTATTCCTTGAATGGTTTAGGGGAGCAGAATCTTCTAACTCAGTATCAAGGGTAAGTATTGTGTATAAAAATAGGAAGGGTTTACATATTTATCCCGGGGAGAGGGAAGCCAATAACGCGACTCAATCATATGGTGGACCATGGCCTTTCGTCCGATTACCAGGGCATGAGATTAGTTAGCCAGTTATTTGTTTTTGGAAGCATGGACTTGATGGCGGAGTAAGCCGTTACCGACCAGCAGTTACGTGAACCACCCTGCGGAGGCGAGTATATTCCTAATGCTTAGCACGGTGTGCTTTTCTTTATTACCATAGTGTGAAATTTATAGGACTGATGGTCTAAGATATTCATCACTGAATTACTATGTAATCATTATGAAATATCTGAACACAATATGGATGAAAATATGAAATGTATTAATCAATTGTATTATTTTGTTTTTAGTCTCGCAATGCCAACACAAACAGTCTACTATATCATCCTCATATTATGCGTAGTTTCAGCAATGGATAGATATGATTTTGCAGCTCGGGACAAACATATTTTCACGAGTCTTGCTAAATTTGATCTTGCGTCTGTAGCCGTAATTGTATACTATGTTGCTCTCATGTTCAGTGTTGGCATGGTGGGTCTCGAAGCATGGATTGGATCAGGAGTGGGTATTACTGTCACAACCACCACAACAACAATATCAACACCAAGTTCAACGCAGGCACCACTTCCACCTGAACTTGCCGGAACAAACTTGGACACCTCAGTCACCATAAACACATGGTTGACTTTGAATGTTTTCCGAGCAGTATTTGCTTGCTTGGGATGGTTGATAATCGCATTCGATCCATTGAGAAATGATATGATCTGGGAATAAGTAGTCCTATCTTTTTACGTGGCATCCTAGCAAAGTGCATTGGACACATATTTATAACACAATGTTGAAGCCCTTTTTGTTTTATATTAGATCAATATTTTTATATATATAACAATACCTTCCTGTTTTCATATTATAAAATACTACAACTAGATGCAAGAAAACTATTTTATTATCAAACGAATTAAATAATACAGTACGCGAAGCAATGGATGTACAAAAGATCCAGCCTAGGTGAAAAGAAATGTATGCAGATGATAGGAACAGGAAGGGTACCAATACCTTGGGTTCAGCTCACAGCAAAAAACAGAACTTTACAGTGTACTTTACAAGTAGTAAAGTAAGAAAAGGAACAAAAACAAAAAGCCAACAATAAAATATTGTTATATTATTAATATATGTAGTTCATCAAATTTTTTTCTTAGAAAAATAAAAAACATTTCTGAATGCAACAATGCCAACAAAATTATAAATAATTCGGTACAAAAACTAAAAATTGTGAAACAAAGCAAAAAAGCATTTTATTATGAACAGAATATATGGCACAGAAAAGAAATTAACACTCAGTCTGCATGCGAAAAACAGATCACGCTAGATTTAAAAATCAATAGACGGAAAGTGTGCCATTAGTTTGTCTCGCATACTCAACGTTTAAATCTAAACCTGGATACGTCGATGTATCAGTAAGGCAAAGTTAGAATCCTCCAGTTTTGATTAAAATTGGGTGAAGATCATTTCTGGTTCAAGTTTTCAAACAACGAGCATAACTTCAGTCAAGATAACCTTATAATGGGTGTTGCCATTTTATCCTACATACATACGAGACTCATCTTCGCATAATTCGATATGGTGCCCTTTGTTATTATCAAGAATGTAAGAAAAGTATATATAGTATTACTTGTCACTCAAAGAACAAAACACTGCAACACAGGTCAATCAATATAAACGAATATAGCTAGAGTATTAGCAAAATAATACAAAAGTATTTACAACAAAGTATCAGTGAAAAAAAAAACAGGTTCAAATATTTATAATGTCGGATATGTATGGAAGAGGATTGCCTGAACCTATTCACAAATGCCATATATTCTTCGAACTAAACGATTCATGAAGATGACAAGATCACTTCAGTAGATGACACCAAAAAGGCATTACTATATGTACAAATAAACTGTGCTCATTATATACATAAATGAAATAATTTCAGACGGCTTGCCAAATAAAAAATTTACTAAAGCTGTTGAAAGTCTTGCCATTAGGATTATAGATAAAAATAATTGAGTATATTGGAATTATTAAAAAATATTTACATGTGCAGAAAATCAATATAAGAACATAACACATATATCAAAATTAAAGAACTTTAAAGTAGATATTATTCTTTTCACAATGTGAAATATATTATTTAAACATAACAGTATACACGCCTGTTCTGATCCGCCACCATTACAAGTTTTTAATATTCGGGGTTGGCTAAAATAGACAGGATAGAGATGCATATTGTGGAAGCATCACATGTGGGATAAATATCAAGAAATTGGCTTAAACAATTCATTTATCCATATTGGCATCTGGGGTATCACCATTTCTATCCTTCCATTCTAAAGCCCTTTTGTGAGAAATCGTTAGAATTGAATTATTGAAAGGAACGCGAGGAAATAGATATTTTGCCGCAGAAATCGTTTGCTCTTCTCTCTGTGATCTCAATATATTGCTTGAGTATTTGTGATACAGTGAATCGCTGTTAGACTTGGTACTGGAAATTGTTAAAAAAAGTTAAAATAACTAAAAAATTAACAAACAGACTAGATAGTGGCGCAAATGTATTTTTCTTTGCGTAAACACCGTAGGATCAGCATTACGCCCCCTCAAAAAATTGGCTACGCCCCTCTTGTAGGGCGCGCAGCAAATATAAAAAATACAAATTGAAAATATTGAACTACGGTAATGAAGCGTAGTTTCAATCTCACCAAGTTCAATAATGATAATGAATTATAATACTCTTTCACAATATAGATAAAATGTTTAATAATCTCACTAACAAATCAAATTATAAAACTTACCTTCCAAGAATTGAATCAAACAATACCAGAGCATTTTCTCTTTGTAATATCAACAACAAACTGGGTCCTTGAACCAAAGAAGTAATCTGAAGCAAAAGAAAAGCGAATATGATGGATGTTATCGTCACTCAAATGAAAGACTTTTTCAAAAAACCTGAGTAACTTAGCTAGATAGCTGAGTATCTTAACTTGGTTGGCTAAAAAACTATCAACATATTGCTCATTGAAAACTTACCATGCCATCCACATTTTGAGTATAATTGAGTATGTTCAATATTTCTGCAGCTTGAGATTGTCTGAACAATACTTGCCGAAGTGCACAAATTTCGAAACCCTGAAATATAGGAAAGTTCTAAGGGCAATTTGGGAGCAAAATCAAAATGTAAGTGAGATCATTATTTCATAAAAAAGTATAGGAAATGAATATCATGGTATAGCTCAGGGTGGTCCAAACCCAGTCCCGCGGGCCACATGTGGCAGGCCGCTCCATTATCTGTGGCCCGCGTCGCATTTGCGCGTGGGTAAACAAAAAATCGCATTTGGTGTTGTTTCGTAATATAAATAACCAGCAAAATCTTTTGACGTATTGTTACATCACTAATGAATGTCACTGAATTGAATAGTGTTGAGGCTAGCTGAGGCAACTAGCAAAAGTTGAATAATGTGTTTGGCTAGTCTAAATTTTCAACTGGTTTTCGATTTTTTGGTTGGGAATATATGCTAACAAAATAGGCTTAATAGAAAACTAAAAATCGAACGAGGAATCTATTAATTATCCTAAGTTGGGTATGCCTGATAACTAAATATTAATCTAAAGGCCGAACAACATAATTCCTGGCGGGTGTTTTTTTGCAACCAGCCTAAACAGTAAAAATACTGCCTATATGTCAGAAAATTTAGTAATTACCCTCTCAAATTTGATAAAATTCGGTAATCAAACAATCTGCAGTTATTTTGTAAACATGAGTTTGAAAAGAAAGCTGACCAATTCAAGCAGATGTTTGACTGGATATGGGAGAGAAAATACCACAATGCTTGCTTAATATGTCTGTAAGTTGTATCGGTGTATCTAAAACAACATTTTGTCCGTTATGAAGAGTTTGAAATCTTACACTTAATGTAGATATAGTAAGATTTTGCACGTTTTAGTGAGTTTTTTGGTGGTTTTGGCATGTTCAGCTTGATAAATTACAAATAATGATCAATGTGTTGAGACAATAAAAATGTTTGTTTTGTATTGCAATGTTCACCTATTCTTAGCATTATTGTGGCCCACAAACAATACAAAAACAATAGTGTGGCCCGCGAGGCCGTCAACCTTGGACCACCCTGGTATAGCTCGAATCTATGATGTTGCAGAGTAGCTCAAATAACGAATGAAATATTTGATACGATTAAAAACATACCAAAACGTAACAACAAATAAATAATGGGAAATGGTTTACTTTTGGATAAATAATTTAGGCTGTTTTAATTTGGTACATGTATATTAAGGCTGTAGGGAAATTGGAAAGAGGTAGCACCCTTGCTGCTCCTCAGCTGCTCCTACCTAACTAGGACGGGCATCAGTGGTCTTCGGCCAACTCCGAAATCTCTCACATGCTGACTCCAAACGTCACACCCTGGTAAACCGCTTCAGCTGGCGGGCTAAACCATGTGAGAGTTTGGTGTTTATATGGCACCACTGGGCAAATGATCTTCTTCAAGAAGGGTTCAGAAGAACTTCACTGGCTAAGTGTACATGGTCAGGGCGAAGAGGGATAAGCTCCGCCAGGCGTCATAGCCTGAGATTCGCTACATGATGAATACAACCAGAAAGACTGGTTGACAAACCAGCTGTAGAGCCCCAACGGCCATCACCCTTATTGACTACTTAAATGCATAATTATAATATGAAGTACTTATAGTTTGATACGAGAATTTGAAGATGGGTTCAGTGGCCTAGTGATAAAAGTGTTAGACTTGACAATGGTAAAATACCATGTTCAAATCTCATGCCCACCCCTCACCCAGGGTGTAATAAATTGAGTAGGCAATGCTGAAACAGAAAAGATTGCAGTCCTTCTAAGTAAAAAGTTGTCTCTTTATATATCAGTGGCTGCCTTGATCAAGCGAATGGCGTATAAATGCGTCAATTGAAAGATGGTATATTTTGCATCAGTGATAAGTTGATTAAAAATCAGTTGTCTGTCAGACTAAAATGAAATCCTATTTTAAAAGTCATATAACCTGAGTTAACAACTGATCCAAAATCTCAACAAAAGGTGGTATTGTTCCATGTGCCAGTCCCATCGGACGTCGTGTAAGCGGATGACGGGATTGTCGAGGTCTGCTTGTACCATTTGTATGGAATAATGGAGGAGTTAAAATAACAACAACTGGTTTTCGAGGCATGTATGTCACCCTGAGACTCGTTGAATGATTTGCTAAAATAGATTAAAAAAATTGAAATGAATATGATCACAAGAGCTATGATAAAATAAAATGGAATAAACTGAGTGTGTTTTTGATAATGAGACTAGAACTACAAGGTGTTAGTGAAGGCCTGTTACAATTCTAATATGTCACGATGTCAGTTCTCAATATATCTTAACCACGGATACAGGCCTTGGTTCGTAATATGATTAGGCCGTCTTATCGGCTTCCCCCTCCTTGGGCATAAATATGTACATTCTATCCTATTTTAAACAGTGTTTATTCAAGTTTTTACTTCATTTAGTACACCTTTATATGCCCAGCTTTAGTTGCATGCAATAGACAAGTTCTTGAACTTAATTTAATACAGGACTTTCTAAAACCCTTTTTTAATGTGAAATAGGTCCTGGTGTACATGTAATTTAGCTTGACAAGTACTGAAATTTAAAAATTTTCTCTCATAAACTCCTACATCCAGGGACTTTTACATTTGCACATATTCTAGAATTTACCAGATGAAGTACCCAATTATAGTTAATTTCTTTTGATTATTTAAAATTTGGAAATTGAATTTTTGTGACACAACATGAATGCAACAAATAAATATCTAGAAGACAGCATAAAGTAAAAATCTAACATACTCTGTCTATCATCAGGTAAAATTTTCACTTCTCGTCCTTTCATTTTATCTAAAAACATAAAGTTTATTAAAAACGTTCATCAAATTCAATATCACACAATCATAGTACAACAAAGTTGGAGGAAAAGTGCTACACATGAGTTGAAGTCACTTTAATTATCTTTTACCATACAACAAAAAAAATTACCCACCGACAAAAAATGTTGCATACCTCTGGTCTAAACGTTATATAAAATTGACAGGAAAATCCAAGTTGAGTATGCTAATCTACTGATTGAAGAATATTCTAATATTACAGTTCATATTTAGATGGCAATTCCTTACAAAACTAACAAACTTCCGAATGTGGATCTATCCAATTTATCTTTGCAACTCATTTCAATTCTAAATACTCCAAAAAAACTCATGCTGACTATAAATATTTTAACAAACAAGCAATTTCAATTGTAGGAAATATTAATATTATTATCCTAAAGGTAAAATTTTGAGTTAAATTTTGTAGTTGAGAACGTAACTTGATTATTTTTTTATCTGCTAAAGAAAAATTTGACAATACAATGAGAATTATAAACTAACCAAGGCACATAAATTTATCTTCAGCAGGTGTAGGCACAAGTTCCATTTTCAATTCTAAAGTTTCTTGACAACATAATCCTTCAGGAAAGAATACTTTCAATTCTCCGCATGCTGAAAGGTAGCTGTCTGACACTAAAAACAAAATGATCCGAAAGTTTGTAAACGATTCTTTTTAAAAAGTGTTCACTCACAACTGAATACCGATAAAGATTTAAAAAATATCAACAATGAAGTAAAATCAGGGGTGGTATCGCGATCTTCCGATTAATACATGTAATTAGAATTTCACACATGCTCCTATGAAACAATTTTCTGGTTGACTGAAAATGATAAACTCCCCCTTACTCTTTCTCTCATACTGAAACGTGCTGTTTTTCAGAAAAATATTGAGAATTTCATATTGGAATGGCCTTTTTAATTTTTGCCTCATATCTAAGACAAAAAGAGCACAAATTATTTAAATGTAAAATTAATGCAGTTTTTACCATGAATTCCATTAGACATGTTATCGATTCCAAACAGAGCTCGCCATGTTGCTCGAGTTGTTGATGATCCATTTTGTCGTTGAAGATAGCATCTACTTCTGGCGATACGTGGATCGTGAGGACCAGCTAATTGGCACAGATGTCGTACTGCATTATCACGTTGAACACATGCAACCAATGATAAACCAGATGTCATATGATCAAGATAAACTTGAACCTCTCCTTGCATCTGAGTGAATACATTGTAAAATTAGAATGAATCAAATGCGAAAGTTTTCATTTTATAATGAATCCCTGTACTCCATAAAATAGTATCAAGTCATATATCATTAAATACCAGTAGAGCTTTTACAGGGCCTTGTTCAGAGTGAAGACGAAAATAAACGTTTGATGAATTATTTAATTGCATTCATAATTAAGGAGAAATCAAAAATCAAAATTTTGTCTTTCGCTGAGAAACATATTGAATATTACATACTTTTTTTCAGAGTTGATCATTTTTAGGCTTTTGTACTATTCCGTGCATTATGGTAGTCAAAAAATGTTAAACTCATTTAACCCTATGTTTATTTCACTAATTTCAGTTGGGATTCATTAGAGATAAGTGCATGCTTCGACAAAGCCCATACAAATGTTGAATTTTTTTTGAAGAAATTCACTTCATTCTCCAGTTACTGGCTTCATCTTTTCAAGTATAATTATCAAACACCGTTGCTTTTGATCCATGTCCAGTTGAATAAAATTGAGCAGTGAAGCAAAAATTACTCACATCTTTTAGGAAGTTAGGTAAAATCTGCAACGCTTCGTCTTCTGTTAGTTTTACAACTTTTGCTGCCACCACTTTAAAGCCTTCATAATGAAGTTGTCGGAAAATCTAAAGAAAAAAAAATAGAGCCTCGACAGAATTTAACGAACGCAATCAACATGGTTTGAAATGTGAATAGTTATTTACCGGAACATTATTAAGGAAAACAATGACTTGCAACCTTACCTTTATGAAATGTCTGGGGAAAGCATCAGGTTTGATAACAAGAACTGAAGTAAGAGGTTGTTGACAAGACACCATTGATGAAAAAATGGATTCTTCGGGAAGAGAAAAACTTGTATTGCTACCACCATTACTGTTTTGATTGTTGTTGTTATTATTGTTGTCTTTTTTACCTTAAATTAATAAAAATGGAATAAAGAATAATGATTGCTAAAGTGGATGAACAAAAAGAGCAATGCACAAAAAACACAATGGTCAAATGATTAATATGGCTGCCACATTGCCAAAATTAGAACCAAATGTAAAGAAGGAATCGTACTGAATGTCCTATAAAATGTTAAAAGGATTGTATAGAATGTTATACAAAGAAGTGGTTGTGAATTATAAAAACCAGCAAAATTTAGACCAGTAAGACTCTGAAGAAAATTTGAAAAAAAGGGATAGCCTTATAACGGCATTTTCCATATTCCAGTACCTAAAATATGGAATCGATAGGTCATTTCGTTGCGGATAAAAAATTATATTCTGATACATAGATTCACTTGGTGCTCAATAATGAAAAAATACTAATAGTGAAAACATTTTGGTACTCACCATTTTGCTTCTTTTTCTTTTTTCCATTGGATCGTTTGGAGTTGTCAGAATTCCTTGAATTGCCATTTGAAAATGAATTATTAAGTTGATCTCCACTACCGTTTGTATCAGCATCGCCGTTAACCGGTTTTACGTTTTGTTGTTGTCGATACTGATGAACTCTTGTTGGTGGTGGAAGATATTTCAATAATGGCCGACTTTGATTATCAGGAAATAATTCTTTATCAGAAAAAAACACTTTCATCTGTAAGAATGTGTAAAAATTTGTAAATTTGATTGTAATTACAATATCAATGATACAAGTTGTTAAGTATAAGTCAGTGAGTTCTTCAAACACTGGTAACACTACCCATAAAACGATTGATACTAATACAACCTCAGAGTATCGATTTGAAGAAAATAATGACGGGTAATCAATGCAGAATTAAATTAAAATAAAAAAGCAAAATTTTAGGTGAAATATAGGAAAAAGGACAAGAAATTTAAAAAAAAAAAAAAAGTAACAGTCATACATCAATCTAAGCGGAGGTTTTCTAACTATGAATAGACATGAATCGCTTTAAGTCTCATATCAATCTGTATTTATTAATAGTAAAGCCTCAGTAGCTCTTGGGACTCTATGGTCATCTGTAACTTCGCTAAGTGATCAAGAGGTGAATTACACATATGTCATCAACAAAAATATCGCACAAAACTGAAATGACTGTAAAGTAGATAATTTACTTGTCGATAGGCGATTTCGGGAGTAATAGACATGACATGAGTGAATTTCTCAGCATTGAAAACAACATCAGACATTGAACATGAATACCTAGGTATCCTCATTGCATCTTCCAATACCTGGAAGAAACAGTATCATCGTGATAATGAAAATTCAAATTGAACAAATTTCATGGTTTTTCTGGTTTTACTTTGATATAACTATCAAGAGAGTAATGCTCATATATACAGGGTGGACCGAAAGGTTACAGTTACTCTATAATTAGTTTGTGCTAACTGTAACCCTACTTTTGGTTCAATTTGAAATTGAAAATTGATTGGTCTAATAGTTGCAATCATTCCAACTAGACTAACAAGAACAACAATCTAGCAAAACATCTAATAGGTAAGCTTTGTGTCTGTATTGTAGACAGATTTCCTCTAAATTCATTTTTTCATAATTTAAATTCTTTTTTATTTTATTTATATGATGCCTATTCATGCTGTTCTCTCCAAATCTTTATAAGAAGACATTAATATCTAACGATATGTAAGGATTTATGCATTGGAAGGACCATAATCTTTCTGGTATCAGCATTATCAGCCTAATTTATTATACCCTGGATGCCAACATAGTTGTCTAACCCTTTAACCATTAGGCCATCGGGCGCTCCAGAAGTGTGTGTACCAATATGGAGGTAACTAATTTTGTTCACCTACTTTACATCAAGTTGTGTAAAGGGACGGAATCCTATGGGCAGATGTTATATACACTTGGCTAACACAAATAGTCCCCAAACTCAAAATAGAAAATTGGAATAAAATTATGGCCCAACCCTAACCTGGTACACATACTACGAGAGTACCGGCCATCGCACCCACAAAATAAAAAATACGAAATATAAATACAAACCTCGAAAGCATTGACCCTTCTCAAAACACATAACATAACAGGAGATGATTGTAAGATTGGAATACTTTCATGCCACGCTGGTGTTCCCACTTCATATGGTGTTAATTCCTGAAATACAAATAATGTTTATTAAAATACAACAATATATACACACCCTGGGTAAGATTATTCCAATATGGGATTGTAAATCGAAAAATAAAAAAAGTTTCATTTCGTAGGAAAGTACGATCCTATGAACCTGCATATAGCCAGTCATAATAGACCGGTGGTTGCCAACCATTTTAAAGCTAATGCCCGAAAGTTGTAGATGACAATACTGATAGGTAAAATTTCTTTACTGTAAATAATGCTTCTCAGCAAAAATGCACTTAGAAGTCACCTTCGAGGGAAAAATTAGTTTTTTGAGAAAAATGAAATAAGTAATTCATTTATATCAGCAAAATCTTCTGTCCCGTAGAGTGGTTCATAAAATTTCCCTCGATTTGTCATGTTATACAAGCTATATATATACCAATAAAGAGTGGTGTCGTATTGTTATTTCTATTTGCTTTATGCATGTGAAGCTCACGAACCACTGGCTGGCAACCAAGGCAATAGACAGACAAAAAGTGATATTCAAAGATCTGTTCACAAATATGACAAATGGTACAATAATCAAGCAAAAAGGTGCTTTACAAAAAAAATTTCTTACGTTTGCTTGCATTCCGTTCAGCGAAGGAAGCCATTTCAATGCAATCAATTCAAATCCTCTGAATGCTTCCATCTCTGATTCCTCATCTGTGTGAGCTGAATTTCTTTCTTCATCAGCATATGGAAACTCACCATGTACAAGACCTGACATAATGAAATTTAATTTTTACAGGGTGGTCATAAAGCCCTGTTACAATTTGAAAAATGCTTTGAAGTCAGTTTTCAATATATCTCGACCAGTTTTGCTTCATTTTAATCTGTGTTTATTTGAGGTTTTTTTTCATTTAATACACTAATATATATATGGTATCTATAAATTTTACTTGCAGTTTGAACTTTTTAAGAATTTATGAACACCAAGTACATTAAAATGATAACTATAATTTGTGAACCAATGATTCATCGATAACTGTCATATATTGTTGTTTAGTTATTTACAAGTAATATGGAAAAAAAATACAAAATTACTTCTTAAAACTTCTCCAGCTCCGTCGATTGCTTTTTCACCAAGTAACGATAGAACAGTTACTTGTTCCATCTCTGGATTTGAATAAAATGATCTGGGTGAAGCTCCCGTACTTAGTTCAACTTCTGGCACCTGCCAATGCACATTATGAAGTGTTACTACAAAGCATGAAATAAATATGGAAATATTTCCCAACTTCACTATACAGAGGCTAAAGCTTTATAGATTGAAGTGTTCATGAATTGAGATGTGATCAAATCCATGCATCTGAACAAACAACTGGTCAACTATTCCCATACCTGACATGGACTGGTAACCAGACAAGAGGCTACAACTGGTTAACTATTCCCATACCTGACATGGACTGGTAACCAGACAAGAGGCTACAACTGGTCAACTATTCCCGTACCTGACATGGACTGGTACCCAGACAAGAGGCTACAACTGGTCAACTATTTCCATACCTGACATGGACTGGTACCCAGACAAGAGGCTACAACTGGTCAACTATTTCCATACCTGACATGGACTGGTAACCAGACAATAGGCTACAACTGGTCAACTATTCCCATACCTGACATAGACTGGTACCCAGACAAGAGGCTACAACTGGTCAATTATTTCCATACCTGACATGGACTGGTAACCAGACAAGAGGCTACAACTGGTTAACTATTCCCATACCTGACATGGACTGGTAACCAGACAAGAGGCTACAACTGGTCAACTATTCCCATACCTGACATGGACTGGTAACCAGACAAGAGGCTACAACTGGTTAACTATTCCCATACCTGACATGGACTGGTAACCGGACAAGAGGCTACAACTGGTCAACTATTCCCATACCTGACATGGACTGGTAACCAGACAATAGGCTACAACTGGTCAACTATTCCCATACCTGACATGGACTGGTAACCAGACAAGAGGCTACAACTGGTCAACTATTCCCATACCTGACATGGACAGGTAACCAGACAAGAGGCTGTGGTTCACTATATGACTGGTCTTCAATAAAATAAAAATGGTACACTATACCGGTACAGACTTTCAAATTTGGATGACCAGTTTAATAAAACAAGATCATAAATTGCATGGAAAAAAAGTCAAGAAGACAGATTGATCGTATGACACAGCTTTTCAATGAGTTTTATCAAATGAAGATAAAAGAAAGATAACTAATTCAAGTGTCCTCTACATAAGACATGACTGATAAAGAAATCTGTTATCGCAGATTTTACCAGCCATAACCTCAACTTTGTTGCAAAAGACATGAATAAGCAACAAATAAAAAAAAAACCGAGGCACATGATATTCAAACCTATGTTTGGATAAGTGAATAGCAAAGTGAAGATGAGTGAACATTCATGATCACTGAAGATAACCGATATTCCAATAAAATAATCATCATATTTACTAGAAATATCGTATTATTGTACAAAAAAATCTGATTTATAACATACTTTTGTCATTGATCCAATAGCATGTTCCACTGCATCAGTATATGGCGTTAGATGAAAACATTGATAGGTAATAACTTTAACATGTCCTTCTTCATCTGGTGGACTTAAATTAACCATCAAATCAGTTTGCAAAGCTGAAAAGTTGAAACAAAACTGATAGTGATAATATGTTTGAAATGACCCAAAATGGAGAATTCTTTAATCAGGATCAAACATCACGGACGCAGTAGCCTACTGTAGCTCTGACTATTGGAGTTAGAAAATATTATCTCTGACCAACCAACAATCACGTACCTAAAGAACTTAAAGAAATATAGAACTAATAATAGCATTTATATGCACGGATGTGAGAACTGTAGAAAAATTATTGGACACAAAGTCTACCATGTTTTTAGCTTCGGTTATCAAAAACGAAAACATACAATACAGAACCAAGTAACTTCAAATTTTCAGTAGTTAAAAATTAAAGTGTTTAATCAAATTATGTTTCCTTTACTTTCATTTTTATGTACTCTGTGAGGCATGAATGTTACTCAAATTTCGATTTGATTGGTATTTAGATAGCAACTTGTGGTCCATATGGCTAACATCGTCTAGCTATATAAAATTGATCCAAAGTAGGACAATGGCTATTTCATACCATGAAACAATCCAGATGAGTGTGCTGCTGCATTTTCTCGAGACAATAAAAAAACAGTTGCAGGCCTAATCCACCAAATATCTTCAAAATAATCAACATCTACTGGAGTGTCTGAATCAAGGCGAGGACAGAAGCAGGGAAAATACCTAAGAAAAACAAAAGTGTTACAGTTAAATAAGCATAACAAATCAATAGACCCGACCTGTGAATATATTTTGCATTATTTGTCCACTGTTTATCATAGACATAATCAGTTTTTTTCTTAAGTTGTAAATCAAATCGCAAACCAATGTATGAAAAAATTGACATATGGTTCGGCCGTCGAACCAAAGCTAGTTGTCAAGACACCGAAGATAAACTTAAGATTCAAAATCCCGAAATTCTAGTTTTCAGTGTACTGCTAGGTGGCAAGCTTACAACCTAACATCGCTAATTTGAGAGAACAATTCGACCAACCAAATGGCCAATTCATTATTCTGAAAATAATGTTAAAATCATGAAAAATCTGTAAAATAAACACTTTCATACCTTTGAGAAATTGATAATGCCGCTGCTTTTCTTTCATTTAGTCTAAATCTCCTGATTCCTTGAAGTTGAAAACCTTGCTGTGTGACAACATGAAGGACATCGCTTATAAATTGTGTCGGAAGTCGAGGCGAAACAACAAGAAATATACGAGTGTTGCAACAATTTACAACGAAAGATGATGATTGCAGCAAATCAGAGATAGATGAAGAGGCTGTAAAAAAAATGTTAATGAGAAAATCTACAAATGGAAGTAGAAAAGATAATTTTACATGTGTATGAGTGATTGAATTATAAGTGAATGTTCAATGACAGAGACATGACATCCTTTAAGGCTTTCTCCACCATATCAAGTTCATGTATCTGAAACAAATAACTGGCTAACTAGTCCAATGGACTGGTAACTGGACGAAAGGCCGTGGTTCGCCATATGATTAAGCTGTCTCATCGGCTTTCCTCTTCTCCAAAATAAATACAAAAATCTTATCCTGTCCTAAATCCTGATATTTTGTTGAGGTAAGTTGGCTGTGACCCCAAATTCCGTAAATCATCTCAATAATTGCCACAGAGTACCAATAAAAGCCTACTGATATGCAAGAATATAAATTCTGGGCATTACAACTCACCAGTTACACTTGCTAAAATGTACAGTTAAGAATATTACTAACCATTTGATTCATTTTCATTATTGATAGAAGTTGTTGAATTACTTCTTGACTTGTTTTTCTGATTCTTTCCATTACTTTTCCCATTAACATTAGGTTTATCTGATTTGGTAGTCAGACCGTTTGAAATAGGCACATTCGGTTGCAATAGTTTCTTATAAGGCTGCCTTTCTACATCAACACGTCCACCAAACCAGATGCATAATTGATGCATAGCACGAGTTTCACTTCTCGGATAACAAAACATATTGACATCTACGAAAAAATAATTCAATGTAGTTATATTTATTTGTTATATTAATATGATATGTTAATTTGATAAAGATTGGTAGGTATATTATATAGCTGACATGGGCAAACTATGTCCTACAGGCCAAGTCTGGCCTGCTGGGTAATTCAATCTGGCTCGCCTGATGCTGCCCAACCAATCTAAAACCAATTTTTATGTTCTGGTTAAAAATAGCTCAAGGAATTTGTTAAGATTGCGATAAAATTTAGTTTTGGCAGTAGGCTTATTGTTTTCCACTTTTGCTTTTGTAACACTGTATATTGTTCATAAAATGTAACTTTTTATGTCCCACTTATATGGCTCTTCAGCCTAGGTGGGCAAAATATTTGGTCTCTGATCCAAAACCCTTTGCCAACCCCTGATATATAAGCATTAAAATGGAGAGAGAATTTTATTCTATGCTTTTCAAGTATATTTTAGTATTTGTTGTAATACATGTCACGCTGAATCAGAGAAAATGTAACTTCATTGATATTAAATAAGACAGCGATAACTTAATACAGGGCGGTCCAAGGTTGAGAGGTTGGTGGGCCGCAAAAACTTTGGAAAATGTCTCGAGGGCCGCAGTCGGAGACAACTCAAAAGTGATCAAAACATCGCAAATTTACTCACTGTAAATGTAATTAAACCAGTGTCTGATGTGTTTTCGAGTAATATCTGTCACGAATAAATATCATTTCAAGACATTACAAAACCAAACACTAGAAAAGATACCAAACATACCACGGTATTTCTCGGCAAGCAATTTAATAACTAAAGGCTTTATATAGCCCCCTAAAAAAATTGATTAGAGCGTTAAAATATCATTCTTAAAGTTGTTGTGGGTAAGAAAATACGTTTCCTCCCAGTTTACCTCGGTCACGTATTTTAAAACACTCCTTGTATGATGAATTGTTATATTTGGCTAATTTTATTTTATTCCTTGTAGTGTGAGCAGACCAGGTTCTATTGTCGAAGAAAAACCAAATCTGTTTAAGTTGGGACTCCGGACTCAGCTAAAAAAACGGATCACTTAGCGCCAAGTCGGCGCCGCGGTTCGTCACTGCTTTCAAAATAGCCAATGATTGAAAATAGAGAAGTATTTATACTAAGATAAAGACACAAACGTCTCTTCAAATGAGGAGTTACTTGACGTTGAGCTTAAGGTTTGAAGTTTAGATAAAAAGCGCGACTCATCTCAACGGCTTGGTCCTGTCATTTTCCTGGTACCGATCACAGGACGTTATTCCCATATAGGCACCGTCTGGATGTTTATAGATACAATATTGAAATTCCATGATTTTAACAAACATTTATTCCGACATCGGGATTATGAAAAGGACTATTTTCAGTTGAAATAGTTTAAAAATAACCCAAACATTTTCTGCCAATAAAAATCTACAAATATCTGCCAATGGTTTAGTGTACGCTAAAATTATTATTCTGAATGCAGGCAGATAAAAGACAATTTTTAGGGAAGAAATAATATTTTGTGACACACTCAAATTCTGTAACTACCGAACTAATCATACAAGATCAAGTCAGGTTAACCTGTTGGTAATGATTCATCTCCTCTTTTGATAGAAAGTTGTTCGCCATAAGTTGCATTGAGTGACATCCTTTCAGACATTCTAGCTAATACTGGATCTCTTGGACCAACTATTTTCGACCACCTTGCAATGACAGATCTTCCATGAATCGCTATGACAACACAAGGCACAACTTCCTTTGGATTCGACTTCATAGAATTGCTGTGATACACTGATAAACAAAATGAAATTTTACTAGAAAATCAACCTTAATATTGTGCTATTAAAATACATAAGACAACTAATAAAATAAATGAAGAAATGATAATTTCAGTTTTAAAAACCTAAATAAATATTATCATAAAAGTAGGGTAAGCTGAGTAAAAACAATTTTATTTTGGTATTGAGGGGCCTTGAAAAAATATATAATGGTTTAGTATAGACAGATTGACAAATACAATCTCTAGCACGTCATCCGGCGTATTTTATTTTAAAGAATAGTATTGTAGAACTTAAATAAGAAATATGAAAACCTAGAATTCACAAAAATTCAGTCATTAGCTCTCTGGAAAAAGCTCGATACAAGCAACCAACAATATCCATAACTATTTCTGGTTTATTCAATAACTTTTAGAAAAAGCTACTATCAGGCAAAAGAAAATATAAACCTACATGTGTTGTCATTAATAAACTCCCTTGTGACATATGCCAACTTTAATCCAGTTAAATCAAAGCAAGAAGTCTGAACACGAATCATCACGTCCATAACTGCAGTTGGAAACATGAAAGCTTCTTTTTGAAGAAGGCACATTGTTGTCTGTGAGAGTAAAATTAAACAATCAATACAATATTTTATTTCAAAAACTCTGAATAACACAATACAAGGAGTACAAATAACGCACAAATAATTGATCTTTCTTGAAAATAGCTGAAACTGAATTAGTGGTATGTAATTTATCGCGTTCTTCTTACTTTATAATTTCTCTGTGTTTTCGTATGTGTGTGTGTGTGAGTGCGTGTGAGCGTATGTGAAATAATTCAATTATTTTAGGTGAGTGAACATGTACCACTTCTTCTTGGCGAAACCTTCCATCCTATATATATTCTGTACGTTTTAAACCTTGTCTAAGGTTTTGTTTGCTCTCCTGATTTCATAGTCAGTTTTTCATTATTTGTTTTTATCAATCCTTTTATTGCCTGTTATGTTGATTTTAGAGTCGCAATGAACTTATACTTATGATGGTTGTCTGTAGCTGTGTATATCAACAACACAGAGTAAAAAAGTGTTAGAAATTGAAAATTTCATAATTCCCAAGCATTTGTAAGAATCATTTCTGGTTTCTCATACCCGAACTAGACTAATAACTGGATGAAAAGCCGTGCTCAATGAGGAATTGATCAGTTTTTGGCTTCGTTTCTTCTAACATAAACGAATCAACCCCAATACATGTAATAATTCTATGCTGCAATGATGCTTAGAAACTACCGAACAAAACATAAAATAACCTGTAATTTTCCAAGAGTAATTGAAGGAGGATTACAAGGAACTTGATCTTCAGGAGTCATCACTTTACAAAACATTCCCGGTTTATTTTTCAAAGCTTTCTTGATTAACTAAAAACAAATAAAGAACACGGTCAATCAAACTATTTCATCCAACTTGGACTTCTTACATAGCATAGTACTCCATATTCTCTATTATAAGTTCTACCTGCTACTGAGGTTTTCAAACAGTGGGGCACGGCCACAAAAGGGGGGGGGGGGGTCGTAGACAACTTATCTTATCCGCCTTATTTTGGATAATTACATTCCATTCACATATTTTTAATGTGTTTTTTGAATAAAACGTACTTTCGGTTTACTACCTAATATTTGTAGCTTATTGTTAGCTTGTTATTCTTGAAGTGGGACGCAAGAATTACCAAATTCTAAAAAGGGGGCCGTAAATGTTCGGGAACCACTAATCTAGAAATTTAGTTCAAATAAAAATCAAAATAAATTAAGGCAAGTTTTCAGATAATAATCAAGTTAAAATTTCAGAATAACAAATTAGTCATTCAAAGTCAATTTTTTTAATGTGCAGAATAAAAACTTGATTCAAAACAGTGTTATAATTAAAAAAGAAAGAATTAGAAGCGCCATTTCCCAAGCCAAAATTTGTATGTTTCCAATATAAAACTTACCACTGGATCATTTGATGCTGATACATACGTTGACAGTGGTTTGGTTGCACAGGTTATTATAATTTCCGACAATGAATAATGTATAGGTGATTCAGGTTTATCATGCCATGGACAAACATCTTGGATTCGATTTGATTGTAGAAAATGCCAAACAACTTGCAAGAAAGCATCCTCTTTCTGAAAACAATATATTTCAGAAGATCAAAGTTGTGAATAATGACTACAATTCAATATCTTAAATTTTTATGAAATTACTTTCCATCATAGTCATTGTTGAATTATTTTACTAATCAAAATTTGGTACATCAGCTTATAAGAGTCTTGAAAATACAGGGGTAAAATAAAACTAGAAAGAGAAAATCAAAAAGACCCATATTGGTTGGTTATTGGTTACATCTACTATGAATGATTAAAAATGAAAAGATGCAGCCTTACATTCACTAGCTACATACATTTTGCTTTGTCTATATTCAAAAAAAATTTATCAATATGACTGGCTGTCCAAACTGTAAGTCTTTACTTTTAACTAAAGGTATTTTACTGATATTCAATGGGCTGTATTCTTCTTAACTTACAAACCTTAATCTTCCAAGAAAAGTTCTCAGCAATTTATTCAGTTAACTATGAGCGTCTGTCTCTCTCTTCGAGATGAGTCTCATTTACTGAGTGAGGGTGCGTGCCTTGTTTTTTTAAATAAAGCATGCAAGCATTCGGATGGCTGTAAGCTTCAATCCCTGCCTCCTTTAGAGATGAGCATCTTCTACCTTAGAGTGAGAGCACATGGCCTTGCTTTGACCAAAATATATCTCTTCTACTATAATTACCTTTGCCTTTTTCCTTCCTCTCTTTGACTCTGGTTTGTAATAAAAATTGGGAATGACAATTGCTTGTAATGACAAAGACTGAGTATCTTCCTGCCACGACTGGTGAAGAGCAACAACATTGAAAGGAACATCAACACTGATTGGTATAGTAGGTGCATCTTTACCTGAATAAACAAAAGAAAATAATCAAGTATTATAATCAGAATATGAAAAGATTTCAACTGAAACCAAAGACATGGATTTGCGATTAGAAATTTCGAGTCCAATGTTACATGTATGTAGCTATCTAAAACTCCACTATGTCGCTGCAGTAAAACCAAAGTAGATCATGTCAATTTTTTTCGAAAATGTACTTATTTTTGATTATCTGTTATGACTGACTATGACCATGAAACCACGGCCTTTCGTCCGGTTACCAGTCCATGTCGGGTATGGGATAAGTTAGACAGTTACTAGTTTTCGAAAGCCTAGATTTGATGGTGAAGGAAGCCGTAACCGACCAGATTTACGCGAATCACCCTACGGAGGAAAGGAGTCCATCAATCCTGTCGCACATAACTATCCCCGCATGAGATTCAAACTTGCGAACCCGCGCAGGGTAATCAGAGGTGCGGTGGCGAGCGTATTCCTAACGCTTAACAAGATGCGCCACACTGCCCAGCCTGTACCTCTTTAGTTTTGATTTGAGGTAGTGCCTTTTGTTCATTTTTAGGTTTGGCTATACATGTCTGAAGATTACAAGAATGTAATTTTCTCCAAACCTTAAAAGGTGACATAAGCTAATTTTGTTTTACTGTGACAACGTGTGCTAACTTATGAAGCATCAAAACCTCACATATTCAAGAAACAATTAATTAAATTCCTATTAATTTGAGCTTTCATTATCAATAAACAGCATTGCGAAAGCAATCTTCCAGTTTATTAGAAAATCATGAAGTCAAATATTTACACTGGATTTCCCTATATTTGCATCATTAATCCTTTAATTCTCCAATTAATAATGCTTTGAAATTTATCCATCACAATACAAAATTGCCCTAGTAGAAATAGTCTGATTAATTTAATAAATATTCATACCATTGCTAATTTCAGGCACAAGTTCAGGATCAATATCAATAGTAAATGTATCGTCCATTCTTGCCTGATGAAGTTTTGTCAAATCTTCTGGAACCTGAGAATTATGATGTAATAAATAAGGATAATAACTTTCAAGACAAATAAATTTTTATGCCAAAAGTTTTCTCCAAGAACTTCAGTTACTTCATAGCCGTTTTCTTGATCGTATTACCTTGAACTGCTTTAGGTCTTGTGCTAATTTGCGTTTGCTGGCACATAATGCATTCCAATAAATCTATATACCAGTTATTTCACTGTGTTCAAGATTTCAATTTCAAACAAATTTATTCACCGCTATATTAAAACTACATGATTACTCATTTCTTATCATTGTTGTAAACTGCTTATCTGAGGAAGTCTGACTTTGGTCAGACGAAACGTTACAGAAATACATTTGTGTTAGTGTGCAGCAGGACTATTGATTTAGATAGAATAGTCATGTTTATTCCTGCTACAGTATCCTTGCAGTATATGCATACGGATCCACTAGCATAAAGGCATAGAGGAAGAATAGGGAGTTAGTCTTGTGTGACCAAACTCAAAATTTCATTGCATGTTGGCATTTTAGTAGTCACCCTTAAGTTTGCCCAAAGGCGATTTTCTTTACTTTCGAGTGAGCACGATTTAAAAAAAGAGAAAAAATCACTTAGGCTACCGCATTATAGGCAGGAATCAGTAACTCAGGATAGTATTAAACAATTTTTGTCTGTATGTGCTATTATTGTAAATATAGTACATTTTCCACCAACCCTGGACTAACCACATGATAGCATGAAAACCACTTTTTCTAACAATTCTACTGCAAATAGAAGTGAAAAATTCAATACAGAAATGATTGAAATAGATCTTACCAAAGCCAGAAACCACGATATAAGCATAGGATAAGTAATGGAGAAACCGATATTAGGATCAACTGATGTTGCTTTGTGTCCACCTGATGTTCTGTGAGTCACAATACATCCAGTTGATGACATGTTGACAGTTAACAAAACCATCTGAGACTTCTCTGTGTTCAATTCAGGAGGAATATTGGGAACCTCAGTCTCATATGATGCATCCTGTAATGAGATACAAACTTTTAGTAGAATAAAAAAATAATATTACAGGCTCAGTTGCTTACTCTATATATCGTTGAACGCTAAGGATATGCGTGTGAGCTGTAATGCTGTGTTTCACAAAAAGATTGTGAAAACATCTATGTAATCAAATAATTGAACAACAAGAGTGTGGAGCCAAGGAAAATTATCACCGACTCACAACTTTCATTAAAAAAAATTGACTCCGACTCTGGGTTGTACAAAATTTCAGCTCCGAGAAAATCAAACTTTCATAACAAAACTTTTGTGCATACGAGCCTTCTTTAATAGAATGTTAAAAATGCTTAGTAAATTTAATGATTCTTGAGATTCTTGAGGAAAAATTTTGACTTCCCTTATTACCATTGAAATGACATGGTAAATGTACACTGTTCGTTTAAGGCAGACAAGAAAATTAATATTCCATGTAAATTCTATACAGTGATGTAAATTTTCCTAAAAACACAACAAAGTTTGGAAGAAAAAACATTCGTCCCAAGGGAATTCAGTGAAAATTTCAAAAAAATAGTAACACTCTGGGATAAATTTCAGTCTTAGACCTAACTTTAATCCTAAAAAGCATTTGGTCAAGAAAAATGGCGATTTTCATCCTGACAAAAAAATATACCAAAATGATTGATGGGTTTGTTAACCCAATGTCTCATAAGCATTATATACTAATAATACAAACATGGAATTAAATTTTGCCTTGGATTATTACAATACCAAATCTGACAATGGGATTTTTTTCACAAAATGTTGAAAATATACTGATTAACTCACCATATCATATAATACTCTAGTTCCATTTCCCAACTTTTGTTCTTCTTTTTCCAGAAGAACTTTTAATTTTAATTTGGTTTCTCTCAATACTTGTCTATCATCAAGATATGAAGATGATGACAATCCAATTGATTTTGCTAGTTCGTATTGCTAAAATATAGATGATGTAGCGTATAAAATAAAACTTAAATTTAAGGAAAACTTGGACTATATTATACCTGTTGCTATTGGCTGTAAGAAAATCACAAAAATATTTGCTGAATACTTTTATATTTTAATTGAAAACAAATAAATAATTAAAATAAAAAAATAACTAAGACTGTAAATCGTAATTCAAAATTCAAACCTAAAAAAGTTTCATAATCTTTCAAAGTTCAAATAATCAAAATATCTTAAATCCTGAAAGAACATGAGCTGAATAATACTGAATGCTGAAAGCTCTATATCAAGACCACAAATAAGTAATGTCATCATATATACGAATAGTCACATCTGAATAGCTTGGTATTTGTTGGTCATCACTAATCATATAAAAAATATACTTGAAAGTTAGATAAGATTGTTACCTTTTTGGCGAGGACTGATTGAGCTTCAATGTGTTTATCAGTTACAGTTTTGTCTATTAATTTCACATCACCTGGAAACAAGAAAAAATATATTAATATTGGATATGCAATATGAAAACAAAGAAAGTAGTAAGAAAAATCAAACCTCGTCTTTGTAACATATCTTCAACAACTTTATGAAATGCCAGATCAGAATTCCTGTAAATATGATAAAAATCTGATAAATTTATAGCATAAAAGAATATTTCATTTTTTACACCTTTACTTCAAAACATTCTACAGAACAAGTAAAAACTAATTAATGTATTCGAATACACTAAAGTGTTTCAGGTTCGATATATAATGTACCCAATTTTATATTACAGAGGGAGTGATGATTGACATTGGTTTTTAACCAGAAATCTTCAATTTGTGACACAAACATAGTCGAATCCAAAGCAATAATCAATAGGCCATTGTGCCCACCCACAGTCCTTTAGAAATAACATAGAATAAAAATGACATGATATAAAGAAAACTTCGATATCTTATCAATAAAAGTAAAATATTAACCTCAAACTAAAACTAAAAACCAACAAACTACAACACTTTTGGATATTGCAGAAGACTAAAATAACTTGAATGGCAGTCTGTTATATCAGGAGCAGTAATATTCATAATAAATATTTAAAATCAAATTCAATAAGGAAAATATCTGATTCTAGGAAATTAGAATTGTCCTTTTGGAGATACTGACACATTTAATCTAAAAATGAAATCCATACAAAATGACTGTCAGAACAAAATATAAGCTACCTTAACTTTTCTATATCATAAATTCAATCTCTGTAAATATACACATTTCCTATTAAACATGACTCAATTCAGAATATAAATTCAATTCCCATATTTGAAAAGAATATTTCAAAATATGCACAAGGTAGTAAGTAGAAAATTCGGTTTTGGTCATCCCCGATCACCAGACATGAAGAACATTGAAGCAGATTACTTGGTTACTATACAGACCTTGTCAATGGAAATGAATCTTCTGTTTGAACACTGCTTGTGATCGAATCTGTAGTTTTCTTAACTACGTTTGAAGAATTGTCTTCATTCGATGGTTTCCATGCTGTTGAATTTAAATTCTTGGCACGATATATGTTTGTTGTATCATTGTCGTCTGTAGAAAAAGAACAATCATCATACAGAAACTATTGACGACAGGGGTGTAGCCAAAATTGCTAGGAGTGAATTTCAAATTACTGCAGTTCTTGGAAAAAAGTTTTCTGTCCATCCAAAACCGTAGTAGACCATTTCCAAAGCGAAATGAATTACATAACAATGCGGTGGACTCAGGCACAAGGATTGAATAAACGTTAATTTGATTTAAATTTTTTATTTAGGGCAACTATATAAATACCATTATACCACTCGCAACATTTAATGAGAACTTTGCCAGTTGTCACTGAACTTCTACTCAGGTAAATTTATATTTGAAAAAACTATAGCAATTATTACTGTTGTTGTGTCATAGTACAGTTGTGAAGAAGTTGAAAACACAGACGGTTAGCCCATGAAAGGCTGAACCATAGAGACAATTCTTATATAATGCGAGTTGTGATAAATTGTACGAGAACTGAGGCAGTCAATTCTCATAAAGTAGATTGAAAATAACATTATCAATCCAATTAACTTTAAGGATTGGGTTTTGGGCTTACTATTCGCCATTTATAAATTATTTTATTGATCCAATTATTTTCCAGTTAACTTCTTAATTAAAAACAGACTTTTCATCGATCTAATTTTAGATTGGGAGAACTTTGTCAATAGTAATTTTTTAGCCTTTTAAACTTTTAAAAATGTTTGTACCAATCTTTGCCTATAAAACGCTTAATAACTACGTAAGTATTTTAAATTTTAGTAGAAAACTTTGACATCTTCTATCCCCATTGAGAGTCTGAAATTCTGGCTACAATGAAATCAGAATTTTGACTACGAAATGGTCAATGGTAGTCAGAGTGTATCTGATGTTTTCAGATTCCAAATTAATAAACTCTTAAGCTTTAAGTACCTGTCTTAATATCTAAATGCTTGAATTTCATTTTGCCCAAGCAATCGATGTGGAAAGCAAATTAAAAACAAAACATTCTGTAAACATGAAACAACCAGAGGACAACAAAACTAGCAGAACTGAATGAAAATACAATCGCTTCACGATGTTACAGTTACTGTTAGGCGAATGAAAATGATCAATATAGCCAATATGTCTGTGGATGAGGTCTCATTTGAGTCTGCAGGCCTTGGGGTTGGGGAACACTGATTTAGATAAAACACTGACAGTAAATAAATGAAAACTCACAGCATGAACAAATGATGTGAAACATCATGTTTAAAAGATTGGATGATAGATTCTAATTTAGTTAGAATAGATATAAAACTGCAATGAAATGTTTAGAGTAAGAATACAGAGTGAAAATCAATGCAAAGATAATGTGATGCGAAGGAGATTGTCTCACAAACGATATTAATAACCTATCAAAACCATACCTCCAAGTTCCAATGTAATTTTATATAAAAAAAAATTCTTTCATTTTTATTGATTCAAGTTTATGATCTATCTACTGAATCCAAAAATACAACCCACCTTTTTTAGGTTCCTCAGCAAAACTAACTGTTACTTTCCCTTTGTTTTTATTGTTAGTTTTGTCTGCTTTGTTGCGCAATGTAGATGTTGTTGTCACATTTCCTTTTTCTTGTTTTTCTTTTTTTAATCTTTGCCTAGCATAGATTCCTGCATTGTTTTCATCAACGTCAAAAGACTCTGATACCTCATCCAGATCAAGGCAAGTAACATCATCGTTCAAAATTCTTCTGTCACCATCATAAATGCTATTATCAATGTGTTCGATTCCTGGAATATTTTCGCCAAATGCTGTGTTCCTTGCTGGTTCACTACTATCATTAGCACCTGGATTGGATTGTAAATCTCTATCATATTTAGTAGACCTCTTGTTACTGGTTGAACTTGTGAATGATAATGAAGAATTTCCTTTATGGTGAGTGATAGTTTCAGTGTCCATTTTTTTCGCTTTGTTTTTCGGTGATACAGCGGCGGACAAAGATGATCTTTCTTTGATCCTAAATTGAAAAGTTGTTTTTGTTTAGTGAGACTGCTTTGGGAACCCATACCATACATTATAATGACAAATTGATATCTGACAGTTTTGGAAAGTTTTAAAATTTTATATATCATTTATATGAGCCACTTCAGTATAGACAAAGCTTTAAGCAGACATAAGTACGAAGTTATCGAATTTGAAATGACTTTTATTCAGTGGATGCGATAGCCTAGTGCAGGGGTGGGCAATTACTTTTCTGAGTGGGCCAGTTACAGATAATAGACACAGTTAAAAACTATGAATAACCAACTAGTCCAACAACTAGCTAATGTTTATATTTGAAGCACAATGTAACAATCGGGGTTATGTCTTCAATTATGACGTTATGTCATCAATATACATCCATAAAAACTATACTCATAATTTCAGCAGGCACGAGTGGGCCAGATCCGGCCCGCGGGCCGTAATTTGACCACCCCTGGCCTAGTGGTTAAAGAACTGAGCCTTACTATGTACGGGTCGCAAGTTCAAGCCCCCATACTCATCACCTCACCATGAGTGTAATCAATTGGGTTGACAATGCACAACCAGTCTTTAAAAAAAAATAGCAGATAATTATGTATTAGTGGTTACTAGTATAGAGCCTTGTTCAGAGCTGTATGCAAAAACTCATAAAAATATTTTCCAGTTTGAGAGATTAACTACATCCTGGTAAAGTTATCATATGTACCTTTAGCTTATAAAACATACAGAGGACAATAATATACTTGTTACCTATTAGGTCAGAGCATACTGTAATTTGAATGTCCACAGAAGAGCCATCTCCCACTATGTTGACATTTAAAATAATATAATACAAACCTATTTCTTTCAGCTTGCCAAGCTTTAAAATCATCATCATCATTTTCTGAATCGGAATCTTCTGATTCCTCTCTGTAAAAAAAATTTGCTTGATTAAAAAACAGGTCTAAATATATGTTGAAAGAAATAATAGATTTGGGAAGACTAAATCTGATACAGCATATCAAACATGTTCATCATAAACATCAGTTACTACTGATCCTTCATTTAAGCCTTTAAACGATTTAGACGTTTGATTCTCAAATGGTGAGGCGCACCCCACATGAGGGGAGCGTAGACAATTTTTTGAGAGGGCATGAAGCTAATTAAAAATAAAAATATTTGTTAGATTTGATCTTGCCTGCCTTATTTTAGATATTTAGGCTACCTTTCAATTATTATTAAAACACATATTTTTGCACAACTAATGAATATTTTAAACTGTACAAAAGCCAGAGAGCTAATTGATGATTCATCAAAGAATAAAAAAAATATTGTTATGCTTATTGAAGGAGGAATGAAAAGTTTAAAAATAAATAAACGAAGAAGGTTGGCAACTACCGATTTGAAGCAATCTTAATTACCTGTATAATAGTATAAGAAAAAATTATTTCCACTTTCCAGTCTAACTTCATTACAGTTAACTGGTTAAAAATAATAAAATAAAAAATTCTTTATTCCAGTAATCACACCTTGTCATTGTTCTTATTCTGGACAAACTTTGAACCCGTTTCATAACTTGATCTTGATCAATATTATTTGATGCAGAAACTCCGATACTTTTAGTTTGAGTTCGAACTCTTCGCCTCATAACTCGATTTACAGGTTTCTCCTATTAATTATTAATTGTGCAAACAGTCAAAGGAGATTTCAATAACAACACGCAATTTAGACAGAATCAAGTCAAGTTTCTGTAAAGTTACAGCATTAATGTATAAACCGAAAATATAAATTTACAGTTGATTAAAAGATAAATAGGAAATTGAATTGATAATTGAATCAGTGGGTAAAAGCTTTCAATATGTCACTCCCGTAAACGTAAATTATGTCACATTTTTCAAAAAATTGAGTTTTTTTTATCTTCTGCCATTATGGAACAGGGCCATCTTCTGGTCTTGTTTTCAAAGCTTCATCTGTTTTAGTTTTGATTTTAGATAGTGCCTTATGCTCGCTTTCAGGTTTAGCTATAGAGATTTGAAAATTACAAAAATGCGATTTTCACAAAACCTTAAAATCTGACATAAGCTAATTTGATTCTACCACAGCGACACGATGTATTTAAGATTACGTTAAATATGCTCTTGAATTATTTTATAAAGCACTATAGCAATTTCAAATTTGCAAACATTTATTGTAAATAATGTATAATTCAGTTCCATACCACATTCTGAGTTTCCTGTGATTCCTCTTGTTTTTCATTATTAGTATCCGAGTCAGCTTTAGGCCGAAGATCAAGATATATTGTTGTAGGTTCGGACAATGATAATTCTAATAAAAGAAAAAAAAATTAAAAAAACAATCTATGAAAGGCATTGAAAGTTTGTGATTTTCCTGATTGTTTAATGAAAACAGTGCAATATGAAACTAATTAACCGAGCGTGCTGCTGTTCTGCTGGTATAGGATATCAAATGCAATGCTTTTTAGCTAGAGTTTAGCTTTAGATTAGCGTAGCGTTTCTCAACTGTGTTTCGTGGAGCACGCCACGCCAATCACGGCAACAAGCAGACAGGCCTTGTGCCAGTTTGAAACGCATGGCATTCTCATTAACTGCCGGCCGGCCTGGTTTTAAAAGCAAACATTTCAATTTTTTCACAAGCAAAATGAAAACCACTCCTAATTTTCGTTCCGCAAGGCGAGATAGGAAGTGTATGTGTTCTGGGAAACAAAAGTTTGAAAAACGATGGATTAACGAATAACCCTACATAGAATACAATCGAGTAATGAACAAATACATGGACCGGGAGTACTGGTTTCTCAAAACTTTAGTCCCAGAATAGTAGCTACTTAAATATCAGTGGCATATCTCCTCAGTATCATATGGCCTTGTTCGAAGCGAAAGGCATGATTATGTGTTGTATAAAAAACCTACCCGTATTAAAGAGGTATTGCATTGTCTAACCGAAATATTAAGTTGCTGAAAAGCATGACTTGTTTGTTTAAATTAATAATGTAGTGTACAATAATAAAAATTGATCAAAATAAAATTAATGAAAGTTAAAAAGCATTGATCTAACTCAGACATGGCTACTAACCAGCTGTAGACGAGAAGCTTCCTGAAGATGATGAAATTGGATTGGATGATAAATCCTCTATTTTCTTTTCTTTGTTATCTTCTATAAGGAAAAATAAGAGACAGTGATAATGGAAAGTTTTGGGACAACAAATAAGCATAGCAAATTGTTGGAAAATTTCATTATGAGAGCACACCTAGTCTAGCAATATTCCATAGTAAAGACAGAGACTGAAAAAAAAATTCTGCCAATCTAGTTATGATAAAATTAACATAAGAATGGATTCAATTAGCAAAATCATGGGATTCGAAAAATCTCTTTTAATAACATTGTTTCTTGGGTGATGAATTATGGAACAATGATATGCTTGTGACATGCACGTCAGTAAATCCTAAAATTATCGGTTTTAAAGAGTCCTGTGCAGTCGTGCAGACACTTGACAATGGATATAAGCAGTAGTGGGATTCAGCCGATTCGCACCGGTTCTATAGAACTATCTCACAGAATTTTACGAGATCAGCGAACCGGTTGGCATTACTGAAAAAAACAACAGAACCGGCTGAAAAAATATGACATTTGTGTGTTGGAACCGGCTGACAAAAAATTTGAATCCCACCACTGGATATAAGCAAGCATGTTTTGCTTGAGGTAATTCAGACACAGGGGTGTAGTCAGCAATTTTCAACAGAGGAGTTCTGAAATTTATAATTGCCAGGTTAGACCATAACAGCTAGCGGTTCCGGGAGTTTTCAAGACTCTTCAGGTTCTAAAAAGCATTTCAGGTCAGGCTATGAGAATTTGCTATGTATGACACAGAAAAATACTTTTTTTATCACATTGCAAAGGGGGAAGGGGTTTCCGACCAACAACATAAAGTGACAGATGACTGAAACCAATTAATCTTCTATCCCGAATACATTCTAAATTGATATTTTGGAATATGTAATACCAAACTTGGGTTTTGTATAACTGAGCTGAGAATATATTCAATGATTTTTTTTTTCGAAGTGCAGGACAGTTACATTTTAGCATTTATTTGTTTGATTTTTTTTTTCAAATCCTCGAAATGAAATACTCTAATCATATTGGACATCCCTGCATAAAGCTCACAACCTAAATTGTTTATGATTAACATTAATACTATGTAAAAGATCTTACCAATATCAGCCTTTTCCAAAACTTCTTCTTCTATGTTATTCTCCTGTCCACCAGGTTCATTTTGAAATTGGCGAGATGCTAAAAAATGTTGCTTAGAATCACCAGCCTCTGAATTCGACACTGTGCCATCTTCTTTTCCTTTTTGAGTTTTACTCAAATCAACAAGCTGATTCATTAAATCGTATTGGCTTGTTTGATCTATAGAAAAAATTTTAAATATCAATTTATGCAAGATAAGTCATTCGCACCATACATGTACATGACAGAGTTAGGTATATTTTATTATGTATCATGTATCATCAAATTTCCAAATGTTTTGCAGATGAATTTTTGGTTGTATTCTTATTTTTATATGTTGCTTATACACACCATTCGCTCCAAACGAGGCTCTATACAAGATCCCACTGATACCTAATGATATGTAAGAAGTTACTATTATATAAGCATTTCCAGTTGAGTATTGGCTACCAATTTATTACATTATGTATGTAAGGGGATGGGATGGGTGGCATATGATTTTAACCCAAGATATGTAATCTGAGATGCCAAAACAGTTAATTTAGTCTAATGCTTGAAACGCTTGGCTATCATTAATGATAAATTAATTTTTCCGAATTTTGATATTTATGACTAGGATGACTGACTATCGACTAGCCTGCCTACAATATATACACATTAATATACATGATGGTTAGTTAGTTTCTAGATACAAAGTATGAGCGGTATATTTAAATTTAATCACAAATTTAAAATAGTTTTATAATGCCTAGGGTAAAGCAGGGTTATGTGTTTTGAAATTCATCAGCTATGATAATATGTTAATAACTTAAGATTCATTTAAGTACAAATATAAAAAGGCACAGTGTTAAAGATTATTATTAAGAAAGTATAAATAAGAAATTGTTGATACCTTTGTCCAAATTGAGAGAAGTGAGGGAGACATCAATGTTATCTTCACCATATGAATCATCAAGTAAATCATCAAGATCGAAACCTTCTAATCCCTGGAAAAAAATAATTCACAATGTTTAAAAACACCCAACAGGTGATTACTGGACAGTGTCCAGTGGACACAAAGCAAAATTCATTAAAATTAAAAGGGCCAAACTGTTTTCAAATTTTAGTACTTGAAGATGGTTGATGTCACTAGAAGGATACCACTTTTAATTTTTTTCCTTCTCCTGCGATTCCTATGCAGCCAACTAGTTAGCTAATCCTTTACAATACTGACACAGCCCTAAACGTCTAGAAAGTTACATTTGTGTCCATATTATATTATATTTAGCATTGCTCTCTGATTTTATAATAAACCTGAAAAAAAATTTAGGGACTCTGGTCCAATACTGATTTTAAATGTAGGACAAAATAGATCAAACATGATAACAAACCAATAATTTATTCAAAATTAAAAATTGAATATCTCATTATTATGGTATAAAACTGAACGATCATGAAAAATGTAAATGTGATACATATATACAGCTAAATACCTAAAAAGTCAATTCATTTTATAATGAATTTAAATGTGTGATAGATTAAGTTTCTACCCTTCAAATTAAATTCACTTCACAATGAAATATATACTTCAAGAAGAGCTATTGAATAAAGATATTTGCACAGTACTCAATACAAACACCTAACTAAAGAAAACACTTGATCAAGACCAAATATCATAAATTTAAATCCAAACAAAAGTTGGCATAAATCTGTGTCAAACTTTTCATCCCATTTGCAATAAGTCTAATACTTGAATAACAAATACAACAAGGGTGGATGGGAAAAATGAATTGTGGGATGAATGACAAGGCATCAAATCACCCCACCAAGAGAGTTATAATTTGGATGAGCTGTGCCTAACCAGAATGATTATATCATATCCTAGGATGGGTGTAGGTTAGTTATATGGTCCCAATTGCCATTTGAATGGACTCCAATGGACATATTGGGCTGCCATTTGACAACAGGTTTGATGTACCTTTAAATTAGAGATGTGCAACAGGCGGCCTGCGAGCCACAACCCAGTGCGCCAAGCCATTTAGTGTGGCCCTTGTCAACACTCTAGATTTTTCCCATCAAGTATAAATTTTTAACTATTCTCAAATCTGATGTAAAAAACTATACAAGAACTCGAAATTTCAAGCGTCTCACTAATGTTAAATAAATAAAATTTTGCTTTGTGAGAATCTTTTAATTTGTTGTCTACATTGAAAAACTAAAATTTTTGTGTGGCCCAGCTTAATGTCTGAAGTTGGTTATATGGCCCATCAACAAAATATGTTGCACACCCCTGCTCTAAATTGATACAGATCTCACGAGTAGCAATTGTTTAAACCAGAGGTGTGCAACCTGTGGCCCGGGGGCCAAATGCGGCCCACAAAGTTAAATGGTTTGGCCCGCAGAGAAGAGCCAATCTTGAATGGTGTGCGCCCACGAAAAGAGTTTGCAAAGCCTACACCTGCGTCCAATTTATTATCTGTGCCTATGACGTTGCAAAGCTCTAATAGCTAGCTTGTGCGAAGCGAACAACACATGTCATAAGATCAATAACCAAAGTTTTTGTGCTACTACTAGAAAGTCTATGTCAAATAAAGGTGCGGTCCAGGTTTCACCCAATTATTTGTATCTGTCCCTCTTGTATTATTAAAGGTTGCACACCCCTGAGTAAACGATCACAATTTACCTTCAATGATAACACTGGAGCTTTTCCTTCGCTATCATTTGATTCAAGATCATCATCATTAGATTCATCTCTACTTAAAATACCAGATGATGCTTCACTGTCCATAATAGGCTGGTATTGTCCTGCAATCAAATTGATTGGAAAAATTTTCAATTTTAAAATAGAGCCTGATAGACTCAAATACCAAGTATGGCCAAGAGATGAGATATGAAAACAGTTGAACTAACTGAAAATATATCAACACAATATTGTGCAAACCAAAATGAATAAATTTACTACATTTTAGTTTCTTTCAATATTGGCTTATGTGGTAGGAAAAAGCTGTGGTAATTTATATAATTTGTATTGCATATTTTGGTAATCTTAACTTTATCTGTTTACTGGAAACAGTAAGTTATCTGCTGAGTCATACTTGGCATGCTGTTATTTGAGTCATGTTTTGTTGGTGCTTTATCATTTGTTTCATTATGTACTGCTTTAAGGCACTGCTAACCTTTAATTAAGTGAAATAAAGCCTATTATTTATGATACTCATGGATTTGATTGTAATGTAATAAACTAAACTTAGGTTCCGACAAAAGCTACTATCACAAAACCGCTCAATGGTAATTCCATTCAAGAGTCATTCTGAGAGTCTACCTCTTCTCATATCCATAGGGGGAGGTGAATGATCATCATCATTTTCTGTATAAAATGTCAGCTTATCATTTTCATATAGAGGTAAGTCGAGATCCATGTCAGTCAAATGTAAATCTGTAAGAGATAAAAGGTTAGGATTCTAACAAATATCCTATGACACTCTCGTTAAAAAAAAAGACAAACTATGAAACAGCAATGTAATAAATGACCAAACCTCAAATCAATAGGAAATCGTATATCTACTTTAATTCAGTATATGCTTATAACAAGAATATACGACAGTTCAGATGATAGGTTGCAAACCACTATTTGACCATCATGGTTTAATTCAGAACACATTTTTAGCAATATTTTGGTTAGAAGACACTACGGTCAAATTTCAACAGGAATATCCGAAATGAATTGAATATTCAATTTATTTAAAGCTGTTCCTATTTAAAGTTGATTTTAATACGAATAATTTAGAATGTTTTCATTTATTCATTTTTCTTTTGAGCATTTAATGTCTGACAGTCATGATGCATTTACTTATGACACTGACACCCTCAAATATTCTGCATTAAATCATAAACAAAAAGTAAATGATGTAAAGTTTTTATGCCATGATACTTCGCATTGGTATATATATAAACATCTGTTCAATATAAAATAAACAATAAAATTTACCATAAAATAAAATCAATATTTTTATTATATGTTTCTTACTGTAAAAACAAGCAACTCAAGAATGTTATCATGCAGCCAAACTTTGGGTTACAAGTCGCAACCCATACATTGAAAAACACTGACTATCATGCTGTTCGTTCTTTTTTTAATAACATATTAAATAACATGTACCACAAATCACGAATCATTAACTAAAACTGAAGAAATCTCATCAAATTACCATCTTTATCATCAGTTATTCCACAAAGATTGTCACCGTCCCTTGTATTGAGATGATTGTGAAGTCTTTGAAATAACAACATGGAAGAATGTTCTTGATTGACACTGGATGATGATGAAAGACCAGGATTCATGGTTGTTGATTTGGATGTTGCAGATGAAGTATTAGAAGTCGGAGAGGAACTAGAAGCACTTGCATAACCTTTGTGCCAGACAAAGAAATTTCAACATTAATTGTGGGGACAATAGCCTAACGGTTCAATCGTTAGACTTGACTGCGTTGTCATTACAGGTTACACATCTCGAGTTCAGATCTCATGTACACCATATCACTCAGCGTGTAATAAATTGGGTAAGCAATGCTGAAATAATGATTTCCATAAATCAAAGCCAAAAGATGAAACCATTAAATACTGGTTACAGGCTCACAGCATTTAACTTGATTGTTCTAGCATTACAGGTTACAAATCCCATCCGTGATAAATTGGGTAGGCAGATTGATTGCTTGTGGACTTGCTTGTGGACAAATAGACTTGTTTAGAGGAAAAATCGAAAGCGTCATATGAAAAAACACTCATTTTATTTTGATCAGTAACATAACTTGTATTAAAAAATAGAGTTGATTTCAATCTATTTTGACTTACCGGTATTTTTATCTATATATGTGTATATGCTTATAATATTATTTTGACAAAAGAGTATTAATCACATGGGATTAGAAGGAGTATTCTCAAATAAAGCTCAAACGAATGATTCAAAATTCTATTGAACCAAGCTAATAATTTACTATTCGAATCGAAGAAAGAAAACTGAGTGTTTTGCGTTAAGAACTAAGCACTGTTTACTAGTATATAAAAGACTACCATAAATATGAAAATGCATCTTTCGTTCAAAATGGCCTATCTTTGGTCAAACATATTAATAAAAGAAGTATCGGATTTCAAGAAAGTCAATAAACATTTTAATTGAAATCGATTATTCATTTTGCCATGTGTATAAGAGATATATCATATATTATAAATATAGTAAAACCTTAGATTCAATTGTATTCGCTGTTAATAATCTGATTGACTGTACCTTCAGAGTTTAGAGTTAAAGTATCATGTCTTTCTGAGCCTGCTTTGGGAAAATTGGTTAATGAACTGATATCTGAATCACTATCTGTGTTGTCAAATGTTGCAATCTTCCTTTGAAATACACCATCAGTTTCTTCTGGCAATGTACTTGACTGTATAAAAAAAAACTCAATATAGTAAATTGTGATTTATAGGTATGTCAATTAATTTGTATCAAGTAACTTTGTCTATCACAGAACCCTATTCCAATAAGCAGATACAATTGGTTTTCATTACAAATCAGGATTAAAATAAAGTTTCTAAAATATAATTTGAGAAAAAGAAAACAAAAAACACCACAAAATAAATATCCAAATAAAAGGTATTAACGACCTATGGGCCATCGATATATACATACTGAGTAAGTGCATGCACATTGAAAATGGAATTCAACACAATTACTTGAAATGACAACAGCAGTCATGAATTATTCATATGCTGCATGAAGGCAGACCAAGTATTAGTCCATATAAAAGATACTTCCTCAAGTAAAGCTGATATAATTATATTAAGAATTAAAAATGTTTAACAATAATAAAGTATTGGAAGAAATTATGCATTACAAAAGAATAACATGCCACTGATACAAAATACTTATTGACAATTTACTAATCATAAGTTTTTAAAAATAATGTAAAATTTCAGTTCAAAATTTACCTCCGAATCAGAATCAATACCAGGTAAACAATCCTTAACTTCAGCAAGAATATATTCCCATCCACCGTATCCTTTATCTTCAGTTGACGAAGATTCTTCAACACCTGTAATTTCCCGAAAAATAGATAAATAAGTGAAACATCGAAAAAAATGACACTTACTATTATAAATTATTAAAAATAAAATTTCATAAGATAGTCAAATATATTTTAACACAAGAACATGATGCTGACAATAAAGCACCTGACTATCAGAGTGCATATTAATTATACACATTGAGGAATATGGTACCAGTAATTAATCTAAAAAATAACTAACTAGATATAGAGTGAAGTAGGCGTTATTAATTTTAGTATTACCATAGTAATTTTGATTACTGTATAATTATACTCGCATATAAGCCTAGTTTTAAACTCAAAAAAGTAGCGATTGCGATTTGTAGGAACGGCTTATATGCGAATTTTTATAAATTCATTGTTTTAAGGCTGTTTTTAGGGGGTCTACTTATATTCACGGTCGGCATATACACGAGGATATACAGTAGTTTCTATTTCCTATTAGTTTCTATTTTAAAAAAATGCGCAAATTCCTAAAACTCATCTTGCTTGACATAATTCATAAAATATTGTTTTCATGCAGCCATATACTAATATACTCTATACACTACACCAGGGGTCGGCAACCTTTCGTCACTTGCGGCCAAAATTTAAGGTTGTGAGTCATTGGCGGGCCGCACATATTTTTAGAAAGTTAAAAACCGAACGGGTGGCTGATGAATCACATTTTTTCACACAGGTCAGAAGTTAAATTTTAAGCAGCGAGCTAAGATTGACCATTTGAATTTTTTCTATGCCGTTAAAACCATTTGCATCATCTTTTCCTCGTTTTCTTGCCATTTGTCCAATTATAATTACATTCGATCTGGCCGGCCCGCGGGCCATAGGTTGCCTACCCTGCCCTACACATTTTGATGACAAACGGTACCTGCTGCTTGATCACACTCTTCCATTTTCTCTGAGTACACAATTAATTCACAGTGTTAAAAAAAGTCTTAATAAATGTAACCTCTTTGAGAGGAGTATTTTTATATCACAGATGAAAGCTAAGAAAGAATGTATAACAATCATTAATATTATTTGATAACAACTACATCAGGCGGCGCATTAACCTAGCTTTTAAAGCGTTCGACTTATGTAATCTGGAATCGCAGACTACACATCTCGAGTGTGAATTCCGTGCCCCCTACCTCACTCAGGGTGAAATAAATTGGGTGGATAAAACCTAAAAAAAAATATTTCCAATTAATAGTTGCTTCTCAGATGGTGCATTCTTGTATAGAGCCTTGCTCAGAGGGAAAGGCGTGACTATTGGTCGTTCAAAAAAATACATCACAATTGTGTTTCATTTAATTTAATTAGTGAATTCGGAACCTAACCCAGAGTATAAAAAATTACGGTAGGTAAGCCGTTACAATCTTAAAAAAAACTTTTTAACTAAATAGCTCCCTATGTCAGAGAAACTGATTGAACAGAACAGAGACTTATCGAGAGTAGAGCTGAAAAACACACCATAATAAACTATGCACAACATAAGCAAAACAGGACATGCGAAATAAATGAAAAATTCGTTTGATCAGATCGACAAATTGAACGACTACAAAATGGAGTAGATGAATATTTTTTAACAGAATCATATTGTTCAAATCTTACAAACATTCAATGAATATGTGTACTTCGACTGTGCCTGATATATTAATATAATTCAGAAATTGAAGTCCATAAATACAGAAGCAGCAATAATAAACATTCCATTTGCATGGAACACCAACTTAAATTGGGGTCTCTACATTTGAAAATATAAAATTCGGCTATTTCGATAAATATTAGGTTTGGAGGAGAAAATCTCAATAATATGACTCGAACATATGAACTAGCCCTGCAGTTTTTTTTATCATATTCATAGGTATGTAGAAGAAGCTGGCCACATAGGGAGGGCCTGAGGGAATATACTATTATCATTCATTATTGGGGGTATCCTTCATTAGCGCCGATATGTGTGGCCAAAATAAGCTTCTTTTAGCATAGCTGTAGTATATTGAGACATTCATTTCCATTTCAGTAAATATTTAACCGATGCGTTAAATTAACTCAGAAGCTATCATTTTACTATTGCCCAGTGATTTTCAACCTTTTTGATGGAGCGAAACCAAATGAAACATACAAGAAGGCTCAAGCTTCCCATGTGCAATTGATTATATGTATGTTTGTTATCATAAAATATGCCAACCTAAAAACGGGAAACTACAATTTGATGAGGAACACCTGGAGGTCTTTCATAGGACACCAGTGAAAACAAACTTATCATATGATTATATTATACATGTATACTGTATTTGATTATATTCAAACAATATACATATATTAATAAACACTCCCGAATTTAAAAATAAACTTGGAGAGCCCTTGAATTCCACTGGTGTTCTTCGGAATCCTAGTTGAAAACCATCATCTTTATTTACCATACAAAAGTTGAAAATTTGCAAATCAGAAAGATTTGAATTATGTTAGAAAGTTGGAGATGAATTATTTACATGATTTCAGAACTGATTTTTCAGTTTTCAGGCTAAACAATGTTTAATTCAGTAATTTCAAGTGACAAATGATCAGGAACTACCCAACATTATTGTATTATTCTAATTCAGGGGTTCCAAATTGGCGTTGCAAAAGTTTTGTTAAGTCATATGGGCCTTCAACTATAATCGGTAAATTGAGAAATTTTGATCATTTGCGCCTTGGGTATGGGCATGTGCTGCGTCATACTAACTTATACATACTATAACTTATAGTTATAACTAGAAATTACAAAAAGGCGTGGAAATAAACTAAACTATAACTCATTTAACAGGGAATTTGCTCCAGGCTATGCCCAAACACCATCATCGACTTTTTTAAAATTAAGAAAATGCACGCTCCATCCTATTAGAAATAAAAACAGGAATATCCTAGAAAAAAAATTACCAGACTAGAAACAAAACCTGAAAATTCGCATGAAAACTCGAAACCTCGAACCAAACAGTTATAGTTTACCCGTCGCCCAGCAAATATTCCGCTTGAGTGATTTTGACCAAAACTTCAAATATTTTGGCACTGTGATTTTTCGTCGAGCAAATGGCGCCGATGGCTCAATTTGCAACTTGAACGTACGAATTTTGATGGGATTATTCATCTATCTGTATCTTCATATTATAGATACACACTTACGGTACATAGAGCAGGTAGTATCTTTTTCCAGGTTGAGTCGGTTTTGCTGACAATCATTCGGGGCGCTGGTAAACACAAGAGTATTTTAGGGTTATGTGAAAAATTTGGTGACCTTACATTTAAACCCACGTACATTTGAACCCATGTGTATATATGCGGGTTCAATCTATATGCGGGTGCTAAATCCCATGGGTTAGAGTTAGTACTTGAATTTACGAAGTTTTATAGCATCATTTGTTCATCTGTACTTTGAATAAATACACAGTTGGACAGCCATTTTTTTGCGATAAGGTTTAGTGGATCCCGGCGACAAGTGAACACAAATGGTGATTTGGGTGATATGGAGAATCTATAAACAAATCCATCAATTAGATTGAAAACACATAAAATAAATTGATAAACTATAAAAATAGTTATAACCTAATAATTGTTTATGATTTATAAGGTACATTTATTCAAATTCAAACCTCGCGTTATTTGAAACTCTTTCCTAATTAAATTAAAGAAAGTGGGATATCCATCTCAAATCAGTTTACACAAAATCATTTATCGAACAAAGTGATTATATTGCTTTTGAAAGGGAATTCATTGATTTGAAAGTTCATGATGAAGTACGTGGGAAAAAAGTATTATATAATGCATACTTTCAATTTTGTGATATACTTTTAAACATTAGCAAAAATAGGCACAAATTTAAATGAGGTTAAAAAAACAGAATTATCTGTAATAAAATATTAAATTCGATAACATTAGTGAACAATGTAGCCTATATTATTTTGGTGGCTATGTGTTTTCATTGTACCTATCATGAACAATATTCGATTTCATTTCTTGAAACCTCGAGTTTTTTGGTACATTTTACTTCAATATGTTGGATGTTGTACAGGATGTCTTGACGTATCGTCTGTTTTCTATTGTTTTTTGTTCATTTTATTATAAATGTGCAGCAAACATGGGTGTATATTTTGAAAAACAGGGCGTGTTAAAATTTGGCGTGCTGGGGATGCGAAATATCGAGACATGAGCAAATTATTAATTTTTTTTAATAGCTTAATAATGGTATATCACCTCTAATGTATTTAAAATAATAATCAATTCATTCAATTAATTTTTTTAAATTAATTTTTTTTTAATTTAACAGCAATTTAGTCCACCTTTTCTTAGTATTACATGGAATACGCGAATATTGAATTGTTTTCAAAATAATGTGGCAGTGTTTTTCATAAACTGACTCGTTTCTTATGTAGCCCACTCTGTATTATTAAAATTAAACTCTGGGCACTTCAACAACATTTAAAAGGCTCGGGAAGCATAAAATTCAGATAACATAACAAACGTCAATATTTGCAATAAATCGCAAATGCAATTCTGAAAAAAATCGAGATCGTTTACGAAAAAAACAAGAATCCAACATTCTATTTATTGTAGTAAATAAAGGAAATCGCAGCAATGTTTTCGATGGCAATTTTTTCCAGCCTTCACATTCGATAACTGTATCATTTTTCCGTGGTTTTCTGGGTTTAGTTTGGTAAACCTGTGACAGATACTCATATTAAGAGTAAGCTTAACATACCCCCCTAACACACCCCCTAAAATATTTCAAACGCCCCTCCTACTTTTCAGGTATGACACCATGCTTAGTTCTTAACGTAAATAAAAATGTATTTGAATATTCAGAAAGTGGCTCATATGCCGGTGAACATGATCAGTCAAATACATAACACATTTTTATAAATTAAAAGTAGTTTTATCACTAATTACAAAATGTCTACACCCCCTAAAGTTGAAAACACCCCCCTAAAATAAAAAGCTGGGGAACATACCGCCTTAACTGCATAAGACGCATGTTCCAAGTTTATTGTTTTATAAAGTATCGTTCTCTATGAAATGAGGATTAGTAAATATCTGTAAATGTGCCATGATCAGTGTAACAATTAGATTTTTGAAAACGAAATTTCATCCGTGATCAAAAGTAAAATAAACGTAAACAATATGGAATTCAAATGATGGGAAAAGAGTAATGGACAGACAAAATATTCAGAGGCAGGGTTCTCCTTAGGCTTGACCTTGTTATTGTGCTCAATGACCAGCCTAATTATATTTCTTCATCAAATCCACGCAAGCTGGAGTCAGATATACAATAACAATTATTGTTTTTCATATATTTAAAAAATATTAGTGTTTTAATACGTACAATTTCTAATATAACGCATATAACAACTTAAAACAACACGCCTCTAGATGATGCTGAAGGGCAGGAATTTATTAATATTGTTACATTTCTGCAGTTTGTATACATAATGTGTGTTTATATCGGTATGATAAAAAATCTACTCATTAAATCCTTTCGTCAGTTTTTATCTTTGTCTGAGAAATAGATACATCACAACAGGGCTGATTATCATCCTTGATGTGAGAATTCAACAGATAATCGAAAGATATAAATTTTACTTGTTATAAAAAGAGTATGTAATTTGTAGTAGCAATATTTACTCACCAACCCATAAAAATAAGAGATACATTTACAAACAGAAGATAAACATTGTTATTCCTATGAAGGGAGTCACTGAAAACCTCAATACGTTATCTAGCTGTGACACCCTATGACGCATTGCTGCTATTAAAAGATGAAAATTATATAAACAATAAAAAAAACGGTTCCATTACATTTGAACCCACGTACATTTGAACCCGTAATTTAAACTCACGACAATTGCACCTGCATATTAGTGCACCTATGGAAATTATTTTTTTTACGGATATTTGAACCCAATCCGTGGATTTTATCACCCTCATATAGATTGAACCCGCGGATATACGGGTGCAAATATATGGGTTCAAATG